CCCCCATTTAGGGGTAGTTTATACTTGTGATTTTTCGGAAAACTTTGCTGACCGAGGCTTTCCAATTGATATATTCCATTGAAAAGATGGAATATGAATGTTCGGAACATGTTTTCAGTGCCACCATATCCAAAATTCATAACTACCCTCTCATAAGGGTAGTTTATACTTGTGATTTTTCGGAAAACTTTGCTGACCGAGGCTTTCCCATTGTTATATTTCATTGAAAAGATGGAATATGAATGTTCGGAACATGTTTTCAGTGCCACCATATCGAAAATTCATAACAACCCCCTAATAAGGGTAGTTTATACTTGTGATTTTTCGAAAAACTTTGCTGACCGAGGCTATCCAATTGATATATTTCATTGAAAAGCTGGAATATGGATGATTGGAACATTTTTCCAGTGCCACCATACCGAAAATTTATAACAACCCCCTAATAAGGGTAGTTTATACTTGTGATTTTTCGGAAAACTTTGCTGACCGAGGCTTTCCAATTGATATATTTCATTGAAAAGATGGAATATGAATGTTCGGAACATGTTTTCAGTGCCACCATACCGAAAATTCATAACAACCCCCTCATAAGGGTAGTTTATACTTGTGATTTTTCGGAAAACTTTGCTGACCGAGGCTTTCCAATTGATATATTTCATTGAAAAGATGGAATATGAATGTTCGGAACATGTTTCCAGTGCCACCATATCGAAAATTCATAACAACCCCCTCATAAGGGTAGTTTATACTTGTGATTTTTCGGAAAACTTTGCTGACCGAGGCTTTCCAATTGATATATTTCATTGAAAAGATGGAATATGAATGTTCGGAACATGTTTTCAGTGCCACCATATCGAAAATTCATAACAACCCCCTCATAAGGGTAGTTTATACTTGTGATTTTTCGGAAAACTTTGCTGACCGAGGCTATCCAATTGATATATTTCATTGAAAAGCTGGAATATGAATGATCGTAACATTTTTTCAGTGCCACCATATCGAAAATTTATAACAACCCCCTGATAAGGGTAGTTTATCCTCGTAATTTTTCGAAATACTTTGCTGACCGAAGCTTTCCAATTGTTATATTGCATTGAAATGCTGGAATATGAATGTACGGAACATGTTTCTAGTGCCACCATATGAAAAATTCATAAGAACCCCCTAATAAGGGTAGTTTATACTTGTGATTTTTCGAAAAACTTTGCTGACCGAGGCTATCCAATTGATATATTTCATTGAAAAGCTGGAATATTAATGACTGGATTATTTTTTCAATGCCACCATATCGAAAATTTATAACAACCTTCTAATAAGGGTAGTTTATACTTGTGATTTTTCGAAAAACTTTGCTGACCGAGGCTATCCAATTGATATATTTCATTGAAAAGCTGGAATATGAATGTTCGGAACATGTTTTCAGTGCCACCATATCGAAAATTTATAACAACCCCCTGATAAGGGTAGTTTATACTTGTAATTTTTCGAAATACTTTGCTGACCGAAGCTTTCCAATTGTTATATTTCATTGAAAAGCTGGAATATGAATGATTGGACTATTTTTCCAGTGCCACCATATCGAAAATTTATAACAACCCCCTAATAAGGGTAGTTTATACTTGTGATTTTTCGGAAAACTTTGCTGACCGAGGCTATCCAATTGATATATTTCATTGAAAAGCTGGAATATGAATGATTGGATTATTTTTCCAGTGCCACTATATCGAAAATTTATAACAACTCCCTGATAAGGGTAGTTTATACTTGTAATTTTTCGAAATACTTTGCTGACCGAAGCTTTCCAATTGTTATATTGCATTGAAATGCTGGAATATGAATGTACGGAACATGTTTCCAGAGCCACCATATCGAAAATTCATAACAACTCCCTGATAAGGGTAGTTTATACTTGTGATTTTTCGGAAAACTTTGCTGACCGAGGCTTTCCAATTGATATATTTCATTAAAAAGATGGAATATGAATGTTCGGAACATGTTCTCAGTGCCACCATATCGAAAATTCATAACAACCCCCTCATAAGGGTAGTTTATACTTGTGATTTTTCGGAAAACTTTGCTGACCGAGGCTTTCCAATTGATATATTTCATTAAAAAGATGGAATATGAATGTTCGGAACATGTTTTCAGTGCCACCATATCGAAAATTCATAACAACCCCCTCATAAGGATAGTTTATACTTGTAATTTTTCGAAATACTTTGCTGACCGAAGCTTTCCAATTGTTATATTTCATTGAAAAGCTGCAATATGAATGACTGAATTATTTTTCCAGTGCCACCATATCGAAAATTTATAACAACCCCCTAATAAGGGTAGTTTATACCTGTGATTTTTCGGAAAACTTTGCTGACCGAGGCTTTCCAATTGATATATTTCATTGAAAAGATGGAATATGAATGTTCGGAACATGTTTTCAGTGCCACCATATCGAAAATTCATAACAACCCCCTCATAAGGGTAGTTTATACCTGTGATTTTTCGGAAAACTTTGCTGACCGAGGCTTTCCAATTGATACATTTCATTGAAAAGATGGAATATGAATGTTCGGAACATGTTTTCAGTGCCATCATATCGAAAATTCATAACAACCCCCTCATAAGGGTAGTTTATACTTGTGATTTTTCGAAAAACTTTGCTGACCGAGGCTATCCAATTGATATATTTCATTGAAAAGCTGGAATATGAATGATCGTAATGCAATATAACAATTGGAAAGCTTCGGTCAGCAAAGTATTTCGAAAAATTACAAGTATAAACTACCCTTATTAGGGGGTTGTTATAAATTTTCGATATGGTGGCACAGAAAACATGTACCGCACATTCATATTCCAGCTTTTCAATGAAATATATCAATTGGATAGCCTCGGTCAGCAAAGTTTTCCGAAAAATTACAAGTATAAACTACCCTTATCAGGGGGTTGTTATAAATTTTTTATATGGTGGCACTGGAAACATGTTCCGAACATTCATATTCAAGCTTTTCAATGAAACATAATTGGAAAGCCTCGGTCAGCAAAGTTTTCCGAAAAATCACAAGTATAACCTACCCTTATTAGGTGGTTGTTATAAATTTTCGTTATGGTGGCACTGAAAACATAATCCAATCATCCATATTCCAGCTTTTCAATGAAATATATCAATTGGATAGCCTCGGTCAGCAAAGTTTTTCGAAAAATCACAACCATAAACTACCCTTATTAGGGGGTTCTTATGAATTTTTTATATGGTGGCACTGAAAACATGTTCCGTACATTCATATTCCAGCTTTTCAATGCAATATAACAATTGGAAAGCTTCGGTCAGCAAAGTATTTCGAAAAATTACAATTATAAACTACCCTTATTAGGGGGTTCTCATGAATTTCATATATGGTGGCACAGAAAACATGTTTCGCACATTCATATTCCAGCTTTTCAATGAAATTTAACAATTGGAAAGCCTCGGTCAGCAAAGTTTTCCGAAAAATCACAAGTATAAACTACCCTTATTAGGGGGTTCTTATGAATTTTCGGTATGGTGGCACTGAAAACATGTTCCGAACATTCATATTCCATCTTTTCAATGAAATATATCAATTGGAAAGCCTCGGTCAGCAAAGTTTTCCGAAAAATCACAAGTATAAACTACCCTTATTAGGGGGTTGTTATAAATTTTCGGTATGGTGGCACTGGAGAAATAATCCAATTATCCATATTCCAGCTTTTCAATGAAATATATCAATTGGATAGCCTCGGTCAGCAAAGTTTTCCGAAAAATCACAAGTATAAACTACCCCTAAATGAGGGTTGATTTGAGTTTTCTCTATGGTGGCACGTTCACTCCATCATGCATGACTCAGTTTTATAGTTTAACGTGTTTAAATATACCTCAAGGTTCTTGTCGGCAGGAATATTTTTTGGTCAGCAAATTATCCACACTCCCTCAAAACTTCTCAATCGGTTTCCTGCTTCGAAATTTGCTTGCTCGTCAAAACAAGATTTTTTTTATTACTTGATGTCATCATTGTTGTTTGAGGACCACCCTGTAAACAGGAATAGGTTGATCATGCATCATTTCAAGATTTTTGATCATTCTTCGAACCAGATTGACAGGCCAATAGAAATTAGAGCATCAATTTATGCATTATCTTAATAAAACAGTCATATTTCAGTAACACGTGTGACAATTCCAAAAAGTTTTTTACAGTATCGAGAAAACTTATGAAGCAATATGCTTATTTTAACCTCAAAAAAATAGAAATTTTTTTTATTCAAACGGGAGGCGTTTGAAATTTTTGGAAAAATGCGCAGCTTTGATTATCATCCTGTAGAATCTCATCCGGAAAAGATGAAATAGCCATATTCATAGGTTCGATAGTCAATGAAACGAGCTTCCAGAAACTGAAAAATAATTGAAAATCGGTTGAGGAAATCGAAAGTTATGATGATTAAAATTTGATCGAAAAAATGCGATTTCACGTTTCATGTGCTGAGTAGTTCACTTGCAAAATTTCCTAATAATATAATAAATTATTATTTAATATCTCCTATCACACAAGAAAGTTGTTGCTAGTCCGCCTCTGCATAAAATTCCTCTCAGTAGTTGGGGAAGTGGTCTGCATCATGCCTTCTTTTTCTATTTCCACATCTATTATACAAACATGACTGTTTGTCTCTCTTCCACCAAGTGAAAAGATATGAACGTATTCTTGGTTGCATAGTTATCTGTCAAGTTGCTCTCTATCATTGTCGAAGGCCATATAAAATGTTAAATGACCGCATGTGATGAACGTTCCACTCTTTGGTTCCACTGCTACCCATCCATGATTCATCTAATATCAAGTGATGACTAACTATCCAAATTACAATATTACAAATATTGTTATCTAGAATGGTTTAGCGTCTAGTCATAGAAATGACGAGTGAAATAACCTAAACATTTTTTATACATCAATCAATATTTCCAAATTTATTTTCCACACGATAATCGACTATACAAAATGAGTACCAGGGGTGAATATACCCTCGTTGAGAATGAGGCCCAACAATCTAGATGGGGTGAGAATGGTAAGAATTTATTTTATTACCTACCACTACTTACCGCCTATATATATATTTCACAATCTTCTTGGCTTTACCAATTCCATGGATTTTATCATGGACGTATAATTGTTTATACGTCCATGGATTTTATTGTTTCGGATATTCATAATTTAGGTGATTAGTCATATTATTGTGACGTGAATGATGACGCAATAAAAATGAGTAGGTACTTATTAAAAAGCAAGTAGAGATATCAGGATCGGATTGAAACTTTTGGAATAGGAATCAATATTATTTATGTACCATATATCATTTATGTATAAAGAAAACTAGACAGTATGGTTGGAGGTTTGAGTAATTTAATTTGTATTTGTATATACAGGATGTATCTAAATAACATCGAAAAAATTCAAAGGGTGCAGATTCCTTGTGATAGTTTAAGAAATAAAGTTCATATAAACATTTTCTTATTAGATTGAACTATTGGAATAACAAATTTTTTATTCTCTGTGTGATTTTTATTGTATCTAGCTCAGTTTTTGAGGAAACAATAAAAATTCGATTTGACTCGAAATTTCAATGTAGGTGTTTTCAAGACTTCCATTGAGATTAATCAATAAACCCCAATTAGAATCATTCTGAAATTTTGGGGCTTTCTCAGTCTCCATCCATACTGAATTTTGGCACCATGAAAAGCTTACAGGGGGGTTATAAATAAAAACAATTAATATTTATTCCAACTTCAACATCCTGTATCTCAAAAACGGAGCAAATTAGGACGCATGTTTATATGAACTTTGTTTGCTAGAATGTCACAAGGAACCACATCTTTAGTTTTTTCGGTGTTATATCCATACAGCCTGTATAAGAGGATGAGGATGAGTATAAAAGGTGATTCTAAAATAGGTGGTCAAACTTTGGGAGCATATAGAGTGGGTGAAATAGTTACGAAAACCTCCGTAACATTTTTGTCTGAAGTGACCCCCAAGAAAGATTCAGCCCCTCAAAGGGGGGCATCGGAGAATGATTTTGTATTATTATCTCCAACACCTTGTATAATGAAAATATGAAATTTTGTCCATCCACTTACTATTCAGTGCCGGTTCGAATGGAGTTAAAATCACCTCAAAATTAAATACAGGGGTGTGTCAAAATAGGGAGGTAGGGGGTAAAAATAACCCCAAATTTTTTGTTCATCGCAATTTCAGTTTTTTGACAAGGAATTATGAAATCTCAGGGCTATTTACATAGAAAAGGTGCTCTTGTTGCATCTCGATGAAATGAACTATTAGCGAATAAAATTTAAAAAAAGCTTGTTTTTAACAATATTTTTTTTTTGCATTTTCGATATATATTTCGTCGTATATTTTTAATTCATGAATTCCGACAACGAATTCAAAATTTCCAACCCCAAAAACCCTTACAACCCTGAATCGAATCGGACCATAATCACAAATCTGGTCAGCCACATTGGAGCCGCCATATTTTTTTCTATCAAAAAGTCCATAACGCGTTGTCAACTGTCATCTGCCAGATTCCAAGATGACCAGATGATTAGAATAAGTAGGTAAACATATTCAGTTGCAAGATTTGAACTAGATAATTATAAACTTAAGTGCATACCAAAATTGCAATTTAAATGAAATCTTGGAGAAATAAATTTTTTTCGCTAATGGTTCAGTTTATCGAGATTTAACAAGAGCTCCTATTCTATGTCAATAGCCCTGAGATTTCATAATGTCATGTAAAAAAACTGAAATTACGATGAACAAAAAAGTTGGGATTATTTTTACCCCCTACCTCCCTTTTTTGACACACCCCTGTATTTAATTTTGAGGTGATTTTAACTCCATTCGAACCGGCACTGAATAGTTAGTGGATAAACAAAATTTGAGATTTTCATCATACACGGTGTTGGAGATAATAATACAAAATCATTCTCCGAGGCCCCCCTTTGGGGGGCTGTATCTTTCTTGGGGGGCACTTCAGAAATAAATGTTACCAAGGTTTTCGTAATTATTTAACTCACTCTATATACTCCCAAAGTTTGACCACCTATTTTAGAATCACCTTGTATAAAAGTATACCTCTATAGGTAACTTTACGAAATGATCATTTTATGGTTGGAAATAATAATGCCCTTGATGATAGTTCAGCAAATTATATAGTTTAACAATAGAAATTATTCACAAATGGCTGATGACAGATAATGAGATAACATTATTTGAATTCTCACTGATAATATACGTTGAGTAATTTTGGCGTAGGTAATCCTCGCAATACATAGAAATAGGTAGGCTATCATTTTTTATCATATAGGAATTTATTAGATGATGTGTTTTATTGATCTCTATAATGTTACCATAAAAAATCGATAGTATCACCAGAACTAGAAAAAAATATATCGAGTCAGGTAGGAAGACTTTCAATTGATTGAATCTACATTGAACATTGATTGATTGTCTTTATTACCCCAAGAAACATTATTGTTTATAATAGTGATATATACAACAAAACATACAACATGATAAATCGAAACAATTATTGTTTTTCATAAAAAAAATTATAATGAAATATAAAATGAGAATATTATAATCCATTAGAAGTAATTAAATTGTGAATGATTAGTACTATTAGTAGATATGGAATTACAGTTTACTGAGCAGATATTTCTTTAATTTCATTTTAAATTTTTCTGCTTCTATATTTTTCAACTCATTAGGTAGGGGGTTATATAAAATTATTCCATTATGTAATATTGATTGTTTACCAAAATTTGACTTATAATTATTTATTTGCTATCAATAAATTGAAATGCCTTGTTTCATGGGCGTGAATCGTATTAAGTTCATTAAAATTCAAATTCGATATTTTCAATTCCTTTCTGACAAAATGAATAAACAACAAATTTTGAGTTTATACAGTGTGTCCCACTTACCATGCTCACCATGGGTATCTTGCTAACGGTGAGAGATACAAGGTCGGTTAGATGACACCAAATGTGGAGTTTGTCAAGGTCAACTATAATGTGGAAAAATATTTTGATAAAATCTATTCGTTTTTGTTTTATACGCAAAAAACAGATTTTGATCATTTTCATGTCTCCTCCGTAACTTGTTTATTCATGAAAATATTCGAATAGGAATTTCACATTCTCATGGCAGTTTTTCAAAGTGATTCCGAAAAAAATATGAAATTTATACCAACTCTTCTAGAATTTGAGATATCAGCACCAACTTTAGTTCTTCAAATGTAGGTCATAGCTCACTATGACTAAGTTACAAATAACTTTTTTTTCTCTTACAGATGATATGTCGCAGTAATAGTTTTGTGTTGATAACAACGGAGTTATCGTCATTTATACAAAAACAAAAAACTATTGGGAAGCCGTCACCTTCAATTTATAAATTTTAACAAAAAACTCATGATCTCCGACCTCAAAAACCCCCACTTACCAATTTTGAATGGAATCGGACCAAATCTTGTCCGCCATCTTGGAGCAGCCATTTTTTTTAATTTCAACAAAAATTCTATAATGAATTGTCACCGGATTTACGAACATCTGCCAAATTTCAAGTTGATAGGACGGCCAGAAGTGAGTCAAAATTCACTTCATTTGATTACAGACAGAAATTTAAAAAAATGGCTGCTCCAAGATGGCGGACAAGATTTGGTCCGATTCCATTCAAAATTGGTAAGTGGGGGTTTTTGAGGTCGGAGATCATGAGTTTTTTGTTAAAATTTATAAATTCAAAATGGCGGCTTCCAAATAATTTTTTGTTTTTGTATAAATGACGATAACTCCGTTGTTATCAACACAAAACTATTACTATGACATATCATCTGTAAGAGAGAAAAAAGTTATTTGTAACTAAGTCATAGTGAGCTATGACCTACATTTGAAAAACTAAAGTTGGTGCTGATATCTCGAATTCTAGAAGAGTTGATATAAATTTCATATTTTTTTCGAAATCACTTTGGAAAACTGCCATGAGAATGTGAAATTCCTATTTGAATATTCTCATAAATAAACAAGTTACGGAGGAGACATGAAAATGATCAAAATCTGTTTTTTGCGTATAAAACAAAAACGAATAGATTTTATCAAAATATGTTTTCACATTATAGTTGGCCTTGACAAACTCCACATTTGGTGTCACTTAACCGACCTCGTATCTCTCACCGTTAAACAGATAGATACCCATGGTGAGCATGGTAAGTGGGACACACTGTATAATGAAACTAGATTCAGCAAGTCTTTGGGTTGGTGTAGATTCGCAGTTAATTCTGAAACAGGTAAATTGAAAATGCACTTTCATTGTTTTATTTTGTAATTTATTTTATGACAAATTTTTTGTTTTTATTTTTTGCAGCTACCATGGGGAAAAACTTCGACAAATTTCGTCTTCTCATGTGGAAGAACTGGGTTCTTCAGTACAGGAAGCCCGTTCAGACCGCCATTGAAATAATAGCCCCTGTGCTTTTCTCCATTCTTCTGGTGATCATCAGAAGCCTTTCTGATCCGATCCTGCGTGAACAACAGATATACCCAGCGTTTTGTCCATTTCCATTCAACTTTTCAACCATTTGCCCGATGGTTGATGATGACATCAATAAGTTTCAAAACATTTCTGCGATGTTGAATACTAACTTTCCTGCGATGTTAAATACTGATTCACCAACCGATGAATCCCTTATTCCGTAAGTTTTTAGTTTGATGTTCCTTCCCAGACAGCACCAGATATTCCATGAATATTCATAGAATATTATTTTTGGATATTGGGAATATTCATGAACATATGCCAGAGATATACATATCTCCTACGAAATATTCCCTGAATATGCTGGTGGGGAGAATGTATATATTCCTAGAATATTCACAAGGTATATTCCCTATATATTCAGAATGTACTTATAGTGTTCTAGAAATATTCAGATAATATTCGGAATATTCCAGGGATAGTACAGGAATATTGATAAATGAATATTCCATGAATATACAAATCAGAATACACATTTGAGAATATCCCTGGAATATTCATAACTGAAATATTTTTGGAATATTCATCTTTGATTATTCCGTGTATATTATTTAGGAATATTACTAGATTATTCATATTTGAATATTCTTTGAATATTCCAGAGGGTCATATATATTCTAGGAATATTCGGTGGATATTCGGAATATACTCTTCTCTTTCAGCATATTTAGAGAATATTCTAGGAATAATGTATCCAGTGCTGTCTGGGTTTGTATTTCTCTGATAGCAAAGATACAAAGTGATAATATGTAATAAAATAGTTATTTATTATGAAAGGGAAGAAGTAGTAGATTCCCAGTCAACACATCTGTGACATGAGATCTCTGAGATGTCGCGTTCAGGTACAACAGTGCGATATTACAAACGTTCCATCGCTGCGACGCTGCGATGTTCATGAGCAGACAATTCTGCGACATGATATCTCTGAGATGTTACGATGAAGCAACACTGCGATATCACGAATGTTCCATCGCTGAGATGTATAGAATCAAACACATCTGTGACATATGACACGGTTGAGTTGAAAAACAGAGGGTGTGATTCACATCATACTCACCTGACACCCCGCCTTTTCTTCATATGTTATATTGTTATATTCAGGGTTAGTGATTGTATTCACTCTGTATCGGATTGTATTGAAGAATAAAGACACATTATTATTATTATTATTATTATTATTATTATTATTATTATTATTATTATTATTATATATTATTATTTCTGAGATGTCACGATGAGGCAACACTGCCATATCACGAATGTTCCATCGCTGTGATGTACAGAAGCAAACATATCTGCCACATGACATCTTTAAGATGTGAAGTGAAGCTAAATTCGCAAATATGGGCGCGTCCATTGCTGAGATTCGTAGGTACCAGAAATCCGTCAGTTATCACACTATGTTTGAGAAAACTTTTTCGTTTAATTGCGAAGTCATCTCGTATCACATCTTAGTTTTATCGCAAAAACACATCGCTTTCTCGTCATAAATAACATATCGCAATTACATTGCAAAAAATATATCGCTGTTATATCGCAGAGAACTTATTGTACCGACGTCGCATGGGTGAAACTTGACTGGGACAAAATAACATCCCTCTGACATCACAGCGAAGTCTTTGCGACATATAATATATAATATATACATTATACATATTCATTATACATACACATTCTACAGTATACATATACATTATACATATACATTTTACATGTATCATGTGTGATATAACTCACTTCCCTCCCTGACAACTGAGAGCCAAAATCTACTACTTTTCTTTCATGTATAATAAATAACTAATTATATCTTCGCATTAAACCTAACATGATGTCTCTCTAGAATGGCGATGATATATTCTCCATCAAATAAGGCCATCGAAGACGTAATGCAGCTCTTCAAACACATATTCAAGGAAGTTATTGGGATGGAAAATGCGAATGAAATGGAAAACTACTTCATCACTAACTCTTCCAATTCGACGTTTGCTGGCATCCAATTCGACGATAGCTACAAGACCTTAACAAATTTGAGCGACATAAAAGATTTGAAAGTTTCAATTAGGTGTGTATAAAACCAAATAATCAATTATTATTAGTTTTTTCTCCTCACATAACTAAAATGGCATTTTGCGGATATGTACCACGCTAAATGATCGATTAATCACGGATTGACAATCTGTGATTTTTTTCAAAATATTAAACACGTTACCATGGCAACACGATTTCTTAAACACATTACCATGGCAACAAAGTTCATTAAACACAGCTTCAGTAATTTGAGACATGTTTGGCCTGTCAATTGTATTAACTGTTAACTGTTATTTTCAAATTTTGTATCAGAATTATTCAAACAATATTCGTTTGTATCAGAATTCTTCATTGAAAATATATGCGAAATGTAGACGAAAGTGAAATCGAAGAGAATGTTTTGGTGCTTGCATATCTCCAAGAAGTGTAAAAATGAAGCATCCATCTTTGAGAACAATTTATTCATTCTGCGCTAAGCATGACAATAAACGTGAAACAAAGGTTGCATGCAGTTGCATGTATTATGTTCTCAATTCCCATTCCTTTCGAATTATTTTGTAGGTTTTAGCAGGAATTGCAGATATGTTAATGTAATTTTCGGAGTTCGTAGAAAAAGCATAGTATGTAACGCGTTTATAAACTCTTCTAGACACTCGTTTATTAAACACTCGCTCCGCTCGTGCTTAAAATACTCGTTACTAAAAGAACGTTTATAACACTTGTTACATAATATACTATTGATATACTTTAAGAAACTTATCCATGAATATTACAGATTTCCAGGAGAAACACGTTATCAATTGGATCCTTTGGGCATCAATACTTGGAGAACCAATCTTATCTATCCAGTTTTCCAAGTAGCAGGACCGAGAATGTATGATATGAAAACAGGAGGATCTCCAAGTAAGAATTAAAATAATAGTTAAATACTGTCTGTAGGTTAATCGAGGAGGTAGTAAATTCATTATTCCAGATTTTTTTTGGGATTTTCTCTCCTCGTCCCTATAGAATTATTAAAATATGAATACTATTCCAATATACGTGTAGTTAGTACTAATCAGATGATTTGCCCCAAAATGTCACTGCGTTTAAACAATTTTCCCATCAGAGAGCCTAAAAGAAAAATTCACCAGCTTTTCAATGACAATTTGTATTGAAAAAGGTTTGGAGAAGAGCAATAAAGGTATATAGAAAACGTCAAATTTTTCTTAATACCATTTCTCATTTTAGATAGGGAGTCATTAGCGCACGTACAAAAAAAATATATGGGGGTAAGTGTATACTTGACCCCTAGTATATTGAATATTTGACAGTAATTTTCTATTTTGTTTTCTTCACACGATGTACCAATTTTGAGATTGCTATCTTATTAAATACGCGAGTAATTAAAAAAAAACAGTTTTCAATTTCCAACTTTGACACCCTGTATATCGAATATGGAGGGCTTAAATGAAAATTGGAATTTAGAAACTCATATTGTTTTTGTTTGAGGAATATAAATATGGTTAATGGATTGACCTCCTTTTAGCGGACACCTTGTATATAAAACCACTGCACTGGACTTCTGGATAACGAATCCGAAGTGATTTTCAACCTACATTGCCTACTAATATCATTTTCCGGAAATGAGGGGTTCAATGGCTGTTGGCGAGCAGTGTATATTTCACTGAAGATGACTCCACTGTGTTATAGTGTGTATTTTCAGTATACCTATCGTTCCTGCAAAATTTCAGAATCCTAACTCAACAATAGGGAATTTCACCATAATTTTTTGAATTTTTTTCACGATTCAGAACACATACTGGGTGAATTCACCATTTTTTCAATTTTCTTACATCTCAATAATGGTGAAAGTTTCACGAAAACAGTCGCAGTAATGCGCCGAACGAATCGACAGTAATAACCAAACAATTCGTGTCGGAGATTAGCCCTTTGAATGGATCGGACTGTCGTGTTTAGCAGATCCGCGATTTGAAGGGAAGATAACCCTTGTTCATGTTCCCTCATTTGTGGAATCAGTTCCAACTGGTTGGGCGTCAGATGCGGCATCGAAACTATCAAAATCTGTTTATGATTCGAAAACGACGTCTAACCTGACTTGTCAGTCACTTACTGTAATTCTTGTAACGTTGGTTACGGGCCATGCATTACAGAGGAGAAATGGTCTGATGTTTTTGCAAGAACATGTTTCAATTGTGTTTTATCACGCACATTCTTGAGTACTGAGAGCGAGGAAAATATGGACGCATCCAGAATGGATTGTTTTTCCGAGAACAAGTTGATTTTCATTCAATTCTCCTCCCAACCAAGATTCGGAGGGCGTTCCAGATTTGGGTCACTTTCAAGAAAACTCTAGATCTTTGATAGCCATCTTGAGTCAATTCTGATATTCAGATCTCTTCATCTGAGGTTTTATCTTCAAAATGAGCCTTAGATTTCCAAAATCGGTTGACGTGGAAAAAAGTTATGGCTGCAAAACCAAAAAGTTGATTTTTTGAGATCACTCTGTAAATAAGAGAGGTAGGAAGTTGATTCGCGAAATATCTCGAAGTAATAAGATAATCTTTATGCCTCTGTTGTCAAAGTTGGGAAAACATTTTTTTTCGCCATTTGAGAGCCTTTTGAATATTCCGAAATTTTGCACAGTGTCGGAAAACACCATGTAGAGATTTTATGTGAATACCCTTATGTTTCAATGAAGTACCAGATCATAGCTGAAGGACTGGGCTATCGAACAGTGTGAACCAAATTCAAATTGTTCTAAACTGAAAAAAGTTATTCACATTATAACAGGGGCGACATTTTGGTGTGCGACGAAATTAGTGTTGAGTAGTTTATTTCGGTAAAAATGGCCGCCACTGTGGTTGGATGCGAGATATAAACACAGATAGTCATTTGTCATCTTAATGAAAAGGCCTATTCAGATTGAAAGAATATCACCAATATGACACTAATAGGTCACTGAAAATGAAATGAAATAATGAACTATGAACTAGATTTCGAGGTTAATCTTTTTCTTCTTCTATAGTTTGTTTTGTAGCCTTTTTTCTATCAAGTCACAGATCATACCCAACCACTTTGTGCTCGAGTTCTGTGTCTGTGGTTTTGTGCAAAGCATCCTCTTTGGGTCGTCAGAGGGAGCCTCAAGAAAATACAAGTGACGTCACACCGCGAAAAATGGTCGTTTGGATCTCTCTCAATTTATAGCACTTTTGAAGTATTAATTAAACGGTTGTAAAGGAATCAATAGATGAGAGGAAGTGCTATTTGATATACTGAGTCATGTATGAGACCGTTTCCCATATAAAAAGGGCTATTTTCAATCATATTGAAATTGCCTATTATCAAAGATACAGGCTCAGCCAACCATGAGATGTATAAGTGATGTATACGCCACATTACTTTGTGACATGCGATATCGCATTTGAAGTCACAAATATGTTACCGATACAACGTGGCGATGTGAAAATGTCCGACTCAAGCAACATCACTGTGACGTCGTTATTCAGACATGAAATGCGACATCACATGAAAATCACTACCAGGTCACATACAAGTGTACATTTCATATTACAAATACATCACACTGCGACATCGATGATGTGGTCGCCGTACCTGTGATATTCGTGGGAAATATAGTAATAATTATTATTCAATTTTAAGAAGAAAATGTTTATTTTCCGAAAGTAAAAACAGATGATACAAAACTTATCATGACAATCACCCTAATTAGTAATTTTGAAGTAAAACATGACACATATATATAGCAATACAAATATACATTATTCATAAATGATTCATATCAAATACACTTACATTATCTTGGGATCTTTCATCCACCTTGTATTAGATTGCAATATTCCTATCTCAGAGATAATTCCAATATTACCTATTGTGATTGAACTCACCATCGTTCCTAAATGATTGTATATGTATACCTCCAATTTGAAGCTGCTATAATATGTGCTATAAATCATCTCAGATATTTCAACAGAGAATTTGGAAGGAAATAGTCTGTACAGAGTCGGACTCACTCACTGACTGACTGACTGACTGACATGGCCATGCACAGCTCAACATGGCGTCTGGCGTGTGCGTTCGTTTTGCGCATGTCTGCGTCACACTCACAGGTCACAAAGATATCTCATGAGGATATCAATGTGAATTATTTAGTTAACGTCGAAGAGATGTTGTTTGAAGAAGTCGCTGCCACATTACATATAGTTTCCTGGTTACGATGTCACCTTGCGACGTTGATATCGAATCTACGTCGATAAGATGTGTTAACGAGATATTGCATTTATGCAAGGTTGTTACATCACACTGATGTTGATGTCACACGATGGTTGGCTGGGGGGGGGGGTGTTTCCGCATTAGAAGTGAGACACACTGTATTTCTGTGGGGTGCGAAATGTCCTGTATATAATTATAAAGAGTGTGTCTAAAACGATAATTTTTCTATTTTATTCTCAGGCTATTTCAAGGAAGGCTTCTTGGGAGTGCAGTATTTCTTGACGGCCGCTCTAATTATAGCAAGAAAAAATATTACTCTGGATGGTAGCAATATTATGGAAATCATGATAAGCTTAATGAAAAACGAATTCCCCTTGATCTATATGAGACGTTTTCCCTATGCTGAATGGTACGAGGATGCGCTTTTGACTCCTTTGAAAACCATGATCGGCATCATATTCATGCTCAGTTTCGTCTATACTTGCATTAATACAGTGAAAACCATTACAACAGAGAAGGAGAAACAATTAAAAGTAAGTTTTGAAGATCTAAAGATCATCAGATATTATCTATACTTTTTTGCCTGAACATACAGTGTGGTCATTTAAGTGTGTAAAATAGAGATAGTGCCGAAAGTTGGTGCATGTTCAGTGATCATTTTAGGTGCACTTGCTTAGAATAGTTGCAAGTCAAACAGCATACAGGGTGGGTCAAAAAATATAAAAATTGCTCGAGAGTAAAGTACCCTTATTTCAGAAAATTCAGCAAAATGTTATCCAGAAAAGTTGTTTACAATTGAAAGTCATGCCAAAATACCAAAACATGGCCTCCTAAGACATTCTTTAGTTTTTCAATATTTTTCGGTAATAATATATCCTAATTTGTAATTTTTCATAATCACTCTAAACACTTTCATAAGTTAATCATAACCAAAACAGTTGATATCATACGTCTGTTCAAATTCAAGCATATTCCTGCTATTAACTTGGTTTTTTTTTTTTTTTAGGGAATCACAAACTTTATGATATTCAGCTTAACTTTGAAATTTCGCAAACCATATTTTCAACAAGGTAAAACATCATTAATGATAATATGCATATTCAAGAACTTCCATGTAATGTGAACATTTTCTATTATTTGAAATGTTTATGAAAAAGCTGTACAAATTGATCAACAACCATGATATCTTTCAAAATAATCACGGATACCCAAGGAACAAAACAAATGACGGTTGACAGTAAACATTAAGGCAGTTTGCTGACATCAACTCCTTATCTAATGATGTTGTTGAAAATATGGTTAGCGAAATTTTAAAATTGAGCTGAATATCGTTGTAACAAACATAAAGTTTGTGATTCCCTAAAAAAGTTAATTGCACAAATATGCTTGAATCTGAACAACGACAGTATGCTCAACTGATTTTGTTATGATTAACTTATGGAAGTGTTTAGGGTGAATATAAAAAAATTACAAATTGGGAAGTTATTAACGAAAAACTACGTCACAAAGGACTTATATTGAATATTTGTCGAAATTCGAAAGAATTCAATTAAGACGTTCACCGCAAATGAAATCACATCCTGATACTCGTTAATCTACTGCAATTGTAATGAATTCTGTCAGTTGCATGGTATGTCTCGGCAGCAACTTTTTTTATTCAGACGACTTCCTGTAAATTTCTTTAGTCTATCTCATTTGCCTCGAAATTATCTTCTAGAAATCTATCACAAAGTGAGAACGACGCTATTAAAATCCGGTTTTTCTAACAATGGTTTGATCTTGCGATAGATTCTCCGCTTTGATCGCTAGAAAACTTCTCAATCGGTTTCCTGCTTCGAAATTTTCTTGCCCTGTATGATAAATGTCAGTTTGTCATACATCTAAAACAAGATTTTTTTTCTCATTACTGGAATGTCATAATTGTTGTTTGAGGACCGCGCTGTATATAAGAATAGGTTGATCATGCATTATTTCAGGATTTTCGACCACCGTTCGAACCAGATTGACAGGAACACAAAGCCGATAGAAATTAAAGCATCAAATTGTGCATGATCTTAATAAAACATTCATATTTCAGTAACGCGTGTGACAATTCCAAACATCTTTCTACAGTATCGAGAAAACATATGGAGCAATATGTTGTTGACCCCAACAAAAAATAGAAAATTTTTTTTTTCAAACGGGAGGCGTTTGAAATTTTCGGTAAAATGCACAGCTTTGATTATCATCCTGTAGAATCTCATCCAGAAAAGATGAAATAATCATATCCATAGGTTCGATAGTCAATGAAACGAGCTTTCAGAAACTGAAAAATAATTGAAAATCGGTTAAGGAAATCGAAAGTTATGATGATTCAATTTTGATGGAAAAAATGCGATTTTACGTTTCATGTGCTGAGCAGTTTAATTCGGAGTTGAATATCAGCCAAGCTTCTTTATGTGGTCCAGACTTCTGGATAATATCAAAAACTCATTTTCTGGAGAAATTTAATTTACGATGTTCAGCTAGTGATTCACACGAGACCAACGAGACGAGACTTTAAGTCTCGTCTCGTCTCGCCGATGGAATATAAACTCTTGTCTCGAGTCTCGTCTCGCAGCCCCGAGTCTCGTCTTGTCTCGCGTCTCGTACGAGAGTCTCGCAAATGTATCGCAATTTCGTCATGCATAATCTTGTTCCAGTCTAGTACGGGATATTTACCTTCACTTACTTCTTAGGTATAATGCAGAAGTAGGAAGAGAAAATTACAACAAAAATAACATTATTTATTGAAAAGTAAGTACCTAATAGGTACATCATAAATCTAAACAAGCAAAAAAACAAAATAAAAAGTAACACGTATATTCTAAACAAATAAACAAAACAAAAACTTTAATCAAACATTATACCGCTGTATAAGAGAGAGGATAGTCCGTTTTCGTTTTACGCATTACGTCGTTTAACAACAACCATGGATTGTGTTTTTAAAGTATTTATGAATGAAATGTTTTGTCTATCTGTGCTAATTAGTCTGAATTCTTTCTGAATATGTTGTATTATGAATAAAATTCTCAAGTCTGCAGTGGGCACGCAGAAATATTTATCCGCGAGACTCTCGCACGAGACACGAGAAGTCTTGCGCGAGATTCGTGACGAGACCAATGAAAGTCTCGTCTCGTCTTGTCCGAGTCTCGTCTCGGGTCTTATCTCAAAAACGAGACGAGACCATGCGAGACTCTCGAAAACGAGACTCTCGCGGGCACCACTAGTTCAGGCAGGAAGGTATCGTTATAGGTATAATTTCTTTTTTTCAAGGAAGCAATGAAAATCATGGGACTGCCAAGCTGGTTGCATTGGACAGCATGGTTCGTGAAATGTTTCATTTTTCTGGCTATATCAGCTATTCTGATGGTGGTTCTACTCAAAGTGAAATGGTATCAGAATACAGACTTCACTGTCTTCACCAAAGCTGATCCCATACTGCTATTCATCTTCCTCATCTTCTATACTACCGCAACTATTACATTTTGCTTTGCGATTAGCGTTTTTTTCTCCAAAGGTAAGGCATCAGGAGAAGGGGAACTAACAATTATTCATCTCCATAATTTAATCCTTGTGGTAGAACTTTTTTTTCATTTGCAATTATTTCTGTTATGTATACCTGTCAAGGTAGTGCATGTAACATGGACAAAATATTGACAAAAATTAAAAATGTCTATGTCGCCAGAAAAATGTACGCTGAAGGAATGGTGATATACAGTGTTTCCCACTTACCGTGCTCACCATGGGTATCTTTTTAACGGTGAGAGATGCGAGGTCGGTTAAATGACATGAAATGTGGAGTTTGTCAAGGCCAACTATTATGTGAAAAAATATTTTGATAATATCTATTCGTTTTTGTTTTATACGCAAAAAACAGATTTGGATCATTTTCATGTCTCCGTCGTAACTTCTTTATTTATGAAAATATTCAAATAGGAATTTCACATTCTCATGGCAGTTTTTCAAAGTGATTTCGAAAAAAATATGAAATTTATACCAACTCTTCTAGAATTTGAGATATCAGCACCAACTTTAGTTTTTCAAATGTAGGTCATAGCTCACTATGGCTTAGTTACAAATAACTTTTTTTTTTCTTACAGATGATATGTCGCAGTAATAGTTTTGTGTTGATATAACAACGGAGTTATCGTCATTTATACAAAAACAAGAAATTATTTGGAAGCCGCCATCTTGAATTTATGAATTTTAACAAAAAAATCATGATCTCCGACCTCAAAAACCCCCACTCACCAATTTTGAATGGAATCGGCCAAATCTTGTCCGCCATCTTGAGGCAGCCATTTTTTTTAATTTCAACAAAAATTCAATTTTCTCTTACAGATGATATGTCGTAGTAATAGTTTTGTGTTGATAACAACGGAGTTATCGTCATTTATACAAAAACAAAAAATTATTTGGAAGCCGCCATCTTAAATTTATAAATTTTAACAAAAAAATCATGATCTCCGACCTCAAAAACCCCCACTTACCAATCTTGAATGGAATCGGACCAAATCTTGTCCGCCATCTTGGAGCAGCCATTTTTTTCAATTTCAACAAAAATTCCATAACTCCGATTAACTTGAAATTTGGCAGGTGTTCATAATTTCGGTGACAATACATTATGGAATTTTTGTTGAAATTGAAAAAAATTGCTGCTCCAAGATGGCGGACAAGATTTGGTCCGATTCCATTCGAAATTGGTGAGTGGGGTGTTTTGAGGTCGGAGATCATGATTTTTTTGTTAAAATTTATAAATTCAAGATGGCGGCTTCCAAATAATTTTTTTTGTATAAATGACGATAACTCCGTTGTTATATCAACACAAAACTATTACTGCGACATATCGTCTGTAAGAGAAAAAAATGTATTTGTAACTAAGTCATAGTGAGCTATGACCTACATTTGAAAAACTAAAGTTGGTGCTGATATCTCAAATTCTAGAAGAGTTGGTATAAATTTAATATTTTTTTCGAAATCACTTTGAAAAACTGCCATGAGAATGTGAAATTTCTATTTGAATATTTTTATCAATAAAGAAGTTACGGAGGAGACATGAAAATGATCAAAATCTGTTTTTTGCGTATAAAACAAAAATGAATAGATTTTATCAAAATATTTTTTCACATTATAGTTGGCCTTGACAAACTCCACATTTGGTGTCATTTAACCGACTTCGTATCTCTCACCGATAAAAAGATACCCATGGTGAGCATGGTAAGTGGGACACACTGTATACAGTGAGGACGTAAAAAGTCCTCCCCCCCCCCCCTTTAATCTTTGAACGGAACAAGCTAGCGAGGTCGGGTAAAATTCAGCCAAAAGGGTACCTCTTTCACTATTTGGCATAAAAATGGTTGTGGTCACGTGACCTAGTGTCAAGTGGGCACCATCAACTTTTATTTTTTAAATATGAAGAGGGGTCACGTGGTACCTTGTTTTGAAGGCCTTTCGACTCTCTATTATGAAGTAACCAATGCTGTTCAATACATTTTACATTTTTTTAAATTGTTTACTATAGCCTGAGTCTTACTCATTAATATTGATTATTACAATGTAGGTAGGTCCTAATCAAATGTTCATCCACAGCAAATACTGCAGCTACGATTGCTGGTCTAGCTTGGTTCATGTCCTACGCCCCATACCTTTTCATGCAAGATAAGTATGATAGTCTAACGCTGGGAACGAAATTACTGGCTAGTTTGGGTTCCAACACAGCCATGGCTTTCGGTTTCCAAATTATGCTGATGTACGAGGGAACGGGTGAAGGTAAATGTGAAATATTTCTACTATGTAATTTAATCATTGAAAACTATAGTGCAGTAAATTGCTAGATTATCAAAATTCGAATAGACCATTTTCCGCAGAATGTGGCCCAAATTGGAATTAATTCGGGATATCTATGGTATATCCAATATCAATTGCAGAATATCCCGCACCGTACGGCGCCGGCGTATTTGTAGTTTCCTTTGAAGTGACTGCAGGTGCTGGACAAGATTTTGCAATTGTTTTTGGATAAACTTATAATTGAATATTCTTTTTCGCCTACCTTATATGATAATGAATCATATTGTTACGTTATTCGGGTGCAGAAGCGAACACGACACTATTTATTTCCGAACTGATTTATTTGAACTAAAGAAACACTAATTTATATCGAACTTATAACTACTATTCATGTAAAACGATTTATAACACGCGGTATATAACTTTCTCTCTGACACTCGCTGTTTGACTCCCCGACGGCAGTTATTCGGCCGTTTATATATTATGAGATAACTAGACAGGCTTTGGTTCGAGAATGTTCATACAAACTTTTCTTCTTGTTTGAACGTCAGCAATATGCTCCTGAATTTTTTACACGTATATGTTGAAATAATTCAGTTGGTTTCGCAAAAAATTATTGATCTAGACATTTGTTAATTTTGTATGAAAAACCAGACCTTCAAATCCGGCTCTAAATCGAAAGTAATGTATATCGTCCTTTGGTGAATCAAAGTTCGGAATCAAGTGTACAATTATAATGTTTCTGGTAGGCAAAAAACAGTTGTTTTCGGTTTTTCTTTGAGAAAGTAACATTTTCAACACGTCCAAAAACAGTTTTTTTGGACTCGCAGACTTCCAGGACTCGCCTAAAGATTGGCCTAGAATGTTGTCTACTCGTCCAAAAAACACTATTTTCCGGACTTGTTACATAAATTACTATTGTCTTCGTACGGTTTGATTTAATTCAAAATTTAACCGATTTTGTGAATATCTCTTGGAAACTTAAGAAATGATCACATCTGTTGATCACACATTTATATACGGGCTCTTCTGTTTTTCCTTCGTCCATTTCACAGAGATTCAATACGAATTCCATCAAAATTCGAAATTTTGAATTTTGATTTCAATGACATTTTCTTGACATGCCAATAGTGAACATGACAGCACCATGGCATTTTGTGGAATAACAGAATCGTAAATGTTGCCAACAGATAAAAACAAACTTATGATATCCAATATGCCAAAAGCAGCGATCAGCGTAAAATGGTCTATTGAATGAATGACTTTCAACTGCATTGTTTTTTTTTTCAATTCAAAGGAATTCAATTCAACAACCTCTTTACCCCCAACACTCCCGATGACACGCTAACTCTGGGCCTAATCTTGGTAATGCTGCTGGTAGATAGCTTGATTTATCTGCTGATCGCTCTGTATGTAGAAAAAGTTTTGCCCGGTGAATACGGAGTTGCGTTGCCCTGGTATTTCCCGGTTACGAAGAGCTTCTGGTGCGGACATCCTCAATATATAGGTAAGAATTCGAGATTTTAGACCTTCTGTCGATATGTCTCAAACAAAATTACTTTCAATTTGACAACAAAATATATTTTGCGTCAAAAGGGTTGATTATGGGAAATCCACTGAGCCCTTTACTTGCTGAAATTTTCATTGATAACTTGGAGTGAATAATACATAAACATCCATTGATAATAGTTATTTGTTCTACGAGGCAGAAAAGTACAAGATTAAATGTCAAGAATACGAAATTTTCTGGAACTGAGACATGTTGATTCGCCAATATTTCGAAAACTGTTGAGTGTAGGCATAGATAACCTTTTTCAATGTTAGCTTCATTTTCGATGCCGAATCGATGAGATAATAGTAATTTTCCTAACAAGTGCGGAAAGTGATTCTTTCCCGCACGTGACTGCCGTTGACACGAACGACGCGAAGCGGAGTTCGGGCAAGCAGTCGAGTGCGGGAAAGACACTTTCCGCATGAGTTAGGAACAATATTTTTTCTACAAGCGTAGGAAATTGATTGTATCGTTCAATTAATTATTCAAGCAAATAGGAACAACTAACAAGAGATATATATTCTCTATCTATTAATTATTAGTAATAGCTATTGTGAACTTACAGTTTGACGCATTATGTTGGTTCATTGCGGAAGCCAGCAGGCCCATTAGGAGTTTGGTCTCTAGGTTCCAGACACTTCTATGGAATGAGCCAAAAATACCTATTCTTCATTCGGTTTTTTCATTTCTTTATTGTTGCACCATTCAATTAAACGCGTGTATAGCTTCTCATACCTTTCTTAAGACTTCGTTGGTGATATTAACGCATCTGTATCAAATCCCTATAGCTAGAAGTTTTTGATCACATTGTGGCATTTCCACTGAATCGAAAATGACAGTAACGCTGTGTCTGTCACTTCGACAATTTCAAACTTATTGGAGGTTTGAATGGCATGACAAATAGACGTTTGCCGTCAGATCAATCCAAATCTATAGGGGGATTTTTATAATAATCCATTTTTATTTCTCAATATTTCTTAATTTTTACAATAAATAGTGCAATTTGATGGATGATTCTGAACATACAAACTTAATACTGCAACAAACAATCTTAAACTTTTATATTCCATCACCAACCACTTATATTACTAGCGATTATATCATATCTTTGTTTTCCCGCACTAGTGCGGGAAAAAATTTCCCGCACTAGTGTGGGAAAATTTTCCCGTACTGTTGCGGGAAAATGACACTTTCCAAACTAAATTGCGTGCGGGTATAGGGTGAATCACGCACGCTTGTAGAAAAAATTCTTTCTCACAAAATGAATAAAAGAACAAATTTTCAAGATTAAGAGTTGGTTCCAGGTAATGTAAATTATAAATGCCAGTAATTGGATTTAGTTTTTTTCTCAGATGATCTATATATGTTTAGTCCACGATAATTGTTCATCAATATAAAGGCCTAAGAATTTTGTAACATCTTTATTTTTTGGCTTTCTGGTCGAAATATATTGTTTTCGATATATCAGTTTTTCTTTTTGAAATATACATATACGTAGATTTGTCATAGTTAAGAGTCAGCTTATGAATTTGTAGCCCAGATGATATACATTTTCAAGTCAATTTTTATATCATCAACTATATCATCAAATTCTTTAGAGGAATAGATTATTGTAGTATCATCTGCGAATCTGCGAATAACTTCAGATCTCCTTTTAGTTTCTAAGATGATAATGAATTGATGTAAATTAAGAATAAAATTGGACCTAAAACGGAACCTTGTGGTACACCACATTTGATCTCCCTTATGGAGCTACAAATATTAATGACTTCAACATACTGCTTTTCTATTTTCCAGATAGTTTTTTAACCAATCAAATATGTTTCCTCTGATACCTATTGAATATATTGTTACGTTATTCGGGTGCAGAAGCGAACACGACACTATTTATTTTCGAACTGATTCATTTTAACTTAAGGACCACTAATTTATATCGAACTTATAACTACTATTCATGTCAAATAATTTATCACGCGGTATATGACTCTCTCTGACACTCGCTGCTTGAGTTGTTCGGCCGTCCTTATATATGAGATCCCTTGGTAGGCTTTGCTTCTCGAACGTTCTCCAATGATCTTCCGTACCCTTCATTTTGTTCTAGAAGCTACTTTGAACAATAATACCTCTCTCTCTCTCTAATTGTTCCATCGTTTGTTTCCAGAACATTCCAGAATCTTCTGTCATGTTATTTGTCACCGCGGCATATATTGAGTGTTCGGAAATATGCTGGTGCATGTAGGAATCATTGGGAGGTTGGATAACAATCTGGGATGCGTGTTACAGGATGATCGTTGTACTCCTGTCTTCCTGAGGATGTATCTAGAGCCCCTCTAAGGGAAATATCATTACACTATTATTATTGTTACATTGTGTTGTGTAGGTGTTGATAACGATCATTTCGCACCTCCGACCGTCACTAGCGATGGTGGAATTTTCGAGGAAGAGCCCAGAAATTTGCAAGCCGGTGTCCGAATCAGTAGGCTGCGCAAAGAGTTCGGCAACAAAGTGGCGGTGAGAGATTTGTCCTTGAATATGTTCGAGGACCAGATAACGGTGTTGTTGGGCCACAATGGAGCAGGGAAAACCACCACTATGTCCATGTTGACGGGCATGATCACACCGTCCAGCGGTACTGCCAGAATCAACGGGTTCGACATCAGGTTAGTTGACATTGACAATGAATCTCGGATTTTATCAATCGGTTTGTTTTCATCTATTTAGAGAATTGAAAAATGTTTCGATAATATTTGAAGGACTCGTGGTATTACCTTCGATAAAAAAAATCTAGTCAAAAATTGATTTGAAATATTCCATTTTGTTTTAGGACCAACATTGATGGAGTGAGAAACAGCCTCGGGCTCTGTCCACAACACAATATCATTTTCGATGAACTTACTGTCTCTGAACACATTTATTTCTTCAGTAAGCTCAAGGGACTTTCAAACGACCAAATCAAAGCTGAGATTGATAAGTTCCTGGATCTTCTCGAATTAACAGACAAGGTAAATTCTAGTAGGAATGACATGAATGATCAGACAGTAATTCCTGGTATAAGATCATTCATGAAGTATTATCGACTGTTGTATAATGGAAATTACAAATAGTGAACAAAACTTACATATCATTAAGATACAGTCACATTATAGTGAACAAGAAGGGGAAAAATAAAAACAGTGAAAAAAAAAGAAAAAAGGAAATTCATAGTCTTTCAGCTTTGATCATTCCTTTGCATATAAATATATTTCTTAACTTTATTTTCGAATTGCATAATATTTGGGCTGTTTTTGATATCATCTGGTAAATTATTGAATTTCGAAATCGCCTCATGTGTAAACTTTTTTTGTCCAAGTTTAGAATTTGGATCCGCCATCTCGAATTTTCCAATTTTGACAAAAGAATCATAATCGCCGACCCCAAAAACCCCCAGATACCAATTTAAAATAGTATCGAATCATGATTACAAAACTCGTTTGCCATTTTGGAGCCGCCATTTTGTTTTTTCAAAGATTTCATGATGCGTTGTCACCCGAACTATGTACACCTGCCAAATTTCAAATCAATCGGTCTGTTGAAAGTGGGTTAAAATTAAGTCCAAAGGATACATACATACATACTTACATATACATACAAGTGAGGAGCTAATAAAATGGTTTTGAAAAATTTAGCCAATTTTGTTAATTTGGAATGAGGTGATTTTCAGCATATGGATATGAATATCAGGACGGGTGCGGTTTCATGGAAACTTGAACATCTTGTGTACAATATGTAGTCTGATTCGAAAACTGCAATCATCATGAATCGATGTTGATATTAGTATACCACGGAATGTCCAAAAATGAATTGATTTCAACCGCTCACTATTTCGGAAATAATTGGTATGTATATCGTGAGTACGTGCAGATATCATTGAACTCTATAGTGGATTTTCACCGGCCACATGGACAAACAAAACGTAGTCGATTTTATTTTGGTATTCGAAAAGGAAACTTCACAATATATAGCCATTCGAAATTTTGAAAAAGTCAACTTCGGCACCCTGTATAATACAAATTATTGAATTTAGAGCGTTGATAATTGGGACATCTGATCAGCATCACGAGTTCTACGATATATCCAAAATTCTAGAAAATTCACCGAAAGCCAATTTCCCCCCTATTGCGGTGCGGGGTCCTTTCACGTCGATAATTCTCAGATTTCAAAATAATGTAATATCTTCTCAATATCGATTCGTCCGTTCTTCTGTCACAGGAAAATAATAGTGTATCATACACGGGAAAAATATCAGATTTTAGCTCCAGGTTGTGTTGTCTCCCGACGCGTAGCGTATAGTATAGTATACTTTTCAAATATTCCAGAGGAACGCAAAATCTTCGACGTTGTCGGGCGGTATGAAAAGGAAGCTTTGCGTAGGTATGGCGCTGTGCGGCAATTCCAAGGTGGTCATGCTGGACGAACCGACCGCCGGCATGGACCCTTCGGCCAGAAGGGCCTTGTGGAACCTCCTCCAATCCCAGAAAGAGGGTCGCACCATGCTGCTGTCCACTCATTTTATGGACGAGGCCGATTTGCTGGGCGACAGGATCGCCATAATGGCCGGCGGTGAATTGCAGTGTTGCGGTTCCAGTTTTTTTTTGAAGAAAAAATTTGGTGCCGGTTACGGACTCATCATGGACAAGTCGAAGGAGTGTGACGCCGGTCGAGTGACTCAGCTGTTGAGGCAGTTCATACCGGATATCGAGGCAAGTGCCCTTCTTTCTCTCTACAGGGTGTTTCATAAAAACCTGACCCCCTTGCTAGGGTAGGTGTTGAAAAAATGATTTTTCTACACATGTTTCACGATTATGTCGAAACAACTGGCAACATTGTAATGAAATTGTGTATGAATGTTTCTTAAAATCTGACCCTCATAGAGGGCGCTAGTTACACGGTTCGTACCGAGTCGTTTTCGGGATAATTCGATTTGAAAATAATGGAGTAGTAATGATGCTGTTATGAAATGAATTTTATTGAATGGCAATCAAACATTGGCGATAACAAAAATTCTAAATGGCAGTCATACCCATCCATTTTATGGAATTTCAACACTTGTTGCTCAGTTGCTACACAGTACTAGGATGATGAGAAGATGCATCAACGAATATATAAAATTGTATCAGGTAACGACTACATTCAAACAGCAGTCAAGTCCTGCCGAATTATAGAAATGTCAACACCTATTGCTCTGTTAGTACATTTTTCGAGAATTGTGATAGTGACAAGTCATACTCATCCAGTTTATGAAATTTTGACCCTTGTTGCTCAGTTGCTACACAATACTCGCTTGATGAGGAGATTAACTCACGAATTTATAAAATTGGATCTGGCAGCGACCACATCCAATAAGCAGTCTAATTCTTCCACAATATAAAAACTCGCAACACTTCTGCCATTGTATAAAATGGCAATCAAGCCCGCCAGTTTGTGGAAATTTCAATATCTTTTGCAGTGTTTCTACATTCTTCAAAAATCTGAAAGTGACAGTCATATCCGTTGAGTTTATGAAATTTCCATACGTGTTGTTCAGTTGCTACACAAAACTCGGGGATGAGAAAATCAACTCACGAATATATTAAATCAAATAGCAGTCAAGTACTGCCAGATTATAGAAATTTCAACACTTGTTTTTCCCTTTCTGAACCACACTCGAACTAGATTCCTGCTGATGTATAAAATGATAATCAAACCCAGTTTGTGAAAGTTTCAATATCTATTACTCTGTTTCTACATTTTTGTCAAAAATCTGAAAGTGACAGTCATATCCGTTGAGTTTATGAAATTTCTACACGTGTTGTTCAGTTGCTACACAATTCGGGTAATGATCATAATCAAACGTGAAAAATGAGGAAATGAGTTGAATCCGCCCGGCTTACGAAAATCTTGAATCATAAATAACCCCCCCGTGAAACAAATAGCAAATGATTACAAATAAAATTACCTATTTATTCAGATTCGAAAACAATAAAATTATTCTTGTGCTGAAGTTATTGATGGAACAAAGAATCATAAGTAGAAAATCAAGAGATATTTGAAGGTTATCAATATGTGTGTTATGATTGTGATTGAACATGTGTTCGGCTACACACGATTGATCTAACCTACCTTATTTCAAATGCGCTAAAAGTGTTCTTTGAACCTTGTTCTTATGGGACGCCTTGTTTGGCCTATATATGTTTTATCACAATCATTATGTATACAACTAATTTCATATATTCCTGACTTTTCAAGGGTGTCCACCTCATCTTTTGAATTACCTAATTAATTGCCTAAGGGATCGGGATTTTTCTCTGATTGTTTTTATCCGCTTGAAAATTCGTAGAATTCCTGAGTGATAACTTAAATGTATGTCTACGTATTAATTTATCTACTATTTTGATATCATAACCATTGCCGCCAGCCACTGTATAAACAACGCTCACTTCAACATCGAATCGAAACAAGGAATTGAAGATGAGGTTGACAGACGATATTGACGTTAGGAACTGAGGAAGTTATGTTGACAATGTAGTTCGTCTGCTTCTTCTCTTCGTGTATTTCTGGGAACTTAGATATTACGCTGTTGCCAGGGCCACAAAATAATTTGGGTTTAAATAAAATCTTTTTCGATCGTTATCAGGAATACCACTGATACTGAAGCATGTCTTGCTAGTATGCAATTATTGATTAGGTCGAACTATTATTGCCTTCTTTTTTGTGGCATAAATTTGACTAGTGTGTATAATTCCATTGCTATTATGTCAAAAAATGATCCAATCGTTTCATGATGTTGTTCTTCCATAGATATATAGCAATATTGGGTCTGAATTGACATATCTGTTGACGGAAAATCAGTCCAGCAAGTTCGAACCGATGCTGCAACAACTGGAAAAAGACTCGGAAAGATTGGGTGTGAGAAGCTATGGTATATCTTTGACTAGCCTGGAAGAAGTATTCATGAAGTAAGTATACCATTCATTTAAGCCCATTTTTATTCCAAATAGTTTTCATCAAGCTAGATGAATATATTTCAGACATGATCATGAAACAAAGTTCAATTTCTTTTCACCGGCATATACATCAGGGTGACAACTGCATTTATCATGCGATGTTTTTTTTCGATTTTTTTTTGTACTTACGTATTTTTGTCTGAAAAACACGAATTTGATAATGAAAATGTGAACAAACCATTATTCATCAAGATATTTCAATATAAAGTTACAATTTTCATCTTTTTTTCCGCCTGTCTTCTGGTCGTAAAAAAATCTTATTTCCTGTCGAATCTTCTATATAAAAATGTGTCGTTGAAGAACATCATGAGAATATAAAATGTCCGATGACAAAATATGAAGAGCAAGAAGCTGTAAATGCATCCAACACAAGTGGAAAAAGAAGGCGAAATTTCGAACTTTGTCTTGAAATATCTCGATAAATAGTAGTTTGTTCACATTTTCATTATCAAATTCGTGTTTTTCAGACTAAAATACGTAAGTACCAACAAAACATTTCGAAAAAAAAAACATCGCATGATAAATGCAGTTTTACCGAAATATTTAGTTCCTGATGACGGTGTGAAGAATTTGAACAAAATCTGTTGTCTTATCTACTACAATATGGTATTACAGGGTTGGAGCTGATCACGGTCAAGAAGAAATGTATAATGATGTCCCGATGGAAAACGGATTCATGAACGAAAAATATACATCTGGCAAAGGTCTGGGAGACGGTGGTACAAGTAAGCATGATACATTCAGTTTTACAATATTTCCTTGGTTCATTATAATTTTTGTTTCTAATTTTGGAATGTAATTTGACACTTTTCATAACTGATGGAAGTTTGGAAACGTCTTACTTTACGTAACTCAGCCATTTCCACTAGGGTTCCTAAATGTGCTTGACACTGCTGTTTCGACGTTTTTTGTATATTAGAGTACGGACACTATGACAAGCACTGACAATCAGACATAACCACAAATTAATTGATGGAAAAAGCGGGAACTGACAGTACGCGGTCGTACATGACATGAATTTCAAAGGTTTGACATATTGAGAGAGTTAGGTGAAAGATGCAAGTTTGTGCAGTTTCCAACTGTGAAAATACGGGAAATCAATTCACTCTAGTCGAATTTCCATCGTATAACGTAATTCTCCAAAAATGGAAACAGAAATATGATGCGGCCGGCATGGAATATAGGTTCAGGCTACAAAATTTGCGAGGTATTCAAACTTCTTGGTAGGATATAGAACATTTTTCAACGCATTTTTATCAGGTACACTTCAGAACGGAAGATTTGATGTTGAAGAATTCAATCGTATTGAGAGAAAGAGCCGAACCCACAATTTATAAACTGAGCGAGTATCGAAAAGAACCTTATTATTCCAATTTAGAACCAACAAGAAACGAAAAACTTGCAGATAATGATAATGAAGAATCGAATTTTTTTTTTTTGGAAAAAAATTAAAGCATTTGATAAAGCGAATGAAATTATATGAAAACGGTACTCTTATCAAATTACAAAAACAGTTTTCGAGATTTTGAGTTTTTCTAGTCACATGATACTAGCAGATTAATTCATCGGTAACAATATTCAAGGAGGCAATGTTCAATTTTGTTCCTAATTCTGACGTTCATGACATAAACATTGTGATTGTTAATTTGTTTGTTTATTTATTTTTAATACTGCGATTTTCAACTGAGAAACACGTGTTGATTTTCAGTGATATAAGTAATTTTAGAAAAAGCATGGTATGTAACGCGTTTATAAACTCTTCTAGACACTCGTTTATTAAACACTCGCTCCGCTCTGCTCCGCTCGTGCTTAAAATACTCGTTACTAAAAGGACGTTTATAACACTTGTTACATAAAATGTATTGTGAAATTCAAACAATTTTGAGAGCGGAACGACTATGATGCTGTTGTCACAATGAAAGGCGTGTAACTTAATAAATCCAAACATTCAAAAACACTAACAGTTTTCTTTTCTGTGTCCGAACTCTTATCTTACTAATACTATTCAGTGACTCTAGTATATTCATCTTTAATATTTATATACAGAGTACAGCGGTTTCAGCACAAATCTGTTCTAGAGACGTTTTCGACGAAAATTAGAAAAACTATTGTACGTTACACCTTAAGAAACGCATTTTGTGTCTCATTGTTATACAAGATGATGCGTTTCCTAACTGGTTACTTGAATATCTATTTTTATTTCTCTAGTGGACGTGTCTATGTCCCCGAACTATACCGGCGGTATGGAATTAATAGCCAACCAGTTCTTTGCGCTGCTTCTGAAAAAAACCGTGTCCACTCTCCGCTCTTGGATCTTGTTGATCGTGCAAGTCGGTATGCCTACTCTGTTTCTCATCATCACCATTGTCGTCATGAGGAACAACAACCGGACTGGCAATTTGCCTGCGATGCCGCTGGATCTGAGCAAGTTTGCTCAACCAGCAACGTTGGTGGACGTGAACGAATCCAACGACTTTGGAAATTTATCCGATTACTATGATCAAGTCATACGAGAGCAAGGAAACTCTGTGGATCTCATCAAAAACATCACCGACGAAATGCTGAAGCTGGTAAGATAAAGGAAAAAATGTAGCTTTCCATATTTTTTTAAAAAAGAAAAAAACGAACTTGGAACACATTTCAGTCATTTTGTAAAATTATCTTGCGAAATTGCATAAATGGATTTTTTTCTGTAACGGGAAAAAAGTGTGACTTTTGATCAGAAAAAAAAATCCTCGAGTTCTGGCAGCATTGGAAACTTAAACCATAGTGTAATGGTTCCACTTTACACCCTGTGTAAGTTTTGTTCTGCGGACTTTTTCAGAGTGTTCTAGCTCTCTTTGAAGCCGATGAAACATCACATCTGATATCGAAAATCGTTAATTTTTTTCAGAAAATACAAATCTCTTCGAAATAGAGTCAAATTATGAGTGGTCCATTTAGTGTATTTAGGTTCCTATTTGTAACGACAATGTATCAACGATGAACGAAATTTCCAGACGAATGATGTACCTAACACCGTAAGGAGGCGCTACATCATCGGCGCATCCTTCGAAAAATCCCAATTGGGGCTTCCTCAGGTGACGGCCTGGTTCAACAACGACCCCTACCATTCGCCGGCCATCGCCCTCTCGATGGCTTTGAACGCCGTCTACAAGAAATATACCGAGTGCACGGACTGCAGCATACGATTCGCCAATGATCCGCTGCCCTACACTACCGATACTCAACTCAAGCAGGTCTATAATATTTTTATTGTTTACCTTCATTTGATTACCGAGCCAAACACAGTGGAATATGAAGAGAAGTAAATATTCGCTATCAATGCTATTATTATTGTTGATATGCTCACTAACTCACTAACCTAACATTTTACACTTCTTTTTCCACATGGCACTGGCGCGTATTTGCTATTAGGAGTGACACCTGTTCCAAATGGATTAATCGATTCAATAAAACGAAACATGTCATATTTGTAACGTTTTATTAATTTCCATGGGTTTTCAACGTGTAAAGGCCGAGTAAAAAAATCGCACTTTTCAAATTATATTAAGTTTCTTGTCATCTCTAATAATTGCAGATCCTCAGCGGCCAAACGATGGGCTTCCAATTGGCCTTCAACATCGGCTTCAGTATGGCCTTCGTGTCATCCTTCTACGTGCTGTTCGTCGTCAAAGAGAACATTTCCAAGTCCAAGCATTTGCAATTCGTGTCCGGCGTTAAAGTGTACCTTTTCTGGTTGACTTCTTTGTTGTGCGATCTCATCACTTACCTTTTGACCATCGTCGTTCTGCTCATCACTTTGGTGTGCTTTCAAGAAGAGGGCTATTCAACTCCTGAAGAAATCGGTCAGTATTGGTTTTTTCCTTCTGGAAACCCAAAAAAGTTCATTGAATTTTGGGAAAATTCATAAATGCTTCTATAATTATTATCATATATGAAAATAATACTTGATTGGATCCAACAGAAAATGATGATGACTGTTAGGAAAAAGATTGTCTCATTTACTGACAGAATTAAATCATCTTCATCTTCCATCTCCATAGTGGTGATTATGAAATTGAAAATGATTGAAATAATAAACAGCTTCATTACTCAACCAGTATTAAGTTGAGGCATAAAAATAGTTATTTCTTTTACTTGGCAGCAAAGTCGTAGATTGACTGCCGCGGAAAATATACATTCTTTGGTCTATAATTGAATATTTTGCGTTACAGCACAAATGCTCTTCATACTATTGTAGATCATGGAAGATATCATGATGGAACATACAAAATTTGTGAATGTTCTTGATTTCATTCATCATTAGATTTATTCCAATATGAAAGAGAATATACTGAATGTCCAACACAGTCGGTAGCTTGACATATATGGGCAATAAAAACCTCACTTAGTCTGGAAATACCTTGTGACCGAGATTGCAGATACTTCTAGGGCAATACAAAAGGGCATCATGTAGGTGGAACTTTTAATAATAATTTATTTCTAAATTCGATCTGGGTGTTCAGTTTTGGTTCAAAAGAGATGAAAAAGTTATATGGGGAAAGTTGTTTCTATTTCAATTTTGCACATGTGTCTCGAGTTTGGACATTTTATAGCAACTTGTATTTTTTGATATCTTTTCAATTTCTACGAAATGTCTGATATTAGAAAAAAATTAACACTGACAAAACTATTGCATCTAGTAGTTTCATCATGCTACTAACTATCAATCACTAATTATCGACTGGAATATGACTTCCTTCAGAAAACAATAATCCACGCTTCGAATTTCTATTATGTTTGATGCAAAGTTGATGTATTGTCTATCACTCAGAAGCTGAATTTATTCAAATTGATTTTTTCAGTACCTACTAAATTGATGCCAAAGTCATATATATCGAAAGTATCATCAAACTACTTTACGTATCTCACCAAAGTTTAGGACATCAGCCTTGAAGTTATGGTTAGAAGAAATCAAAAAATATCAAGAACTATAAGTTGCAATAGATTCAAATTCGAGACACGTATGTAAAATTGAAATAGAAGAAACTTTTCTCAGTGAACTTTTTCTTTAAATTCAAACAAATAAGCCTCTATTTTCAGCGATTAAGTTGAAAAAATTCAACTTTTGACATGCAGCAAAAGTTACGTGATTCCGACCGAGTAAACCAGTTTTCGAAATAAACTATTATTAAAAGTTTTTCCATACGATGCCGACTTTATGAATGACACTGCATGTTTCTATTTTCAATACAATTAATAATAGTGTCCGATATCAATAGTGGTGATGTGAAATGGTAAATGATTGACTATCAGTTCAGCTACAATTCTTTTTCAAGACAGTGTTAGGTTCAGACAAAAAAAAATAATTCTTTGGCCCCTAATTGAATTCCTTCGAATTTTCTTTTACAGCACGAATGTTCTTCATACTTTTGTATTTCGGCTGGGCATTCATACCAATGCTCTATTTGACAGGATACTTTTTCGATGTACCTTCCACAGGCTACACCAGAATGACCTTGCTGAGTATTGTCACAGGTGAGAAGTGTTTTTGCAAATTATACTCAACTAGCTGTTTGGCCTCGCACGATTGGTGTATCCATTTAAACAAATCAGACATTTGTTGCAGTTCGCTCATTTTATGGACTATTGTGGTAATGACTGAGTTTTTGACTTTTTCCTAGTGGAATATACGCCAGTCGGGCAACGAGCCACTCCTATTTCACCTGAAATGGGATCTTGTTTATTTCCTTGCCAGGTGGCGTTCGGCGTTCGAGATCATTTCGCGGACGTTGAACGCCTCGTGGGGTATAAATGCTGAGATGCGTTTACGTTGGGTCAGGTTCGCACTAGATAGCGGTCAAGAATGCTATCTGGGACAGCCCAGCACTGATGAGAGCCAACAGCTCGAAACCGGTCTGCAGGTAATCATGCGTTCCTGAACCACTTAGACGCAGCTCGGCGTTTAGGAAGGAAACACTTGCGATTTTATTCGTCTATACGAATTATTGCATAGATTTCGGGAGAATGTATAGTCCAATATTCTGCGTGGCATATAGCCAAGAAAGTAGTTGTTTCTCTTTATCTACCATTTTCGTTCATTTTACGAACTATTGTGGTAACGACTTTGAGTTTCTCTCTCTTTGTGACCATTGCATTCCACTTTGGAATTTGGCTTTTCAGGTTTTATAGCTAGTGGTGGAAAAAGGAATTTTTCAAATCGGTTCAGTATATTTTTGGAGCCTATAGAATTAACAAATCAATGAGACACATTTCCATATTATAGGTACATATTTCTTTGTAGAATACAATTTCCTTTTTATTAATTATCATTTGTATCAAGTACTGAAATTTGAACCTATACCTACTAACTCCCAGCCAACCATGAGATGTATAAGTGATGTATACGCCACATCACTTTGTGACATGCGATATCGCATTTGAAGTCACAAACATGTTACCGATACAACGTGGTGATGTGAAAATGTCCGACTCAAGCAACATCACTGTGACGTCGTTCAGACATGAAATGCGACATCACATGAAAAATCACTACCAGGTCACATACAAGTGTACATTTCATATCACAAATACATCACACTGCGACATCGATGATGTGGTCGCCGTACCTGTGATATTCGTGGGATATATAATAATTATTATTATTCAACTTTACGAAGAAAATGTTTATTTTCCGAAAGTAAAAACAGATGATACAAAACTTATCATGACAATCACCTTAATTAGTAATCTTGAAGTAAAACATGACACATATAATATAGCAATACAAATATACATTATTCATAAATGCGATGATACATATCAAATACTTTTACATTATCTTGGGATCTTTCATCCACGTTGTTTTAGATTGCAATATTCCTATCTCAGAGATAATTCCAATATTACCTATTGTGATTGAACTCACCATCATTCCTAAATGATTGTATACCTCCAATTTGAAACTGCTATACAAAGATATCTCATGAAGGATATCAATGTGAATTATTTAGTTAACGTCGATGAGATGTAGTTTGAAGAAGTCGCTGCCAGATTACATAGTTTCCTGGTTGCGATGTCACTTTGCGACGTTGATATCGAATCTACGTCGATAAGATGTGTTAACGAGATATTGCATTTATGCAAGGTTGTTACATCACACAGATGTTGATGTCACACGATGGTTGGCTGGGCTGTTACATTGGAAATTTCGTATGGACATTTTCAAACTCACTATCGCAGCTGCTTTCGATAGTTTATTGCCATAATTGCAACCAAACTTTCAAATAGCCGTCAGCCGATATTTCGCTGCTATGCTAATTATCATCTGCTTTTTTATCAAAACCATATCTACCAAAATTTTCATAGTTACAGTGACAACAACGATGTGATACTTCCCTTTATATCTTTGTAGTCGTAATTTTTTAGACCTTTTTGACACATATCATGTCTTAATTCCAGGCAATGCCGCTTTCTTGGTGGTCCAAGTTTTGTCGACTCCCGGCTTGGATTTGGAACACATCGGAAAAGGTCTACACTGGTTGTTCTTGTTGTTTCCGCATTATTCTCTAGCGACTGGTATCAATGAAGCCGGCAAAACGTTCATGTACAACAAACTTTGCACGACCGTTTTCCAAGGTTGCGCCAGCATGAATTTGTCGATACCCGATTGTTTGAAAACGCAGAATGCTCAGATAAGGGATATATGTTCGGGTAAGTCATATTGAATACAACAGCTTTTAGATCATGAAAAATCTCATTAATCAATCAATCAAATTATTTATTTTCCATGAATGACAATATAGATTGTATAGGAATAGTCAAAGATACTAAAAAACTATAAAACTTACAAACTAATGAGTGTAGGAATATTACTTTTTGCTGTGACGGTAAAAAAGTTTGGCATTTCATCTCTGTTGGCAGGTTATAAAACGTCACTTTTCATAAATTACTTTTTTCAAGTGGGAAAAAAGTGAGTACTTTTTTCCCCGGATATATATCACATATATATACACAGTTGATGGCTTTTGTTGTGCTATAGTTTCGAAAAATGAGTCAATAATACCGTCTCCGAGAAAGAACTGCAAGTCCTTTTATCTTCCATTCGACTTCGCGGTTACGAATATTACTAAACAACCACTAAATTCGCAATTTTTCGAAATCAAATCACAGAATCAGTCTGACAGAAGTGACATCAGATATTTGATCACTTCAAAAGGATGATAAAGATGTCTACAACGCAGGTGTCCCTACTGTTGAAAACTTGAAATTTCATGTGGATAATTTTCAGATTTCAAAATAATATATTAATATCTCCTCAATATTGATTCGTTCTTTCTTCTGTCACAGAAAAAAATTGTGTATTATACACGGGAAAAATATTAGATTTTAGCTCACGGTTTTTTGTTCCACAAGTTATTTTTTTCTCTCGTATTGAAATTGTGTGTATTATAATTTTTCGGTGTTACTTCCCTATTTTTATAGACAAATAAATATATCTCAAAAATTGATAATCCAGTCGGAGTTAGTATGTTCAGTTTATTGAAAAGATCCCTGCAAGGGTGTTGTCTTGGTTTTCCTGTTAAACACTTCATTATTCTTTTTTATGCAATGAAAGGTTTGAAGTTGAACAAATTTCTGATGCTACTGTTTCTTGAATTGTTGTCAATGCTCTTAGCCAAGAATTCAAATTCTTGGACTTCTACCAAAGATATAGTATTTGCTTGAGGAACGCTTGCTGAGAGTTCATTTATAGACATTTATTTTTCATTACCTGTTGATTTTCCAGATCTGGATCAGAATTATTTCAGTTGGGCCGCTCCCGGCATCGGCCGAAATATCCTCTATTCCGCTTTGGTAGGTCTGGCGTTCCTCCTGCTCCTCCTCATCATCGAATACGAAGTGTTCGCCTCGCTGATGTACTTCATCGAGCAGAAATTGTTCGCCAGAGGGCCGGTAGACGTGCAAGAAGAAGATTCCGATGTGGCGAGAGAGAAGGAGAAAATCCGAAATGCCACAGAAACGGACATCAGTCGCGATTACACTTTGGCCGTTCGGGATTTGACCAAGTATTATAAGAAGTTTTTGGCTGTGAACGGATTGTGTTTGGGTGTGAAGAAATACGAGTGTTTCGGCCTGCTGGGCGTGAATGGCGCTGGGAAAACTACTACATTCAAGATGATGTCTGGGGATGTCAAGATTTCTCATGGCGATGGATGGGTGAGTTATTTTTTGTTGAATAAATAGTAGTTTGAAAAACTAAAGAAACACGCTTTTATAGATAGTCAAACTAAAAAGAGGTAGAAAATTAAATAATTAAAGTATGTTGATATGTACACAACATAAAATATATAAGCAACTCCGTAATCAGTACATTCTATGTTGTATATTAACAACAAACTTTCATTCTATTATTTTTTCTGCAACCGACACACCAGTCTTCAATTTCAATACCAAAATTAGCTCTTGAATTGACGTTTCTAATACTGACACAAACATAGGTATGTTGCTGGGTAACACTTTTAGTTCCTATAGGAGCTAAAGTTGAACTTAAGTTCCTAGAAGCTAAAGTTGAACTTTAGTTCCTAGAAGCTAAAGTTGAACTTTAGTTCCTAGGAGCTAAAGTTGAACTTTAGTTCATAGGAGCTAAAGTTGAACTTTAGCTCCTAGGGATTAAAAAGAATGTCCTAGGTTATCAAGAATAAACAACATATTGTTACGGTTGGTTATTTGGGTTGGGACGCATATTCCTGTTTCCGATTTCGGCAGATTTGGCATCTCATACCCATGTTGGAGATATAAATACACCATACAGTTGAGTATTTTTTTTTTGATCAGGAAAACCTCCAAGATTCACATTCTTGCTCGATCTGTAGTTCATTCGTTATTCTCGGAATATGAAATCGTGTGTGTTCAATAGATATAATTCAATGTTCGTCGTGGCATATATAGCCAGAAAAGTTTATATTCAATGTATTCAAATATTATATTATTTATGCAAGTTCGTTATAATTGTTTAGTTAGGTATTATTGTTAACTATACTGCCTTATATCAGAACTTGTTTCTGACTGGAAGTCACATTTTCAATAAAAAAAAATATATTAATTTTTTCATGTTCATAATTTATCTGAGAATATTCGTAATTTCTTGAATTATGGGATCTTGTAGAAAAGAGGAATAATTATGAGTTCGTAGAAAAAGTATAGTATGTAACGCATTTATAAACTCTTCTAGACACTATTTTATTAAACGCTCGCTGCGCTCGTCCTTGAGATAGGTACTCGTTACTGAAAGGACGTTTATAACACTAGTTACATAATATACTATTATCACTTTGGAGATACTCATTGGTTTTTAAAAAATACACTTCTTTTCGAAATGAAATGTATCTTTGATCGAGACTTTGATTTTGAGTGATGTTACTGGATTTTGATGTGTTTGGAACAAAAGCTCATTCTAGCATCTCTGATTGTCAGTATGAATATGCATTCAAGACTTTTATCTTCAGAAAATGCTGAAAATGTAGCTTGCGACTCATATATCAAGCAGTAAATTATTTCGGGATATCAGAGGATACAACATAAATCGGTTTTATCAATGATGCCCTGTGTTGCCGTTTGGTAACACCATCATGGGTTAATTTTGCTCCATGATAATGATATAACCCACTAAGCAAAGTTGAAAGCTATGTTGATGCAATCTTGAAGTGATTACTGAAACGGACGTTCAGCAATATTGCAAAGGTGAAGTTTGATAATGTAGCCTTGCAGCAATATTACATGTTGGAACGTTACATTTACAAATTTACATTTGCAATATTGCTGAACGTCCGGTTCAGTAATTGCTACAACCTTGCATCAACATAGCTTAGTGGGAACCCAGCGAGCACAAAAACATCTCAGAGATGTTAAAAGTACGAGATTTCGAGACATTGAACCTCCACTGCGATGTTCTGTTCACACATGAATAAAACTATTATAGAACAGCCAATGTCCGCCGCAGGCGGCAATTATCGAGATTTCCTTGATATGTCACAAAACTACCTTCTCCCTAGTTCTTTTTAAAGCCTTTTCATGGGCACAACAAAACATTTTCAACGCGTCTTGCGCACATTAAATCGCTGTAAAAAAAACATTTTCGAGGTACTTTTCTGAAGCCTTTGTCAAAATGAACTTTTGCATTAGGATTCCATTTCCCTTGAATGAAAAAATGCATTAAAAATAGATTGAACATAAAAATATTTTCTTGATATGAAATTACCTTCTTAATCGGTTTCTGAGTAGTGCTTACTACATACAGACATATAATTGGAAATAGGTTTCCCAATTCTTGAAATGTTCTTCACAATGCATAATTTTGCAACTGCGGAAAAGCAGTTTATTGATGAAATCGTACTTTTATATATTGATTACACTGAGGCACCGAACAACACATCTTGCATCTGATGGTCATTATTACAAACTAAATAAGTCTTCTGAAACAATAAACTTCACCAAATTCCTTTCTGTTCGTTAGCAGCGTGATGTAAGCGTGACACGCTGCAAACGCGAATGCCAATTGCGAACAAGAAGAACAAAATCGAAAACAAATCAGAATTCATCGTATATTCGTATTGTGTCGTAAGCATGAGACGTTGTGGTGGGGCAAACAAAGAAAGGACACAAAAGAACAAAAACAATACTTTCAATATCCTTCTAAGACCTCTTTGGGAAGTGCATATTACGCCTCAAAAAAACATCCTCATGCCTACATTTCTAAAACATCCCAAAACATCCCAGGGATACCTCTCAGTAGGCAAACAAAGAAATGCCACAGAAGAACAAAAACAATACTTCAACATCCTTCAAAGACCTCTTTGGTCAGTGCATATTACGTCTCAAAATAACATCTTCATGCCAACATTTTCAAAACATCCCAGGGATGTTTGTGCTCGCTGGGAAGGAGCATCTTTTCATACGTACATTAATTTTTGCGCGTCTTAATTCTCATAGGTCAACGGTGATAGCATAAAAAGACAGCTGAAGTCGGTGCAAAAGGTGATCGGATATTGCCCTCAATTCGACGCCCTCCTCGACGATATGACTGCCAAAGAAACCATCCAAATGTTCGCCCTCCTCAGAGGCATCCGGTATGAAAACACCAAGAAGGTGGCGGAATACCTGTCGAAAGAATTCGATTTCCATCGGCATCTGAACAAGCAGGTGAAAGAGCTCAGCGGAGGCAACAAGAGGAAATTGAGCACGGCCATTTCTTTGATTGGGGATCCGCCGGTTCTGTTCCTCGACGAACCGACCACAGGTAAAAGAAATGACATTTGTTTGCGATCGACTGAAAAGTCGTCCATTTTTTATTCCAAAATAAGCTCCTAAAGATGACGTTTCTCCTACTGACACAATGAAATGATTAGTATGTATGTTGATAGGCAATACTTTTGGTGTCTAGGAGCTAAAGTTGAAGTTTAACTCCTAGGAACCGCAAGTGTGTCGGATGACAGCTGATATGATAGCTGCTTTGACACTGACATGCTCAAGTGACTAGAAATAGTGGAAACTTAACTCATATTTTATTAATCAATATCAATTATTTCGTTTGCAGAAAAAATAGCATGTTTCATTCGGATCAAAAGTGACTCTGTTTGACTCGCAAAATTTGCGTGCGTGCAAATGATCATGCAATATCAACCTTGTCTTTTATAAATAGGTATTCAAATATGAAATAGAGTCTCTGAAGCATTTATTTTTCAAGTTAATTTTGTATCTGGTTGCTTCCTGTATATTCCTCAATTGACTTGGTAATGAGTTGTATAGAACGATGCCTGTATGAAAAATGGATTGTTCGCCAATTTTTGACTTTATTCGTACTCTGGTACCAATTTTGAATCAAATCGGATCATAATTACAAAACTCGTCTGCTATGTTGTATCCGCCATATTGAATTTTCAAATAATGACAATAGCATCATAATCTCCGAAATCCCCCCGATTCCAATTTTGTATAGAATCGGATCATATAATTCGTCCACCATATTGGATCCGCCATTTTGAATTTTCCAATTTTGATGAAAGAATCATAATCTCCAACCCCCAAAACCCCCGCATACAAATTTGGAGTTGAATCGGATCATAATTATAAAACTCGCTCGCCATATTGGATTCGCCATCTTGAATTTCAAAACTTTGACGAAAGAATCATAATCTTCGATCCCGAAAACCCTCAGACGCAAATTTTGAATAAATTCGTATCATAATTACAAAATTCGTCTGCCATATTAGATCTGCCCCATCTCGAATTTACCAATTTTGACGAAAAAATCATAATCTTTTTTGAATAGAATCGGATCGGAATTACAAAACTCGTCCGCCATTTTGAAGACGCCACTATTTGTTTTTTGCCTAACAATAATTTCATGATGCATTGCCACCCGAACTATGTATGTACAGGGTCTTCATCACGTATATTTTGAACCCCCACTGAACTTCTTTATGTATTGTTCAATATATTATTATTGTATTGTACAGGGTGGCCAACTAAGACTCCAGAGTTCGATTTCTCTGTTGTCTTGAGAGATACAAAAAAAATTCATGAATCAAAATCGAAGTAATAACCGAGCTTCACATTTTAAAATTTCTTTGGAATACACAGGGTGTTCGGTAAGGTCACAGCACACCAAAGCTATGTTTTTTTCATCGGAACACCCTATATTTTATTTCATTTTTGAATTCTCCCTGAAGATCTGATTTCAACGACCCATCCATACTTGGTCTAGCAGTGAAAGTTAATCACATATAGGGTGTGCAAAATCGAGATTTTCCAAGTTCAGGATTTTTTTCTGTCGAAACTGTTCATTATTCGTCAAAACGGTTTACATGTCCCTATCTCAACTTTTCACTCACTATCAATTGGTGTTCAATTGAAATAGATACAAGGTGGTCAAAAAATCTAAATTTATAATTTGTTTCAATTAAATGTCAATTGAACACCAATTGATAGTGAGTGAAAAGTTGAGATAGGGACATGTAAACCGTTTTGACGAATAAGGAACAGTTTCGACAGAAAAAATCCTGAACTTGAAAAATCTCGATTTTGCACACCCTATATGTCAGTAACTTTCATTGCTAGACCCTAAGTATGATACGTCGTTGAAATCAGATCTTCATGGAGAATTCAAAAATGAAATAAAATATAGGGTGTTCCGATGAAAAAAACATAGCTTGGATGTGCTGTGACCTTACGGAACACCCTGTGTATTTCAAAGAAATTTTGAAATGTGAAGCTCGGTTATCACTTTAATTTGAATGGAAAACTTTTTTTTGTATCTCTCAAGACAACAGAGGTATTGAACTCTGAATTCTTAGTTGGCCACCCTGTATATTGTATTGTTAATTATTGAGGTAGGGCTCTGAAATTTGCAGGAATAAGGAAAAGTCCAAAGATAAAGTCCATTGCGTAAGATACCGGGGTGCTTCCGTAAAAAGTGCGACAAAATTTGATTTTTCAACTGAAAATTTCCTAAGAAAAATATGAATAGTTAGTGAATTTTGGGCATCCTGATTCTAAATCTGAAGTGATTTTCGACTCCTAATATCATTTTCCGGAAATTGGGGTGATTCCATGGCTGTTGGCGAGCAGTGTATATCACTGAAGATGACCCCACTTGATCATAGAGTGCATTTTTGGTATATCTCTCGCTCCAGCAAATTTCAGGATCCTTATCCAACGATTACGTAAGATACAGCTAGGGGTCACACTGTATACAGGGTGGGCCAGTAACGCCTCGGTCTCTAGAAGGCTAACCACTTATCTTCTTGGAATTCTTCCTCTCTAGGAAGTTGCATGTCAACATAGGCTACCATTTGAAATTATTTTGAAACATACAGGATGTCCCCAAAAATCACAAAACACTGAAGTTAAACTTTTTTCTATCGAACACCCTATATATTATTTTATTTTGAGATTCTCCCTGATGAACTGATTTCAACGACCCATCATACTTGGGGTCTAGCAGTTATAATTACTGAAATATAGGGTGTGAAAAATCGAGATTTTCCAAGTTCAAGAATTTTTTGTGTCGAAACTATTCATTATTGGTCAAAACGGCTTACATTTCCCTATCTCAACTTTTGATTAACTGTCTACTGATATTTAATTGGGACCTATACCGGGTGATCAAGATTCTGAATTCTGCACCACCCTGTATTTGTTTCAATTAAATGTCAGTAGATAGTTGATCAAAAGTTGAGACAGGGACATGTGAGCCGTTTTGACCAATTATGAATGGTTTTTTAGACACAAAAAATTCTTGAACTTGGAAAATCTCGATTTCTCACACCCTATATTTCAGTAATTATAACTGCTAGACCCCAAGTATGATGGGTCGTTGAAATCACCTCACCAGGGAGAATCTCAAAATGAAATAATATATAGGGTGTTCGATAGAAAAAGGGTTTAACTTCAGTGTTTTATGGTTTTTGGGGACACCCTGTATGTTTCGAAATAATTTTAAATGGTAGCCTATGTTGACATGCAACTTCCTAGAGAGGAAGAATTCCAAGAAGATAAGTGGTTAGCCTTCTAGAGACCGAGGCGTTACTGGTGGCCCACCCTGTATAGCCAGGAAAGTAGTTGTTTTCTGTTGAATAAAATGAGAAAGAATTCATATTTTCATCACATGGAGAATGTGAATTCTCAATATATTTCTTTATATTCATATCCATTTTTTTGTGTTATATCTGAGAATATTCCTTTTCAATACTTCCACCCAATCAAGGGGTTCAAACTTGAACGATGGAAACTTGTTATTTGTATAGACCTCAATCGCAGATTCGTGATTAGGTTTTCTCAATTCCGAATTTCTTTCCACGTCCTGTACGATGAATATCATTTTATCCTGCATCCAAAAATAATAAAAGGGTGTTGAAAAAAGGTATGGATCCGGCGACGAAGCGCTACCTGTGGAACGCCCTGTGCAAGATCCGCGACAACGGCAAATGCATCATTCTGACGTCGCACAGCATGGAGGAGTGCGAAGCCCTGTGCACCCGCATCGCCATCATGGTGAATGGCAACTTCAAGTGCTTGGGCTCCACGCAACATCTCAAGAACAAGTTCGCCGAAGGGTACACCCTCACCATCAAGATCAAAAAGTTGCCGGAGAGCGCCGGAGCGATGCACTCCGAAACGGAACCTATCGAAAGGTGAGTGAGAGTAGTGTTCGTTAGGGATGCCGATTTTTTCAAAAATGTTTATAGTCCAGTCATTATAGACTTTGACCCGTGAATAATTTTTTAGTGGTTTTTTTTTCATAGGTGTCTCGGGAGGGTCACTGGGAGTGTAAATTCAAAATGGCGACCAAATCAAGCTTTTGCGTATGTTCGAAAATGTTTTTTTTTTAAACGGTTTTTCTTGAATAACTCGGCCATTTTTGATTCTACAGAAAAAGTTTGGGGACAAAAATTGTAGTAAATTTGGTTCTCTACAAGTTTGGTCATTACAATTTTTCTGATAGGAGCGATATTTTGTAAATTAAACCTGAAAAAAGCGACAAATTCGAAATATTTTCAACTTTACGGCATAAATGAAGAGGACTAAACTTGTGGAGAATCAAATTCTAAACAATTTTGGTTACCACGTTTTTGTTCCAAAAATCGATATTTTGGGAATTAAACCTGAAAAAAGCGACAAATTCAAAAGATTATCATTTTCTCCAATGCTTCGCATTTTACGGCATAAATGAAGAGGTTATTCCGCGCAGGTAGCTTGTCTGTCATGTCGGTGTGAAAATATGGTTCCGGAACTATTTTTTTTTTGGGTTTCTCAGCTGATGGTCCTGCCAAATCCATATCCTCTCTTTCTTCTTCGGTCAATTGGTAATGTCCAGTTTCACGTTCGTTAAGGTTCAGTGTTAATGGTGCGGGATCGTCGATGTCGTTGTCATCATCACTCTCTTCGTCATTGACGTTATCGCAAGTCTGCCCTACAAGTTTGTTTCTTCTCATTTATGGTGTAAAGTTGAGAATAAACGAGATAATGATGATATTTCGAATGAGTCGTTTTTTTTAGGTTTAATTCCGAAAATATCGATTTTCGAAAAAATAGGTGAAGACAAAATTTGTCCAAAATTTGATTCTCTACAAGTTTGTTTTTGTTCATTTATGCCGTAGAGTTGAAAATGAACGAGATAATGAAATTGTCGCTTTTTTCAGGTTTAATTTACAAAATATCGATCCTATCAGAAAAATTGTGAGGACCAAACTTGTAGAGAACCAAATTTACTACAATTTTTGTCCCCAAACTTTTTCTGTAGAATCAAAAATGGCCGAGTTATTCAAGAAAAACCGTTTAAAAAAAAAACATTTTCGAACATACGCAAAAGCTTGATTTGGTCGCCATTTTGAATTTACACTCCCAGTGACCCCCCCGAAACACCTATGAAAAAAAAAAACACTAAAAAATTATTCACGGGTAAGGTCCGTTATTTGGATATAATGACTGGACTATTAGTTTTTGGAATTGATTCGAATCGGCACCCCAAAAAATCGGTTCAAAAAAGATCGTGGAAAAAATCAATCGATTCACCTCACAAACAGATTAGACGTATCATTACGAGATAACTTGAAGAATATCCTATGAATGCAAGGATAAATTAAATTTTTTTATGAGAAACTAGCAGACCTCGCAAACGTTATTTTGCTTTGGCAGCAGCAGCAACACTTTATATACCTACATCTATCTCACTTCTTGTGTTTTTTGTTGGTAATATACATTTTCAACAACTTGCAGTAATTCGGAAGTTTTGGAAATGATCCAACTTAAAAAAATCTGCACTTTATATCTTACAGTAACTCAAAATTCTGTTGCCCATACTATATCTGCCATAATCTTCTCAATTCGGTGGAATTTCAATCTGCCACCAATATTTGAATATAAGTTACTAGCAGACCTCGCAAACGTTGTTTTGTTAAATACATTATTTCTATAATATATTTTTTCAATTCAATATTCATCAACCCAGCCAACCATCGTGTGACATCAACATCTGTGTGATGTAACAACCTTGCATAAATGCAATATCTCGTTAACACATCTTATCGACGTAGATTCGATATCAACGTCGCAAAGTGACATCGCAACCAGGAAACTATGTAATGTGGCAGCGACTTCTTCAAACTACATCTCTTCGACGTTAACTAAATAATTCACATTGATATCCTCATGAGATATCTTTGTGACCTGTGAGTGTAATGCAGACATGCGCAAAACGAACGCACACGCCAGACGCCATGTTGAGCTGTACATAGCCATGTCAGTCAGTCAGTCAGTGAGTGAGTCCGACTCCGTACAGACTATTTCCTTCCAAATTCTCTGTTGAAATATCTGAGATGAATTATAGCACATTTTATAGCAGCTTCAAATTGGGGGTATACAATCATTTAGGAACGACGGTGAGTTCAATCACAATAGGTAAAATATTGTAATTATCTCTGAGATAGGAATATTGCAATCTAAAACAAGGTAGATGAAAGATCCCAAGATAATGTAAGTGTATTTGATATGTATCATTTATGAATAATGTATATTTGTATTGCTATATATATGTGTCATGTTTTACTTCAAGATTACTAATTAGGGTGATTGTCATGATAAGTTTTGTATCATCTGTTTTTACTTTCGGAAAATAAACATTTTCTTCGTAAAGTTGAATAATTATTATCAATATATACCTATCCCACGAATATCACAGGTACGGCGACCACATCATCGATGTCGCAGTGTGATGTATTTGTAATATGAAATTTACACTTGTATGTGACCTGGTAGTGACTTTTCATGTGATGTCGCATTTCATATATGTCTGAACGACGTCACAGTGATGTTGCTTGAGTCGGACATTTTCACATCGCCACGTTGTATCGGTAACATGTTTGTGACTTCAAATGCGATATCGCATGTCACAAAGTGATGTGGCGTAAGATACGTTTCATTATAGATCCGTAATTGCTTATAAGAAATCTCGAATACTTGAAACCACATATACCACATACAAGCTCATCAGCAACCGATAGAATCATGGCAGCAGTTCCCTATTGAATATCATAATTTATCGAACACTTTTCACCCTCACAAAAACCCATGAAATACGTTAAAGATTATATCTATATTGTCTTTTAAAAACTTATGATTACTCAATAATTATTTACCGGATTCAAGCTGATAAGAAACCTATAATTTTAGAACCGTGTTTTCATATTTGAGCTCATAAACCTAGAAACTAGTTGTCTTATAAACACTCATTGGACACATCTCAGATTAGGCATTCATAGTCTAATTGAAACTCGTAAATTCTCAGTTATTCTGAGTCACATGAATGCTAATAGAAATCGCATTAAATTAGATAAGGAATTCCTTAGTGAAACTCTAAAATCCTGATATATTTTTTTCCTGACGATACCCAATAGAATTCTATTTGTAAATTCCTACACATTTCTCATATATACTGAGGCGCATGAATGTGCATAGAATACTTTTCCAATTGGAAGTGGAATATCTTATTGGTGGTCATAGGCTCCTCAAACCACTTGTGCCTGATAAAAACTCTCATACTCCATATTTGTATACGCTTATAAATCACATATACTCATGAAATATCATTAAACCTTTTAGAAAGTTCATGTGCCAGAGATAATGTACTCATACGCTACAGAACTCGGTTATATATCCTTATTAATACTCATATTTTATCTATATTTCTTCATGAGACTTCATAAGGTATTTTTGGCAGGGGTATACATCACTTATACATCTCATGGTTGGCTGGGCACGCGTTAATAACATACACTCATGCAAACACATATTCGTATATGCCTCCAATTCATTATTTTACAACACGGAAGGAACTGGTCGAGAATTGAAAAAATGAATCCTAATGCTAAATCAAAATCAATAGGCATTCAGGAAAGATTCATTTGTTATCAGTATTCGTTTATACGAGTCGATGCATAGATTTCGGTAGGATGTAATTCAATTTTCTGCGTGGCAACCAGGAAAGTAGTCGTTTTTCTCCAGAAATCTACCATTGTTGTTCATTTTATGAACATTGTGTGGATATGACTTTGCGCTTTTTGTGTTTATCTAATGCCATATTCCATTTTAGGTTCATAAGCGAGCATTTCCCTAGCGCTAAGCTGAGAGAGAGGCACCAAGAACTGCTGAATTATTATATCATCGATAAGACGTTGTCTTGGTCAAGAATGTTTGGAATTCTAGAGAAGGGGAAACGAAGCGATCTCAATATTGAGGATTATTCTTTGGGGCAGAGCAGTCTCGAACAGGTAATGATAATACTTTATTTTTTCCACAACTATAGCTATAGAACCTATTATTATTTACACCTTTTGAAGGTGTATAGTGTGTTTTTTCTGTGACGGGAAAAAAGTTTGGCATTTCATCTCTGTTGGCACTTCATAAATTACTTTTTTCCCGTGGGAAAAAAGTGAGTATTTCTTTCCCGGATATGTATCACATATACAGTGTGTCCCACTTACCATGCTCACCATGGATATCTTTTTAACGGTGAGAGATACGAGGTCGGTTAAATGGCACCAAATGTGGAGTTTGTCAAGGCCAACTATAATGTGAAAAAATATTTTGATAAAATCTATTCGTTTTTGTTTTATACGCAAAAAACATATTTTGATTTATTTATTTATTTATTTTATTTATTTTATTTATTTTATTTATTTTATTTATTTTATTTATTTTATTTATTTTATTTATTTTATTTATTTTATTTATTTTATTTATTTTATTTATTTTATTTATTTTATTTATTTTATTTATTTTATTTATTTTATTTATTTTATTTATTTTATTTATTTTATTTATTTTATTTATTTTATTTATTTTATTTATTTTATTTATTTTATTTATTTTATTTATTTTATTTATTTTATTTATTTTATTTATTTTATTTATTTTATTTATTTTATTTATTTTATTTATTTTATTTATTTTATTTATTTTATTTATTTTATTTATTTTATTTATTTTATTTATTTTATTTATTTTATTTATTTTATTTATTTTATTTATTTTATTTATTTTATTTATTTTATTTATTTTATTTATTTTATTTATTTTATTTATTTTATTTATTTTATTTATTTTATTTATTTTATTTATTTTATTTATTTTATTTATTTTATTTATTTTATTTATTTTATTTATTTTATTTATTTTATTTATTTTATTTATTTTATTTATTTTATTTATTTTATTTATTTTATTTATTTTATTTATTTTATTTATTTTATTTATTTCATTTATTTTATTTATTTTATTTATTTTATTTATTTTATTTATTTTATTTATTTTATTTATTTTATTCATTTTATTTATTTTATTTATTTTATTCATTTTATTCATTTTATTCATTTTATTTATTTTATTTATTTTATTCATTTTATTTATTTTATTTATTTTATTTATTTTATTTATTTTATTTATTTTATTTATTTTATTTATTTTATTTATTTTATTTATTTTATTTATTTTATTTATTTTATTTATTTTATTTATTTTATTTATTTTATTTATTTTATTTATTTTATTTATTTTATTTATTTTATTTATTTTATTTATTTTATTTATTTTATTTATTTTATTTATTTTATTTATTTTATTTATTTTATTTATTTTATTTATTTTATTTATTTTATTTATTTTATTTATTTTATTTATTTTATTTATTTTATTTATTTTATTTATTTTATTTATTTTATTTATTTTATTTATTTTATTTATTTTATTTATTTTATTTATTTTATTTATTTTATTTATTTTATTTATTTTATTTATTTTATTTATTTTATTTATTTTATTTATTTTATTTATTTTATTTATTTTATTTATTTTATTTATTTTATTTATTTTATTTATTTTATTTATTTTATTTATTTTATTTATTTTATTTATTTTATTTATTTTATTTATTTTATTTATTTTATTTATTTTATTTATTTTATTTATTTTATTTATTTTATTTATTTTATTTATTTTATTTATTTTATTTATTTTATTTATTTTATTTATTTTATTTATTTTATTTATTTTATTTATTTTATTTATTTTATTTATTTTATTTATTTTATTTATTTTATTTATTTTATTTATTTTATTTATTTTATTTATTTTATTTATTTTATTTATTTTATTTATTTTATTTATTTTATTTATTTTATTTATTTTATTTATTTTATTTATTTTATTTATTTTATTTATTTTATTTATTTTATTTATTTTATTTATTTTATTTATTTTATTTATTTTATTTATTTTATTTATTTTATTTATTGAAAATGTTACTTCCAGTCAGAATCAAGTTCTGGTATAAGGAAGTATAGTTAACAATAATACCTAAAACTATACAATTATAATAAACTGATGAATAATAAAATATTTGAAAACATTAATTATTAAATTTTGACAAATCATTTCATATTGCTGAGCAAAAATCAATTTGAATATGAATGAAAAGTAAGTCATCTATTTCGTTCAGAAATGATAAATTTTTTAAGATGGTATTTGAATTTTATTGTATTTCTGCAATTTTTTATATTATCTGGTAATTTGTTATATTCCAAGAGAGCAGCGTGGGTGAATCTTTTTTGGCCTATAGAAGTATTAGCGATATCAAGATGAAATAAACCATGTTGTCTAGTTTGATAATTATGAATTTCATTGTTTCGTGTTAAAATAAAATTAGATTTCAATCTTTTATTTATGATATTGTATGTAATTTTCAGTCTTTCGATTTTGAACATTTCTTCTAATGAGAATGATTCAGTTATTTTATATAATTGATTTGTTGGTGTATCATATGGTAAACGATACAGTACTTTCAATGTCTTTTTATATAATGCAGATATTTTATTAAAATTGTTTTTTGAACAGTATCCCCAAACATTTATCAAATAGTTAATACGACTGAGTATATGAGAATATAGAATTATATTTGCAACTTTTTTATCATTCTCATATGTCTCCTCCGTAACTTCTTTATTTATGAAAATATTCAAATAGGAATTTCACATTATCAAGGCAGTTTTTCAAAGTGATTTCGAAAAAAATATGAAATTTATACCAACTCTTCTAGAATTTGAGATATCAGCACCAACTTCAGTTTTTCAAATGTTAGGTCATAGCTCACTATGACTTAGTTACAAATAACTTTTTTTTCTCTTAAAGATGAAATGTCGCAGTAGTTTTGTGTTGATAACAACGGAGTTATCGTCATTTATACAAGAACAAAAAATTATTTGGAAGCCGCCATCTTGAATTTATAAATTTTAACAAAAAAAATCATGATCTCTCAAAAACCCCCACTTACCAATTTTGAATGGAATCGGACCAAATCTTGTCCACAATACATTATGGAATTTTTGTTGAAATTAAAAAAATGGCTGCTCCAAGATGGCAGACAAGATTTGGTCCGATTCCATTCAATACTGAACTTCAGTTCAGGAATATGCCTTATCATTTCTATCATTGATTTTTGGAACGCACTCCCTGTATTGATATGATTATTATGAAACTATTTAGCAGTATCAGAACAAGAAATAATAATTATTATTGGAATTTTTTTTTTCAGGTATTCCTTACATTCACAAAGCAACAGAATTAAATGAGATCCATCAGTTACAATTTCTGATAATAATTGTGCCTTTCTGTGTTAGTTTGAATTGTGATAATTTATCATACAGTACCTATGTTGAACTTACGTTCAGTTTAATGTAATGCATTTTAGCAAATCTCTTCAACAATAAAGTATTCATTTATTTTATTCATCCTTCAAAAATTAACCAAAAAGGCCATTGAGTTTACGTCCAATAGATGTATTTCATCCTCTTGGAAAATAAAAAAAGAGAAAAATGAAATCAAGAATGATTCAAGAACTAGAGGTCCAATTGAGCTCTTGTTTACCTTGAACGAGATAGAAGAAAGTTCGCACCTCTTCCGTCTTTCTCTTCAATGCTTCCAACGTGGCCGCATTGAAATATAGAGAGGTCCGATAAATCTTTCCTTGTCTAACCTCTAGTCTGCGCCACTGAACTATTTATGATATTATAATGACGTGATATATCAATGTCATGAATGTCATTTACTGATGATGACATTTCGAATTTTCAAAATGAAATATTTTCAAAATGAAATATATCGTTAAATTTGACACTCTGCTGAATTGAAAAAATAGTTCAGCGGCACAAAGTAGATGTTAGACAAGGAAAGATTCATCGGACCTCTCTATATTTCAATGCGGTCACGTTGGTAGCATTGCAGAGAGAGATGGAAGAGGAGAGAACTTTCTCTCGTTCAAGATAGAAAAGAGCTCAATAGTAGGTACACTCGTCTTCAGTGATCATGTCGCGGTTGGACGGTATGAGCTCTCTTATTGCAGCGGTGATTAAGAGAGCTGACACCGTCCATGTGCGACATGTTCTCTGAATACGACTGTACCTACATGAGAGACAGACTTTATATTTGTGTTAGCATTGGGAACACACTGTGACTAAGAGTATTCAGAAAATTCTATTACTATACTCAAACTGCTGTTGAAAAATCCACTGCAACTTCATTTTTTTGCGAAAACCCTAAATACCTTATGCGATGATTTAAAAAGTACGGAAAACATGTCTAACTTTTAATCCAGGAGTTGGAGTTAGCAATGTTTTTCCATAGTTTTCATGTCATCGCAACATCAGATGATGACCTTGGCTACCGCGAATTAGATTTTAATTTGACGATTTCGCTGAGAAACTTCGTTTAAAAAGAGGAGGTCCAAAAAGTATGAACTTTCAAAATCGCCCTGTATTCCATAAACCGAAACAGTTATGCAAAATCTGGTTCATTATCCTTATTCATTACTCTATTACTATTCCTAAATATCTCTGAGCTTTCATATGTACCTGATTTTCTAACATTATCAACTTGCTTAACTAATTTGAGGTTATTAATATGTGTGTTATGATTGTGATTGAACATGTGTTCGGCTACACACGATCTATCTAACCTACCATATTTCATATGTGCTAAGTGTTCTGTGAACCTTGTTAGCATGGGACGCCTGGTTTGGCCTATATATGTTTTATCACAATCATTACAACTGATTTCAAATATTCCTGACTTTCCAAGGGTGTCCACCTTATCTTTTGGATTACCTAATAAATTGCCCAACTTTGACCCAGACTGATAAACGCTTTCAAAATCTAAGTCTTTGTATACCTTATCAAGTCCTCTTGTTTACTTTTCAATCCCAAGTAGTAAAGCAGTAGTTAAGACAAGGTGGACACCCTTGAAAAGTCAGGAATATATGAAATTAGTTGTGAAATGATTGTCGTGATAAAACATATATAGGCCAAACCATGCAACCCATAAAAACAAGGTTCAAAGAACACTTAGCACAATTGAAATATGGTAGGTTAGATAAATCGTGTGTAGCCGAACACACATATTGATAACCTCAAATTAGTTGAGCTAGTTAATAATGTTAGAAAATTAGATGCATATGAAAGCTCAGAGATATTTAGGAATAGTAATAGAGCAATGAATAAGGATAATGGACCTATCCCAATTAGCCCTTTGTATAGTTTAGTGATATAACATGTGAACTCAACTATGAATAACATTAACTTGGCGGTTATTCAAAACTTCTTTCTCTGTCACACTCATTGAGCATATGGAAACTTAGAACGCGACTTTCTGCGTAATCGTTCGAAATAACCCTATCAAACCCGGTATCGATGAATTTGTTATGACAATCCCTAACCGATTATGGAGTACAATACAGTCCAATTTAAAAATCAAAAGTTCGTCGTTTCCAGTAAAATCGGAAGTGATAGATCAAAAATTGTTTCGTCATTTAATGAGCAATTTGGTATACTAGCTGCCCACCAATTTTCAAAACCCTATCTCGAATAATTCAAAAGTTACAGTCCTGGCCGTTTTTTGTGCACTTCTCTCTCTGTGTGTGTGTGTGTGTGCTGTGTTTTGATCTGGAAAAATTGAATAATTGTTTCACCTCTATCCACACCAGCTTAGCAGTCAGCTTCAAGGGAGAGAGGTATTTCAATTCCTAATTTTCTCGAATTTTCCTTCAATTCAAGATTTTTTGAACTCACCCACCGACTAATTTTTCGCAATATCATATACAGTGTCATTCATAAAGTCGGCATCATATGGGAAAAACTTTTATTAATGACTTATTTTGCAATTCGAGTTGGACGTTAAGTTTTGCTTCAAAAAAGATGAAAAATGGCCTACTCAATCGGGGTCACGTGACTTTCGCTACATGTCAAAAGTGACATTTTTTCAAATTAATCGCTGAAATTATGCTTATTTGTTCGGATATCGAAAAAGTTTACTTGAAAAAGTTGTTTCTATTTCAATTTCACACATGCTTCTCGAATTTGATCTTTCTATTGCAACTTTTAGATTTTTATTTTTTTTTTATTTTGAGAAATTTCTGTAATATTTGAAGAATTGTTAATTCCACGAAACTACTTCATACCAGTAGCTTTTTCATGCTACTTACTTTCAATTACTTATTATCACTGATTATGGACAGAAATATGATTTTCTTCAGAAAATGATAATACCCGCTTCCAAATTCTGTTATGTTTGATGCAAAGTTGATATATCGTCTAGCATTTAGAAACGAAATTCATTTAAACTGATCTTTTCAGTACTGAAAAAATAAATTTAAATGAATTTCGTTTCTGAATGCTTGACTCAAACATAACAGAATTTTGATGTTATGTTTGCATCAAACATAACAGAATTTTGAAGCGGAGATTATAATTTTTTGAAGAAAATCATATTTTTGTCGATAATTAGTAATTGAAAGTTAGTAGCATGATGAAGCTACTGGTATGAAGTAGTTTTATCGAATTTACAATTTTTTTTCATATTACAGAAATTTCGAAAAATTTTAAAAAATATCGAAATCTGAAAAATGTAATAGAAAGATAAAATCCGAGTCAAATATGTAAAATTCAAATGGAAACAACTTTTTCAAGTAAACTTTTTCGATATTCGAACAAATAAGCCTACTTTCAGCGATTAATTTGAAAAAATGTCACTTTTGACATGTAGCGAAAGTCACGTGACCCCGATTGAGTAGGCCATTTTTCATCATTTTCGAAGCAAAACTCAATGTCCAACTCGAATTTCAAAATACGTCATTGATAAAAGTTTTTCCCATATGATGCCGACTTTATGAATGACACTATATATATATATATATATACCTACTTGTTCATTAATTTGTATATTAGAAGAAAAATAATCTTGGATACATTTTATTGTTAAGCACTATAAAAAGCACATATACAAACATTTAAAAAAAGGTGAAAACATACTTATGTGAATATAAAAAGGCTCGATAGTAATGTAGAAGAGAAATGCCCTGCACCTTTCCTAAACACAACGACAAAATTAAACATCTTTACATTAAACAACATCTTTTTAAACTTTGACAATAAAGCTCTGCGACTTCAACAATTATTACAATAAGGCCTCCCTAATTAAATTCAAATATATTCGAAGAGGTACAGTTCTGGTACATTGAACATTTTTTTGAGTAAAGATTCGAGCATCGAAATTTCGGTACCTGAAACCTGAGTAAGTTGTATAATGGACACTTTTTTTTTCAATCAATTGGATCAACCGTAAACAGTCAGCGTCCGCAATACATATTTCAAATCACTCGGAGCATCATCCTGCAAAACGTACGAAAAAACATTAACAAAAAGGAATAATCGACTTTTTTTTCATGGACAAATGGCAGTTTGATGAGAAGCTAGAACGATTTTAGTGTGAAGGCATACATTTCCCATATCTGAGAATATGGTGACAAGGTGAGTTTTGGTGGAAATTAGTCAACAATGGCCAGAAGCACCTTCTTGTAATCTCCAGATGTGTCACCCTGGAAAGAACAAGAATGTCAATGAAATTGTGCAAATTATTATAACAGAGATGTATAGAAATTTAACTGGTGGGCTCACTCTTCAATTGTTTCGTCAGACTAACTCTCGATATGGAACAATTGCAAGCGAGTTTTGGACGTGGGGTTCAGGTATTCGCGATAGAGGCGCCATAATCGGAAAATCGTTCAAAACCTTGGTTCTGTGAGGGATGAATCTATTTCCATCATTGTTCTGTGGTCGAATAAATACTGTGCTCAACATTTTCATTCAAATTTCAATTTGAAATAGAAGCAAGAAATCTTTTTTGTAGCCGATTTTAATAAGCTTCACTTCTTTCATGACATGAACCTATTTAAAGCATGAAATCTGATGAATTTCCTCTTTGAAGAACCAGAACAAAGAATGTATCAACTATTGATATAGACCAATATGGTAACTGGTACTCACCTTAGAATTTATTCACACCAGTTCACGCTAATATTTCAAATCACTGAAATAATACTGTTGTAGAACAATGATTTTCTTTTTTCTATGGTGGATTAGGTATTATACACAAAATTTAGAAACTACGGAACACGTCCCTAACGAACGCTTGACCCCAATCTCAGAAATAACCATTTTTTCAGCTCAAGAATATTTTTGACATATTGACGTTTCGATCCTTTGATCAGGAATCAGTTCACTGCTCTGATCCAAATCATATATGTATCCAAAAATGTATCGGTCGGTAATATGTTTCCTGTAAATATGGATTGTAACCAGGATGAGCTTAGCGAGATTTACCCACGTCAAGTATGTTTATCAAAGGTTTATCAGAGTAGGCGCCATCGAGAAACTTGCAAACGACCTTCAATAGGGAGCAAGCGCACCAGTTAAATTTCTATGCATCTCTATTATAACTATTCCAAAGCGAAACGAAAAGGTCTTCTTCTAAGGCTATAACACAAGATTGCACTTGTTTTACTGTGTTCGATAAAACAACGAAGTCATCAATTCACGGGAATCAATGTTACCAGGTGGCGCTCGATTTTCATCGTTCCATGTCAAAACCACGTCAAAACTGGGGGAAAACAAACTCAATCCTCACTCAATGGGCTTATATCACAAAAAATTGTTATTTCATAATTCGATAGAACTCACCCAAACTAGCTCACCACCGCAAACCGTTTCTTGCTGTGAGCTCCCTACGTTTTATAAAAAATTATTGAAATCCCCGATTTTTCGGACCTCTGGAAACGAGGCGATGATGTGACGTTAAAACCCTAATACTGAAACAAGACTATTCCAGACAGAGATGAATGACGCATGATTTCTGACAGAGTGAATTAGCGCGAGATCACAGTTGAAAGAATTAATATATCAGTTTCCTCAGTCTCCGTCGGGCGTTTGGTATTTTCTTTCAACTATGGCGAAATGAGGTTTCTACGTCATAAGAAGGTCCGTTTTCAGAAGGTACTATTATTTATGTCCAAAAATGAAACATTCCAGTTAATTTTTCGATCGAATTATGTTGTCAATCATTATTTATGGTTTGAGTTAAAAGTTCTACTAAGGTGTACACGCCCATTGTAATGGTGCAAATGATTTTGTGATTGAGACATTTCGTTGTCTAGAGATTGTTTATATTTCAATGATTCAACTTACAATCGACAACTTGAATATATTTTTCTGCAGTAGTGGTAGTGGATATCAAAAGATATTTCAATATCGATTTCGATCTCTCGGATATTTTGTTTGGATGATATGGCAACAGTGATAAGTGTCACACATGGGTCACGCTCATTGGTTCCAGGCGAGATGAGATTTGCTTGTCATAATTGGTTTGAATTGTTTGAACTATCTCCAATTTTTCACCCGTTCACTGTTCACTAAGCTAATAAAAATGTAATAATGTAAAAAAATTAACCAACTCAACCATCACCACTACCAACAGTACCAACACTTTATGTCATTGACAAGTTTGACTACAGCTACAGCAAGCTGAATGCAATGTAGTCTATGCACTTTATCCATAGACAACAGTTTGTTTTCCCCCAGTTTGACGTTCGTATTATGTAATCTAGATGTCGCCCACTTCGTGAATCTCGCGAATAGTATTACCTAGAGTTCCTAAATGTACTTGACACTGCTGTTTTGACAAGCAGTGACAATCAAACATAACCACAAACGATTTTGAAGCAAATCATATGTTTTGCCAGACAAGGACAAGAATATGTTTTTCGCTTAGATAAAGGATGATCGCATCTTCCTTCCTCCACAAGTCCTGGGAAGAGTACATCCATATATCTTTCTCTGTCTTTGATTTTTGTATGAGAGTGCATAGCGTCTCCTCGAGTGGGTAAAAGGGTACGATATATTGATTAGAAAATTATTTCCTCTCGAAATATTGAATGATAAGGCTGAAGGACCTCAATGGAGGTTGATATCAAGTTGGTATGTACATATATTCCAACGAAATACATATACTATTCCTATGAAATAAGTCTTTTATATGTAGGTATATATATATACGTTCAGTTGAAGTTGAAGTATATACACTGATGAATTTCAACCTATGAAACATACTTTTATTTCGTATGGAACAATTTCACTTGCACAAGAGTGGTAGATGATGAGTAATTGATAAATGAACAAATGATATGGCAACAATAACAGCTGATTTCAGTTAGGATAAATAATGAAGGTTCTCTAAGACATATATTTGCTGATTTTGTTACAAATCTGATATAATTTTCAGGTAATAGTTCTGAATTTTGCTAACTGACTTTTGTATCTAAATCTTTTTGCTTTAACTTATTTTCCAACTCTCTATTTCTGTCTTCTATTTGTTTCCTGAATTCCTCACTCTCTTCCACTCGTAAACCTTGGATTTTTGAATATTCCTGCTCTAAAAATTCGATTCGCAAGTCTTTTTCTTTCAAAATATGTTCGAAATGAATTTCATTATCTGCAAGTTTCTCGTTTCTTGTTGGTTCTAAATTGGAATAAGGTTCTTTTCGATACTCGCTCAGTTTATAAATTGTGGGTTCGGCTCTTTCTCTCAATACGTTCCTATTCTTCAACATCAAATCTTCCGTTCTGAAGTGTACCTGATAAAAATGCGTTGAAAAATGTTCTATATCCTATCAAGAAGTTTGAATACCTCGCAAATTTTGTAGCCTGAACCTATATTCCATGCCGGCCGCATCATATTCTGTTTCCATTTTTGTAGAATTACGTTATCCCATGGAAATTCGAATAGAGTGAATTGATTTCCCGTGTTTTCACAGTTGGAAACTGCACAAACTTGCATCTTTCTCCTAATTCTCTCAATTTGTCAAACCTTTGAAATTTATGTCATGTACGACCGCGTACTGTCAGTTCCCGCTTTTCCATCAATTTATTTGTGGTTATGTCTGATTGTTAGTGCTGGTCATTCTCGTTTACGTTTTTTTTTTGACGCTTCCGTCACAATGTTATTATTTTCTATTGTGTGACACTCTTTCCAGGGCTTCTTATTTGAAAGTGAGCGAACTATAGAATAATTGGGGTAATCCTGTGTACAGGATGTTGCCGAAATTGGGTCGATAACTAAAATGGAGCGATTTATGAGACATAATGACACGATAAATTAACATATCCCTAATTTCGGAAACACCCAGCTGATTTCGTCTTGAAAAATCGAAATGGAAGAAAATCCGAACTTTTTTCATTGCGTCAATTGATTTACCGAAAAACAGGCCTGATTAGGTCACATAAATGCCTTTAGAAGTTTCGATGGATGACCTCCATTCATAATCATTATCTTTCAAGTGAAGAATATTTCCATTTCAGCTTGGGAATAGTTAACAAATACATAATATTAATATGAAAAGTCCAAAATACTTTGTTAATGACACATTTGAATATAATGACTGTTAAGATAACAAATGGAAAAATTAATAAATGGAATATACATTTGGATTATTCCGTGAAAGATAAGAACTACAGTTGATGACAAAAACCTCAAACAAGTGTAGCTTCTTACAAAAAATAAATCATGAAAGGCAAAAAAAACACATTCAAGTTTTGATGATTTTCTTGTCATCAACTGTACCTGGACCAATCACCACAAGAATTCGATGATAATATGGATACTCACCGAAACCCAGCTCTCCAAAGTTTTCCCGTATTTGTCCATAAACGCCTGCTTGATATCGGCCAGGTCGATTTCTGATCTGGACACGATGATGCGGATCAAAGTCTTGTCATTGGTGCCCAAACCGGCCATAGATTCGTGGAGGCGCTCAGCAAAGTATCCTACTTTACTTTTCACACATTTCACTGGAAAAAAAATGGAAACAAAATTCTCAGCGATCAATTATTCGTGCAAAAAATATTCAATTAATATTGTTGCATTGTTCACCATTTATATAGACAGTTGGTGATGTCATGAATACTACAGAATTTTGTTATACAATTGAGAAATTAATAAAAAACCACCAATGTCAGACTAAAATATCAAAAATATAAAATTTTTCATCAAACTACTACACTATAGCTGTATCAAATGGGAACCAGCCCCATATTTCTGTAGGCAAAACCCCACATGGTCCTTCGAGCCGGATCATATGTAGGATTTTTATACAGCTAGTGAAGTAGGTAAATAACAAAATTACATATTTTTTGATATTTCAGTTCAAGACCGGCGGTTAGTGACAGATTGTCGAACGTCATTACACCCAATGTTTTTTGGAACATGGGTAGCTAGAGTGGAATCGTATCGAAACGCATAATTTGCGAGCAAATAATGTTAATTAACATCAAAATATATACATAATGATACCCTTCAATAGGCATACTGGGTGAGTCCGAAATTCTGTCACTACCTGCCGGTCTAAAACTGAAAAAACAAAAATATATAATTTCGTTATCAACCTACTACCCTACTTGTATCAAAATCCAACGTATGATCCGGTTCGAAGGACCATGTAATAAAAATTTTCGAAATAAGTTATTATTCGTAAAACTTGTTCTTTAGAACTTGAAAAATCATCCATTCCATGTACAAATAACATCATGTGTATGATAACTACAAAAAACTACTGAATAAGTGTTCTAGGAGTATCGATAGTGTCAATTAAATATCAGATAACGAGAGAAGTGGGTTAAACTTATGACCCACACAGGACGCCAAAAAATATAAGAAAACCAATGAAAAATTATGCACAACAACTTTCCATCAGATATTGCCGAAGAAATTTCAAAATTCAGACGTTCCGCTTGATTTTCCATCTGTTGATTGTAATTAACGCGGGGATTCACCCAAATTCATTATTACAAGAACGAATGCACTTAGGATGTAGAAGGTCGTTTCAAATTAGGACAGTAAACATTCAAGTATATGAAAAAAGCGGCTTTACAAGATCCTTGCAATGAACAAATGCACTTAGGAAGTAGAAGGTCGTTTCAAATTAGGACAGTAAACATTTAAGTATATGAAAAAAGGGGCTTCACAAGATCCTTCCCGTGAACAAATGCACTTAGAAAGTAGAAGGTCGTTTCAAATCAGAACAGTAAACATTTAGGTATATGAAAAAAGGGGCTTTATAAGATCTTTGCAATGAACAAATGCACTTAGGAAGTAGAAGGTCGTTTCAAATTAGGACAGTAAACATTTAAGTATATGAGAATAGGGGCTTTACAAGATCCTTGCAATGAACAAATGCACTTACGAAGTAGAAGGTTCTTTCAAATTAGGACAGCAAACATTTGAGTATATAGAAAAAAGGTGCTTTATGAGATCTTTGCAATGAACAAATGCACTTAGGAAGTAGAAGGTCGTTTCAAATTAGGACAGTAAACATTAAAGTATATGAAAAAAGGGGCTTTAATAGATCTTTGCAATGAACAAATGCACTTAGAAAGTAGCAGGTCGTTTCAAATTAGGACAGTAAACATTTAAGTATATGAAAAAAGGGGCTTTAATAGATCTTTGCAATGAACAAATGCACTTAGAAAGTAGCAGGTCGTTTCAAATTAGGACAGTAAACATTTAAGTATATGAAAAAAGGGGCTTTAATAGATCTTTGCAATGAACAAATGCACTTAGGAAGTAGAAGGTCGTTTCAAATTAAGACAGTAAACATTTAAGTATATGAGAATAGGGGCTTTACAAGATCCTTGCAATGAACAAATGCACTTACGAAGTAGAAGGTTCTTTCAAATTAGGACAGCAAACATTTGAGTATATAGAAAAAAGGTGCTTTATGAGATCTTTGCAATGAACAAATGCACTTAGGAAGTAGAAGGTCGTTTCAAATTAGGACAGTAAACATTTGAGTATATGAGAATAGTGGCTTTACAAGATCCTTGTAATGAACAAATGCACTTACGAATAAGAAGGTCGTTTCAAATTAGAACAGTAAACATTTAAGTACATAATAAAAAGAGCTTTACAAGATCCTTGCAAAGAACAAATGCACTTAGGAAGTAGAAGGTCGTTTCAAATTAGGACAGTAAACATCAAAGTATATGGAAAAAAGGGACTTCACAAGATCCTTGCCGTGAACAAATGCACTTAGGAAATAGAAGGTCGTTTCAAATTAGGACAGTTAACATTTAGGTATATAAAAAAGGGGGCTTTACAAGATCCTTACGATGAACGAATGCACTTAGGAAGTAGATGGTCGTTTCAAATTAGGACAGTAAACATTTAGGCAAATGAAAAATAGGACTCAACACGGTCCACTCACCGATTCCCAGCAATCCCTTCTGAATATCCCCGGAGAACTCCTTCTTGATCGACGATTCGATGTCCTTGCCCGTCAGTCTTTCGTACTCGGCGAACGTGGCCCTCAGTTGCTGGTAGCTCCTGGTGATGAGGATGGAATTGAAGATGGACTCTTCGGTGCCCCATTTGGCTTCGCCCGCTTCGATGATGGCCTCCGCGTCTGCCACGGCTTGTTGTTCGTTGACGCCTTGGTTTTCGTCGCGATTGGCCTGAAGGAGAATATTCGAATTGAAGAAAAACACTCAGTTTTCTGGGTGTGCCATGTTATATTATCGACGATAATTACAAGATTATCCTATCAATAAGGGCTCGATTAGTAGATTATTCCTCGCAATAAGTCTAATTGGTAGAATAGTCTTGCAGTAAGTCTAATTGCACGATTATTCTGCTAAGATAAATCTTGCAAACTAGCTCAATTGATAGATCAAATCTTATTGAACTGCTAAGTACCAGATTTATCTTGAACTAGGACAAAAGAGAGAAAGAGGCAAGATTATTCTGTCCAACAGGCTAATTGCATGATACATTTTGAAACTAGCTTATTTATTTGGCAACTAATAAAAACAAATTTTCTATTCTGTCAATTGAGATGATCGCAAGATTTATTTTGCGATTAGGACCCAATTGACAGATTTATCTGGCAATGAGTCTAATGAAAAAATGCATCTTGCTAGGGTTTTATCTGGAATTTAGTCTAATTGACAGATTTATCTGATATTTAGTCAATTAGTCTAATTGCAAGAGTATTCTGCCAATTAGGCTGATTGCAAGTTTTCTCTTGCATTATAGATCTAATTGCAAGATAAACCTTGCAATTAGACTGATTGCAAGATTTATCTACTATTTGAAGTTTGATTGCAATGTGTATCTAATAATTGAGGTTTAATTGCAAGATAAATAATGCAATCAGCATAATTGACAGAATAATCGTGCAATATCAATTTTTAACGAGAAAGGAGTATTTCTTGAGTTTCAATTATGGAATTTCATTCAAATTCTTTCGGAAACTGAAAAATGACTTACTTGCACTAAGGAAACACACAGTCTCTTGAAATGGCCAGATGTGTCGCTTTTCAAGTCTTTTTCCAGAGGTTTTCCATACACTAAAAATAATAATACGAATTATCAGAATTGTATGTGGACGTGTGTTGATGCCACATGAGTTCCCAACTTTGGGATCATTTATGACCCCAACCTTTGGGTCACATTATTCCAACATTTGGGTCACTTATGATCCCAACATCTAGGATTACTTGCCTTCCCGAGCTTGGGGTCACTTATGATCCCAAACTCTGGGATTACTTGCCATATCGAGCTTGGCGTCACTAATCAAACTCTGGGATTAATTGCTATCCCAAGCTACGGGACACACCTGACTCCAACCTTGGGGTCACATAATCCCACCCTTGGGGTCACTTATGATCCCAAACTCTGGTATTACTTGCCATACCAAGCTTGAGGTCATTCATGATCCTAAACTTGTGGTCACTTATGATCCCAAACTCTAGGATTACTTGCCATATCAAGCTTGAGGTCAATAATGATCCCAACCTCTGGGATTACTCGCTATTTCAAGCTTTGGGTCACTTATGACCCCAACCTTGGGGTTACATGATCCCACCATTGGGGTCACTTGTGATCCCAACCTCTGCGGCTGCACTGCATACTAATCTTGGGGTCACTTATGATCCCAAACTCTGGTATTACTTTCCATACCTAGTTTGGGGTCACTAATGATCCCAACCTCTGGGATTACTTGCTATACCAAGTTTGGGGTCACTTATGATCCCAACCTCTGTGATTACTTGCTATCCTAAGCTTGGGTCACTTATGGTCCCAAGCTTGGGGTCACTTGGAATTACTTGCTATCCCAAGTTTGGGTTATGATCATAAGCTTGGGGTCACTTTTGATCCCAAGCTTGGGATCACTTATGACCCCATGTCCGAATTTTCCACTCACGTTGCTCGTAGAACTGCGCGATCGTCCTGATGCCGTAATTGGACAAGGTGCACAGTATCTCGATGATGGCCTCCTCGTCAGTCCCGGCTCCGGCCACGGCGTCGTGCAACTCCCTGGCGTAGAATTGGGGCAGGGGCGTCATAAGGGCCACGATGACGTCCTCGAATTTGCCGCCCAGTTCACTCTTCAGCTCCGAGACGAGGTCTTTGCCGTAGGAGGTTTTGAAGGTTTCGGCTATTTCGAGACGTTGGACGATGCCTCTTCGGGCTAGGACGTCGATGATGGCCTTTTCATCGGCGCCGAAGCCCTTCATGGCTTTTTTTAGGGTGGCCGCGTCGGAGACGGGGTCGAAGGGGTCTGCGGGGTAGACGGTGGGGGTGCACTGAAAAAAAAAACGTTGGAATTTTTGAGATATCACTAGGACTTTTTTAGATACTAGAAGGATTCTTTAAGATATCAGTTGGAGTATCTGAGATATCAGTAGGAATTTTTAGATATCAGTAGGAATTTTTAGATATCTGTAGGAATTTTTGAGATATCAGTAAGAATTTTTGAGATATCAGTAAGAATTTTCGAGATATCAGTAGAACTTTTTTAGATATTTGTAGGATTTTTTTAGAGATCAGTTGGAGTTTTTCAGATATCAGTAGGAATTTTTAGATATCAGTAGGAATTTTTGAGATATCAGTAAGAACTTTCGAGATATCAGTCGGAATTTTTTAGATATCAGTAGGATTTTTTTAGATATAAGTTGAAGTTTTTGATATATCAGTCGGAATTTTTAGATATCAGTAGGAATTTTCAGATGTCAGTAGGAATTTTTGAGATATCAGTCGTAATTTTTGGATATCAGTAGGAATTTCTGAGATATTAGTAGGACTGTTATAGATATCAGTAGGAATCTTTCAGATGCCAGTAGGAATTTTTTAGATATCAGTAAGAATTTTTGAGATATTAATAGGAATTTTTCAGATATTAGTAGAAATTGTTTAGATATCAGTAGGAATTTTTCAGATATCAGTACAAAATTTTGAGATAAGAGTAAACATTTACGAGATATTGGTAGGAATTTTCAGAAATTGTGAATTTTCAAGTCTCCAGTAATAATTTTCAAGACCTAAGCAGATATTTCTGAAGTATCTGTAAGAACTTTCGAGATAAGTAGAAATGTTCGTTATACTTCTACTTTTCGAGATATCAGTTGAAATTTTCGAAATATGAGTAGGGTCAGAAAGACTTTTGAAATATTAGTACCTATATTCAAAATATTAGGAATTTTGGAGACAGTTGGAATTTTGTAGGAATTTTTGAGATATCAGAAGGTATATTCGGGATTTAGTTATAAATTCTCGAGATGAGATTAGGAATTTTTGAGATATCTAAAGGAATTTTCATTCATAAGCAGGATTTTTCGAGATATTGGTATACATTTTTCGGATATTGAGAATTTTCAAGACTTCAGTAATAATTTCCAAGATATATCATTAGGATTTCGAGATATCTGTGGAAATTTGAAATTACACCATATGTTTTCAAGAAGTGGAAGCGTTCTCAAGATATCTCGAAGAACTTTTGAGATATCAGTGGACATATTTGAGATAGTATAATTTTTCGATATAAGGTTATATAGAGTGAAGAAATTGATAAATCAACGATTTATAGACATATCAGTGGAAATTTTCGAGATATCCGTGTTACCCATAAGTATATCCTGCTTCAACTTTTTTGAGATGTCAGTGGAGATTTTTGAAATACATTATGAAATGACTGCAGACTAGGTATTAAAATTTCAGCTGATTGTTATAATAGCTTCAATGAAGTAAATATTGGGTTGAAAATCCATGATGACCATCTCAACATAAAAAAATATAATTTCCAGGAATGCCTACACTTGACTCAATGACTCAGGAAATCAAGTGTGAATCATTATTCAATGAAGTTCGGTCACAGTGTTCGGTAGTTTGGTTACAATTTGTGAACAGCAAAACAAACTTCAAGGCCTCGAGGATAAAATAATGTCAAAGTATTTTTCTGTTGCATAATCAAAAAGATGGTGTTTCCTGTTTAACTGTTTAAGAAAAAAACAGGTACCGCAGTTACTTCAATGAATGGAAATTGAGAAAGGATGTTCGTCGTACTATTTCAGTGTTATTGCCTAACATTTACATCACATGGGAATCCATTACTGACTGAAACAAGAGTGGGTTGCCACACCTAGATCATACCGAATCAGATTATGTTGTTCTAAATTTAGCTATTTTACTATTTCCTTAGGTTTTAGCCTGTAGCAATAGGCAGAAGAAAATGTTCTGATTGTGGCATTGAAAAAATAACGAGCTTATTGTTTAAAATTAGTCAAAAACTCATTTGTTATTCTCACGATTCTCCTGTAGAAAAAAAAAATATTCCGACATGTACGAATGGCTAAAAATAGATAAGCAATTGAATTTTATATGAAGGCTATTTTAGAAGGTTGGTAGGTTAGCAGACCTAGATGAGTCAAAAGCAAATACCAACATGTAGGTATTCATTTATAAGCATCAAGAAAAATAGTTTGATATTTTGATGTGGCATGTGGCAAAAAAGAGTCATCGAAAATGATTATATGTAGATATACTTATTTTTCATACCAAGTAGATGAATTTCCTAAGAATTTATACTTGACCCTGTTACTATAGGAGTATATACAGGGTGTATCAGAAAATAAAGTTCATATAAACATGTGTCCTAATTTGCTTCGTTTTCGAAATACTTACAGGGTATTAATATTTCCATGAAAAATCTTGTTTCTATTCATTTCTCAAATGTCTTTCCATCAATTTCAATAAAACGTTGTGGTTTTGTTGAAAGTAATATGGAGCTCCAACCATACAGGGGGGAGGGTTATAAATAAAAACAATTAATTCTTCCAACTTCAACATCCTGTATCTCAAGAACGGAGCAAGTTAGGGCACTTGTTTATATGAACTCTGTTTGCCAGAATGTCACAACGAAACACCCCTTGAATTTTTTCGGTGTTAGATACACCCTGTATAATATAATTTGGTGATTTAAATTTTCATGCATCGAGACATCGCTTTGTAATTGTATGAAAAGCGATGAAAACTATCAATTCATTCAGATCATCTGGTTGCTAGTAAGAGGAAAAAACAAATAAACTATAAATTTCGCTGACCTAATTTCACAAAAATCAATATGAATCACAAGGGGATAAAAAAAACACTCTGAAAGGCTTGCCAAAACTATCGGTTTCATTTTCTGACAAGATTGAAAAGAAATTAGGTACCTAGTATTTTTAGAAACTGAAACTCGAATTTATATGAAATTCCAATGACAGAATTATACCGGTTGGCTCATCTAAAACGTTCCACCCAAGTTTTCTCCGTTGTGTTGCAATTATTGAAATACCGCTCAGACATTTCGATTTCATTTGGCGGGGGACACATATTTCTGAAGGTTCCTTTGATATTGAACAAATATCCATCTATAGGGTGATTCGAGATACTAAAGAATCGTAAAATTCAGTCAACATGCTGCTCTGCCCATATGCGTCGACTGGCTCTATGTCAATACAGAAAGTGCCAAATATAAACACATTCTGAATGATAACTGACGATTGTTCCTAGTGATACTATATAACAATGACACAATAATCGGAATGGAATATACAGGGTGTTTCAAAAAACCTGACCCCCTTTCTTGGTACTGCAAAATAAGTTGGGTTTACTCAGTAAAAAAATTTCGTAACGGCATCCGTTATCAAGATACAAGGTGTTGACAAAATGATTTTTTTACACATTTTTCAAGATTATGTCGAAACTACTGGCAACATTGTAGTGAAATTTTGTATGGATGTTTCTTGGAATCTGACACATTGCATGCATTTGTTTTTATATCTGACTCCCATAGAGGGCGCTAGTGACACGGTTTGTACCGAGTATTTTTGAACATAACTTGTTTGAGGTTAGATTTTCCAATCCAAGTTTGATGTGAACTTGAACATCATTCAATTTGACATCAAAAAGGTACTCTTGGCGAAACTCGATACTATGTTCCGTTTTCGGAATATTTCGATTTGAAAATAATGGAGTAATAGCTGATGCTGGTATCAAATGAATTTTATTGAGTTCAGTTACCTTCGAAAATTTTCCGTATGATTGGGATAACTTTGAAAATATTCATTTTTGTAATGGGTCAATGTTTCTCCCTGTAGATCTGAACACACAAACCTAATAGGATGAGTAAGCAAATCATCTCATTCTCAAACAATTTTTACACAACATGGAACAAACCGTTCCAGAATCGGGCTAGTATTTTTCATAATATTTAATTTCGAAATTATATCATATTATTCATATTCCAAAGTTGAAACCTTGAAGCGTAACGAACATCAACTTTCGATTTTCATATGGAACACCCTGTATTTCATTGCATCTTTAGATTCTTGTTCTCATCAATGCATCACACTTGGGGTGTAGCGGAAATGATAACAGAGATATAGGGTGTGCAAAATCGAGATTTACTGACATTTAATTGAAACAAATACAGGGTGGTTCAAGAATCAAAATTCTGCAACACAACGGAGAAAATTTGGGTAGAACGTTTTTGATGGCCCACCCTACAATGCCTCTGTTATAGGTTGTTCATGAAATGTGTCATGGTATTTTCCAATATGTTTTTAATTACTATTTTGGAAATGAAATTGCGGAGTTACTGCACTGTTAACTGCGATGTTGATTAGGAACGAAAGTAAACAAGTCTGATGAGTAACCTCTAAGTACATATTATACCATAAGAAAAAATATTTACTTCACTTATAACTATTTATCTACCACAATTATTACTTGTTGATAGACATAATGTTGACAGATGAATTTATCATCCACTTAAACTTGGATGAGATAATCAAATTATTGGAATTTTTGGTAAAATAGGAAACCATTTTTAGGTATCTATAATAGTAGGTAGGTATTCTTTCCATTTGAGATATGAAAATTTGTATTCAGAGAGATTGTTCTTTCCGAAATTAATGAAAAGTACTTTTTATTATAGACCTCTAGAACTAGTGTTCTTCTTAAATTTCTGGAGGTTATATGCCACGGGGAACACCTGCCTTGGCAATGTGTTCCAGAGCCTCGCTGTTCGTTGGATGAACGAGTCTTTGGAAAGAGATGTTCTGCAGGTCTCCAAAGTGACCACGAAGGGGTGCGAAGCCTCAACTCGACGGGTCAATCTCGCGGGGACTGCCAAGGGAGGAAGAATTGTTGATATTTCAGAAGAGCATCGTCCATGAAAACATCTTTAAAATAGCGCCAGATCGCCAACTCTTCTACGGTGTTCCAGAGAAGTTTGGACAGAATCCAACAGTTTCAGGGTATGTTTGGGTGCTGCACTCCAAATATGGGAACAGTATTCCAGGACAGGTCGGATCTGTGGTTTATAGATCATAAGCAGCTGACTGAAAGTGAAATAGCTCGTGGCCCGAAACAGAAAACCAAGTTTTTGGGATGCACTTTTAGCAATTGATCTCACGTGATTTTCCCAAGAAAGGTTATTGCTGATAGTAATACCAAGCATGGAAATGGATGTCTTCAAAGGTATGGTTACTCCTTTTTTGAGGTTATCTTTTGTCAGTTTTTGAACAATGCTGTGATTTATGCCGTTCTACAGCTGCCTGAGAATCTATATATTTCTCGAAAACTGACAAAGATAACCTCAATAAAGTAAATATATATTTGAAATCAGAAGAAAGAGATCTACCATTCAGAGAAATAAAATAGAGGGTGTTCCATTCAAAAAATACCAGTTCATGTAAAATTTTTTTTTCTGTGACGGGAAAAAAGTTTGGCATTTCATCTCTGTTGGCAGGTTATAAAATGTCACTTTTCATAAATTACTTTTTTCCCGTGGGAAAAAAGTGAGTACTTTTTTCCCGGATATATATCACATATATATCCTCTGTTAATGGCTTTTGTTGTGCTATAGTTCCGAAAAATGAGTCAATAATACCGTCTCCGAGAAAGAACTGCAAGTCCTTTTCTTCCATTCGACTTCGCGGTTTCGTATATTACTAAACAACTACTGAATTCGCAATTTTTTAAAATCAAATCACAGAATTGAACTGACAGAAGTGACATCTGATATTTGATTACTTCAAAAGAATGATAAAAATGCCTATAAAACGCAGGTGTCCCTACTGTTAAAAACTTGAAATATCACGTCGATAATTTTCAGATTTCGAAATAATTAATGTAATATCTTCTCAATATTGATTCGTCCTTCCTTCTGTCACAGAAAAAAATAGTGTATTATACACGGGAAAAATATTAGATTTTAGCTCACGGTTTTTTGTCTCCCTCCGCTACGCGTCGGGAGACAACACAACCTGGAGCTAAAATCTACTACTTTTTTCCCTTGTATAATAAATAACTATAGTTTAACGATGCTTTTTTGTATTTTATAGTATTAGATTCTGAATTCCCATAAAAAATATAAACAATCACCCTGTACTTGGTATACCTACTTAATCCATCACCTACCAGCCTATGTTATTTTGAGAAACATAAGAGCTTCAACGGTAAGCTCAATAATGGCACTGATTGGAACTTTATTGAAGTTAATTGGGTAGGTACCTATTATTATTAATCATCTGATATAAACATATTATCACCATCCTGTGAATATATATACCTACCTATTTTCCAATATCTGAAAGCCCACTTAGAAACGTTAAACCACAACAGGAAATTCATCAAAGATAAAATATCGCCTGTTGATAGTACCAAATTATTTACCTTAAAGCGTGTCAATACAATACAATACAATAATTTATTCTTCTCAAATAGATCACTTTACAATGATATAGGAAATGTCATAAAAGTTGATATTTAGGTATATATACATACAATTTATCATAGATATGAAACGTTATATAATATGTAGAAAAAATAACAGAAAGGAACAAAGTGGGAACATTATAACACAAAGTCACAAGCATTAAAAACATTTTGAAATTTTAAAATTTATAGTTGAGGAATTCATCGGTTGAATAAAAACTTAGTTTTTTACAGACTGAGCTTACATGCGTTTTTCAGCTGATATTGTTATCGACAAATGTTCCTAAAAATTTGGTAGATTCAGAAGAAGTGATACGCGTATCGTTAACGAAAACTTCAAGTGTTGTCCCTATCTTTCTTCCATAAAACTCAATAAGTACTGTCTTATCGGCATTAATCATCAGCCTGTTATTATGACACCAAGTGACAAACCTGTTGGCAGTTGAGTTCATTTTATTTTCAAGTTCTACGGTACTGTCTGCTGCCTCCGCGATTAATGTGTCATTGAAATATCATTGATGAAAAGTGAAAAGATCAAGGGCCCTAAAACCGACCCTTGTGGGACACCAAGGTCGACATCGAAAAATTGAGATGTAGTTTGTTCTATCTGTACAATTATTTTCCTATATCGGATATATGATATTATCCAAGATAAAAATACTCCTCTTATGCCCAAAACATGGAGTTTTTCCTGTGAAATATTGAGGTCAAAATGGTGAATTCATGCACATCCTAACTTTGCCTGAATTTGAACTAGCTCTCAGCTTAAGAAGCTGAATCTGACGTTTTCAATCGGTTCATGTAGTTGACTTAAGGATTCAAGGATAATTTAAGGGTTCGGGAAGTAGAAAGGCTAACTTCTATCTTTTTTCTCAGGTCTTTGAAGCCTTTCAAAAGCAAATCAGTTGTTGTTCAGGATTATTCATGTAAATTCATCAAAGCTAAATTAAATTAGAGTTAAATTCAGATTGAAATTAGGTCGTGAATGAATCTACCCCCAAGAGAAAAATACGTTTACTAAAGTGAAAAATAATAGATAGAGATTTCAACTTACTTTGAATGGATAATACTGCTGGTTACTCATGATGATTCGTGTATCTTGCGACTAGAAATAGAATAGGAAAACAATAAAAAAACACGCACAAATACACCTATATATATATAGATCGAATTAAATAAACTATAGAACAGGTACTACGAGTTAGGTACAATAATCAACTGAATCAGAGACCATGAACCGACTCGATATAAACTATTCATTTTGTGAATGACATCATCCGTTTATAAATAATTATTACCATCACTATTACCTTACTCAATGTCTCAATGAATAATAATGCTTCCAGTGAAGGAATGTATGTATCATACTAAATGAGCATTCAGTCATAATTTTATCACTTTTTTGTTGAACTTGATATCGTGCTTTATCATATTTTTCCAATGATTTTCGGGCGTTTTTAAATTGACAAATATAGTCTCATGAGCCATTTGCTATTTTTATCCATGATTGTTTTCATGGTTTCTATGCTCACTCTTATCATTATGACAAACAACATTGAAACATGGTATGATAATCAAAGACAAAACAAAAATTGTAGGTATCAACATTTCAAAAATATGAATTCCCAGAACACAAAAAGTTTGTCAACATCCCATTATAGTGACTTATTTATTTGACTATTTCCAGATAAGAGATAATCATCAATGAGTTTATGTGAAAAAAATTGTTTTCAATCGTGCATTATATATGTATAGGGGGAAAGATATACAGTGTGACCCACTTCTAATGGAAACACCCCTGTATCTTACGTATCTTACGATAATCTGAACTGATTTCTTTGTTTATACGTCCATGGACTTCATCGACAATACATCAATAAATGTATATTAAATCGATAGATATTAAATATTTATTGTTTATTGTAGATCATATATCATATATCCCAGACAGCACAAAAATATTCTATGAATATAATCTGACAACGTTCAAAAAAACTTATTTTAGGATATTCTGATAGAATTTGTTCTCATCCTACAGCAAACATTCAATTTGACATGTTTCAAAAATATATTATTTTCGAATATTCTGAGAATATTCAGAATTGTATCAAAAACTTGTATTGATATTATTATTTTTGTATCAAATATTTTATAATGTTTCCCGATCGACCCACGATCCACTATTATTCTTTATATAGCCATAATTATAATCATCCAACTTATAAAGTGTTGACATCTTATATTTGCTATTCATATTATTTAATAATAAGGTTTGTAGCACAGTGAAAAAAGGTGTCAGCTTTGAAAACATTCAATCACAAGAGTATAGGTTCGCATGCTATGTCCACCGCGGAGCAAGCTTTTTTCAATATCACAATATTCCTCATTCTCTTATAAAATACCGGGAATCGGGAATATTCTCAGAATATTCCAAACCGAATGTTCATAGAACGTCCCTAGAATATTTGTATCATATTGTGAGAATATTCAAATATTCTCGCGGACAATATCCTATAAACGTTAGTTGAATGACGTTGTGCTATCTGGGATTATATTAAGTATGGATAGACCCCTCTGCATGATGTATACGCTATTACTAGCTCATATTTTACTTCAATATTGATTCTTTTGCGTTATAAGTATACATATATACATATGCTGCTAAAGTTTTATATACTTCGGTATTTTTAGAAATAGACGAATTTTCATCAACAAAATCCTCATCAACGTCATCATAGATCTAGACCTACATATAGCTATCTTTCAAAATCCAAATATGGGGTGCGTTCACTCTTCACCCTGTATAAGCGGAAAAATTGAAAACTATCCACCTGAATTTCGAATGAATATCCCTGTTACTGTAGGAAGCTGAATACAAATATTTATTTTGAATTACTAGAATAAAAAAGCAGGCTATACCGATACCTATACACTACCTACATAAAAAGTGAAAATCGATTAAGATGCTTATGGTCTAGGCATTGTCGATCTAAATGAAAACCTAGTAGGCGACCTAGTACGCGAGGAGGTACAATATTGTCTGTTCTTTGAATCAAAATCTGTCTGCCTGTCAAGTGGCGCTGGCATCCTGAAAATGGAAAAAGCTCATTTGTTTATGTCAAAATAGACCATATTAGGTTGATATTGTCTTCTTCTATTTTTTTCCAATATGTTAATCAACCACAGATGTGCTTTCCATCATTGACGTGATATTCGATACAAAGGCGATGAAGAAGATTCTTTCATGAGATTGAGATGTCATAATCAAAAAATTATTTTCTGACAGTTGTCATTAACTTATAATTTCGTCTTTGTGAATATGTTGAACTTTGAATTCGTATTCTTGAAAATTACAATTATTCCTAATTGTTTCTTCTAGTATTAGTTTTCTATTGCAGTTTGTTGATTGGTTTGTGAGTGCGATTGTGTTATTTTGCAATGTTATCTGAAAACTTCGCACTCCAGGAGGTGGAGGTGTAAAATTATCAAGACCTGGTTTCTCCTATCCCCACTGTTGTGAATTTGAGCCTCAAATCCTGAGGCATCAATGAGTTTATGCCATATTCATTGGATTGCAAGGTGAAATTTTTTTCTCAAATCGTATAATATTTGAAACTTGATGCATTGATATTTCAGGAATGGGAGTTTTTGAAGTGAGCGAACATGATACTGTATGTTTCCAACATTTTAAGAGAACTATTTCTTGCCAATGAAGAATTGGAAACGGTTTTGGAAGGAGGGTTCGGTTCCAAGTTTGTTTAAGGAAGGTATATATAAATAAAATGATATTTAACAAGTTCCTACCTATACAAACTTTTTGTAGCAATCAGCTTATTAGTTTCTAGTTACTAGAACTATAAGTTTCAGTACGAAAATTACCAAGAACTTGACTTTGGTACCTCTAAAAATTGTTCCAGTCAATTGTCATTGAATTCATTTCAGAATGGTACAGAACATTGAAACTGGGGACAAAATAGATATCAAATATTTTCATAGTTTCAGACTCATCAATGTAGTTTGGAATATGATGCTGAAGAGAAACTCCTTCCTTAAAGAACACGACCTGAAGATGAGGAAGCATCTTAGGAGGAAACGGGCATTTGAACATATATTATAGAATGATAATAAATAATAATAATGTTTATTCAAAATTTTGACAATATAAATTAAAAAGTTATACATATTGGTATTGAATATTCCTATGGTTTAATTTGTGGAAATTATAGACACATCTTCTCATATTTAGTGAAGTTAGTGGCTTCAATAACATGATTTTATAAAAAATAATCATTGTTCAGCAAAACATATATTTAACCTAAATACTTACCTTTGGTACAATATATAATGTTTTCAAACTTACCTGTCAATAAATCTGTACAACAATAAACAGGGTATCTGTTGAAGATGTTCTTTTTATGATTGTGTTAATTTCATGTACATATAGTATATTATAATGTCAGTTAGACAGAAAAATAAAAATAGATTCTGACACGAATTTTCAAGATAGAATTTTATTAAATATACCATTTATAGTATATTCTGAAATATTGGTGAGAAATGAAGTATGTATAACATCGAAAAAACTTTGTTTCGCTTGTCTCCGACCTGCTCACACTGTTTTCAAATGCAGAAAGAGAAAAAAGTGCAGCATTGAAGGTTGTGAAAAATTTCATCATTCTATTCTACATAATCCAGACATGGTGAAGACCTTCCTTTCTAAAGATGAGTCTTCAGATTATCAAAGCAATCATTCAGAGAGAATTCATCATTCACGGGACGACCAGGCAGAAATACTTCTTCGCATAGCACCAGTGAAATTGAAAAGTCACAATAAAGAAATTTTCACCTTTGCTTTATTCGACGAAGCAGCGACTACAACTCTGGTTGACTCCAGGATTGCAGAGGAAATAGGACTCGATGGACCGGTCGAGCCCCTTTGTTACCAGTGGCTGAACGAAGTGAGCAGGAATGAAGACGATTCGAAAAGAGTTTCACTAAATATTTCTGGGGTGGATGAAACGGCGAAAACTTACCGAATTTCTGGCGCAAGAACAGTTCGAGATCTATCCTTACCAAAACAGACAATAGATGTAGATGAAATGGCAAAGATGTATCCCTATATCAAGCAAGTTCCAGTAGTTTCCTTCAGAGATGCTCAGCCCATGATATTGATCGGACAAGACCAATGTGCTTTAACAATAGCACGAAAACTATACCAAGGTTCTTCGTGGAATACGCCATTTGTTTCGAAAACTTTGTTGGGATGGGTCATCCATGGACGAAAACCTGAGTTCAAACAGAATCTTGATAGATCTCTGGTATTTCATCTGTGTTGCAGTCAATCACAAGAAAATGACGAATACTTGCATAATCTTGTGAAAGACTCATTTAAGACTGAAAATTTTGGCGTTAAAATAATTGAAGGAAACGGAAGATCGAAAGAAGACGAAAGAGCACTAGAAATTATGGAAAAGACTCTGAAGATGGTTGAAGGAAGATTTGAACTTGGATTATTGTGGAGGAACGACGCGGACATTCTACCAGATAGCAAAACGGTGGCAATGAATAGACTGAAATGTATGGAGAGAAAAATGGACAAGAATGTTAATTTTTCTGAAAGATATTGCGCTAAAATTGAAAAATGCTGTGAAAAACTTGAAGAAAGAAGACATTTCAGCGTATCTGACCACTAAAGAAATAAATTGGAAATTCATTCCAGCAGCTTCACCACACATGGGAGGAAGCTGGGAGAGGTTGATCAAGTGTGTTAAGTCCGTGTTGAGAGTTACACTGAAAGAAAGATGCCCGAAAGAAGAAGTTCTGAATAACGGGATTGTTGGGCCCTGTCTTTTGATCAATGAAATTCGACAGAAATTCTGGATACTGAAAATAAGAAGTGCTGTCAGAACGTGCAGTAATAATTGTTTTTATTGTAAAAAATCTAGAGCAAAGCCAGCTGTTCCGCAGATGGGACAATTACCAGAATGCAGACTTCAAAGCTTCGTCCGACCATTCACCATAACAGGTATGGATTATTTTGGACCTGTTACGGTGACTATCGGGAGAAGACACGAAAAACGATATATAGTACTTTTTACATGCATGAGTGTGAGAGCTGTTCATTTGGAAATTGCCAGTACTTTGAATACCGATTCTGCGATTATGGCAATCCGTAGATTCATTGGAAGGCGAGGCTATCCACGAGAAATTCATTCCGATAACGGAACGAATCTACACTCAGCTAACAAAGAATTGAAAAATGCTGTGAAAAACTTGAAGAAAGAAGACATTTCAGCGTATCTGACCACTAAAGAAATAAATTGGAAATTCATTCCAGCAGCTTCACCACACATGGGAGGAAGCTGGGAGAGGTTGATCAAGTGTGTTAAGTCCGTGTTGAGAGTTACACTGAAAGAAAGATGCCCGAAAGAAGAAGTTCTGTATACGTTGGTTGTTGAGGCTGAGAATATGGTCAATAGCAGACCTCTGACGTATGTATCTTCAGATTCAAATGACCCTGAGAGCATCACACCAAATCACTTTCTCCTCAACTCATCAAGTGGAGCATCTCCAGTGACTGGAAAATTCGACTCGAAAGAAATCAACCTCAGAAAGCAGTGGAGAGTTTCGCAAGCATTGTCTGATATGTTTTGGCGGCGATGGGTGAAGGAATATCTACCCACCTTGAATAAGAAGGGCAAATGGCATTCGGACATCAAGAATGTGAAAGTCAATGACGTTGTCATCGTCGTGGATGACACACAAGCTCGAAATTCATGGCCATTGGGAGTGATTCAGAGAGTTTATAATGGGAAAGATGGCAAAGTCAGAGTTGTCGACGTGAAAATGAAGAATGGTACCTTCAGACGACCAGTTGCAAAAATATGTAGATTGTCTCATGTAACAGAAGAGTAATAACGAAAAGACGAAGATTAGTTTTATAAGTTTTGAATTTATCGACATGATATGGCTTCAAAACTAAGGGGGGAGAAATGTTGAAGATGTTCTTTTTATGATTGTGTTAATTTCATGTACATATAGTATATTATAATGTCAGTTAGACAGAAAAATAAAAATAGATTCTGACACGAATTTTCAAGATAGAATTTTATTAAATATACCATTTATAGTATATTCTGAAATAGTATCAGAGGAGAACAAATTAGTAGAATAAAAATTGCAATAATTGTTCATAATTATATTCAATTTATTAAAAAAATATAATTGTATTGTCATTCCTACATATAAAAGTTATTTTCCAATAAAAAAAATTCTAAATATCCCAGCATCTTGATATTTTGAGTTTGGAGCAGAATATCCATAAAACATTGATGAAATAAACAGATTGAGTCTAACCTTATTGCTTCTATATATTCATTTCAGATGGGAAATTTTCCATTCTGTTCTCAAACATCATCATCCTTCTGGTACATTTCTTCTAAACATTACTCACATAATAATTCCTCATGCGATTCTTCCACATCAATCTGTTTGTATCACTCATAGTTTTTCGTTTTTCAACTGAAAAGCTATTTATGTAGGTACTCTTCGCTGTAGGTAGGTACCTGAAATTTTCAAGTATAGTGAATCCGATGTGTACATAGTTTACATAACTAAAGACCTGTTTTCACTGCAAATAACGGAATTTCATGAATTATATAGTAACTTATCAAAAATATAGAAGGAAATAAGCAGCCCCTACCTTTCTGCTTGGCTTGCATGTCGAAAAAGTGTGAAAGCACTGATGAGTTTCCGAAGTTTCCACAGTTCCAACTTAAATTCAAGTTGCATCATAAGTCAACCTAATACAGCATTGCCTAAACATCTCCCTGCTTCCATTCAAGTATAGGTAGATGGTTTTCATACTTGATAATATCTTTCATGATAATGTTTCATTTTTGGGTTTCAACATGACAGATTTTTATTTACAAACTTGACAGGACCATGAAAAATGTTTGGGTTAGGAATAAAAAAGGAATAACTTAGTTTACTTGGTTCACATTGATGTCTCTGTACTACTGAACGCCTTCATTTATTTTTTCAAAGAACAGACAATATTATGCTCTCGCCTACTAACTACCTAACTAGGTTTCCATTTAGATCGACAATGGTCTAGGTACAAAACTAAGTACCAAGGTAATAATAATAATTACGCCATTTTATTTTACTCTAATTGCGCTCTAATATGTCAATCTAGAAAATATAAAAATTACCTTCTCGTAATGAAGAAAATAAACTAAAACTGTGTCACACCCACCACGTAGAAAGAAGGATCTAGCACGAATCAGTAATCACGAATGCAGAAACAGAAATGTTAAAATTGACCGAGAGCGAGAGAGAGGAAGCGAGAGCGAGTGAGAACGGATGATGAAGAATTTGAGAAATCCAATCGCGTTCACCATAGGCGTCTCAAAGAGATGGCCAGAGAAGCGAAAACGTACAATATTGAGTTACATTTTTTCGTTTGATTCTACGAATTTTTTTCTCATCCCTTGGATCGCACGAAAGAAAATCCCTATAATGATCGAAGAACATCGTGCGTACAGGGTGCGCCTCTTAAAATGGAACCCCTCCTCTTGAATCTTTTGTTTTCAGAGATTTGAAAAAATGTTGAATTAAAAAGTTGTTTGAAACGACCCAAACTTTTATTTCGTGAAGTTGCTCCATATACAGGGTCATTCGTTCTTCCGGAAAGGACATTAACTTTGATTTTTTCAATAGAACGCCCCATTTATTTTCTGTCAAGTCGATATATAGAGCCTGTTTTTCTGATTTCAAAAATATGCATGAGTTGCATATTTGGATGAAAAATAAATGAGTTTTTGATTATCAAAGTTTACCAAAATACCGAATCTTTCAAAATCCTAACATGAACATCTTTTATCTGAACATCCATGTTGATATTTCGTAACCATTTTCGAATTATTGAACTTTGAAAATTATGGGTTTGCCATTTTCATCGATACACATTCTCATCTTGTTTTTCATTCAAAAATCGATACCAGAATCAGAGCAAACAGAAATAGTTCATATGCAAGTTATTCACAAAGTGAAAAAGAACAAAATTCCCATTTTGCATAGTTGTGAATTATCATCCTGGGTTTGTTTTTAATGCGCTATGAATTTATAGGATATTTTAAAAATGGATTTTTTTTCTTTTTTTACTTTGTAAATGACTAGCATATGAGCTATTCCTGATGTTTGCTTCAATCTGGTTTCAATTCTTTCAATAAAAAAACTGGTGTACTAAGTTATTGATTGGACTTCTGATGTTTTCATAACAGATAAGAATATGTATCGACGAAAATGGCCAACCCGGAATTTTCAAAGTACAATTATTCGAAAACAGGTACGAATATCAATATGGATGTTGATATAAAAGATGTTTATGTTCCGATTTTACATCAAATGGCCAAAAATTATATGAGGTGTCGAAAAAAATCACTTTGAAATGTTCCGAATTGAAACATCGATTTCAGCCACCAAATATAACGCATCTCTCCATCAAATGATATCACAAGATCAAACGAACTTACCTGAGTGAAGTTCGATCTTGATTATATGAACCGCCTCGTTCAAAGAGATTCTGCAGATGACATTAATTCGACAAAAAAAATAAGAACTTTGATATGATAGAGATATAGTCAACGATATTATAGGAGTTGATGGAGGTCACAGGGATGCATTAAAAAATGTGCTTATGTACAGGGCATTCTATAAAAAAAGTTATCCTGACCCTCTAGATTGTTTTCGGTGCGCTCTGTATATGCGGCAATAATTTCTAGTTATGGACCTTGTTGTCTCATTCACATTCGATTTTGAATCAAGTTTCTAGCTATCATAGAACTCGTTTTTCCGTAGGAAAACAGTAATTATGAAAAGTGACATTTCATGTCCACAGAGATGAAATGTCAAACTTTTCTCCCGTCACAGAAAAAAATATTAAATATTCAATATTGATTGATTGATTTGTAATCCGCCAAAAAAATTTTGGGATACGTCCTTGTTTGTTAAGCATACTGGGTGTTGTTATGGTGTTCTTGATCTACTGGAAATGAAGATTCAACGATGTGGCATTGTCTTCAATGAAGAAACAAATAATAAGGAATGTTATTGCACAAAATATAACACCGTCCTAAAAGGAATATTCATATTTGGAATATTCCATCATTTCCACCTATAAATACTTCATAAAAATACTTGTTATTGTTCCTATCGCATTAATTATCGAGGTCAGAGTAGGATTAAAAAATAGATGTAAATAAATTGCGAATATATTTTATTCAGTATAGCAGTGCGATGAAATTTATAGAAAATTATTAGACAATTTTAATAAAAACAAAAATCATAAATCACTATCAACTTAATCTCAAAATAAGTTTTGATTATAAATAAAATGAAGAACATGGTGAATGAGCAGAATTCTCATTACATGTACAGGGTATCCCTAAAAGGTTTTCACAAGAACTTACCACATATTCCTCAGAATGAAGCAAAAACGATCCAAAAATTGTAACTTCAGAGCCAGATACCTTTCAAGGGCACCCTGTATAATTAACTCAATTCATAGATAATTGCACTTGTGCAATTGCACTAGAAATAACGTTATGAGACGGGTAAAATGTTCGTAACATTCATTTGCCTGATATCAAATCAACATACAGTATTTTACTTAAGAGAAAAATGAAATGGGTTTGAATGTAATTTCAACGAAGACCTCTGATTATTCGCAGCTAAATCCAGTCGGTACGAAATTGCAGACACTCTGCTGTCCCTCACCGCTGAACCCGAATCTGTACCAGCTCCAGTCGGAGCAACCTCCTTTGGGGTCACACACAATGTTGACCAGCTTAGAATCGCCGCCGGCCAACGTTCCAGTGATATCGTCCATGTTGAGTTTGGTGATGGGAATGTTATTGTTCGTTACACCACTAGAAGTGCCGTTGACTACGTCTTGTTCCACGTTGACAGCAATTTCTCGGATATCTGCAAGGATGATACAACCCTTGAATGCGTTAACACTAACTCTAAACGTTCACAAAACTCTTGAATGTCAACACAAACCTTAGAAACGTTCACAAAATCCTCAAATGTTAACAAAGCTTCCACAGAACTCTTGAATATTAACAACAAACCTCAGAGATGATCACAAAATCCTCAAATCTTGACAAAGCGTTCACAAAACTCTTGAATGTTAACACAAATCTTATAAACGTTCACAAAATCCTCAAATGTTAATAAAGCATTCACAAAAATGTGGAATGTTAACACAAAGCTTATCGACGTTCACAAAATCCCTAAATCTCAACAAAGCGTTCACGAAACTCTTTAATATGAACAACAAACCTCAGAGATGTTCACTAAATCCTCAAATCTTGACAAAGCGTTCACAAAACTCTTGAATGTTAACACAAACCTTTCAAACGTTCACAAAATCCTCAAATGTTAACAAAGCATTCACAAAGATGTGGAATGTTAACACAAACCTTATCGACATTCACAAAATCGTCAAATCTCAACAAAGCGTTCACAAAACTCTTGAATATTAACAACACACCTCAGAGATGTTCACAAAATCCTCAAATCTTGACAAAGCGTTCACAAAACTCTTGAATGTTAACACAAATCTTATAAACGTTCACAAAATCCTCAAATGTTAATAAAGCATTCACAAAGATGTGGAATGTTAACACAAACCTTATCGACGTTCACAAAATCCTCAAATCTTAACAAAGCGTTCACAAAACTCTTGAATATTAACAACAAATCCCAGAGATGTTCACAAAATCCTCAAATCTTGACAAAGCGTTCACAAAACTCTTGAATGTTAACACAAATCTTATAAACGTTCACAAAATCCTCAAATGTTAATAAAGCATTCACAAAGATTTGGAATGTTAACACAAACCTTATCGATGTTCACAAAATCCTCAAATCTTGACAAAGCGTTCACAAAAGTCTTGAATATCAACGACATACCCCAGAGATGTTCGCAAAATCCTCAAATCTTAACAAACCGTTCACAAAACTCTTGAAAATTAACAACAAACCTCAGAGATGTTCACAAAATAGCCAAATCTTAACAAAGCGTTCACAAAACTATTGAATATTAACACAAATCTCATAAACGTTCACAAAATCCTCGAATGTTAATAAAGCATTCACAAAGATGTGGAATGTTAACACAAACCTTATCGACGTTCACAAAATCCTCAAATCTTGACGAAGCGTTCACAAAAATCTTTAATATTAACAACAAACCTCAGACATGTTCGCAAAATCATCAAATCTTAACAAACAGTTCACAAAACTATTGAATGTTAACACAAATCTTATAAACGTTCAGAAAATCCTCAAATGTTAATAAATCATTCCCAAAGATGTGGAATGTTAACACAAACTTTATCGACGTTCACAAAATACCCAAATCTTAACAACGCGTTCACAAAACTCTTGAGTATGAACAACAAACCTCAGTACACAAAATCCTCAAATCTTAACAAGGCGTTCTCAAAACTCTTGATTATTAACACAGACCTCAGAGATGTTCACAAAATCCTCAAATCTTAACAAAGCGTTCACAAAACCCTTGAATGTTAATACAAAATCTTATGAAGACGTTCACAAAATCCTCAAATGTTAACAAATCATACACAAAACTCTTGAAAATTAACACAAACATCAGAGATGTTCACAAAATCCTCAAATCTTAACAAAGCGTTCACAAAACCCTTGAATGTTAATACAAAATCTTATGAAGACGTTTACAAAATCCTCAAATGTTAACAAATCATATACAAAACTCTTGAAAATTAACAAAAACCTCAGAGACGTTCACAAAATAATCAAGTGTTAACAAAACGTTCACAAAACCCTTGAATCTTAGCACAAAACCTTATGATGACGTTCACAAAATCCTCCAATGTTAACAAAGCGTTCACAAAACTCTTGAATGTTAAAAGAAACCTTCCATAAATCCTCAAATGTTAACAAAGCATCTTGAGACTATACTTATGCTAACAAGTACTTACTTGCCATTCTGATATTTTTGAAATAGATGTTGCTGATATTGCCTTTGCCTGCATCACTGATAGTTTTCACTTGAATACCATTCTTGGCATCAAGCACCATAATATCCTGAAAAATATTGAATCAATCAATAATTTTCATCATTTCAAAATATACCTATCAAATAATCGGGAAAATACTGTTTTTTTGGGCGAGTAGACAAAATTCAAAGCCGAGCCGTAGGCGAGTCGGTGTACCTACACAAAATGTTTTATGTGTTTGACAGTTAATCGATTGCATCAAAATGTTCCTTCTTCATTTGTGTGTTGATTAAAATTGCAGGTGGGAAATAAATTAACGTTTCTGCAATATTCCTCAATATCTCACCTCCAAACTGATGTCCTTGATGGTGTTCTTCTCAATATCAGTCTTGCTGAGTCCTGCTATCAAACCTAAACCACGACCACCATAACAGTACAAATTCGAAATGCTCATGTTGCTACCCTGATTGATGCGCACGCAGTTATCTTGGTTGCGTACTGTAGAATTCAACAGTTTGACGTTCGATGAGTCGATAATGTAGAAACCATCAGTGTTCACACCGACTTCTTTCTGAAAAAAAATTAAATTTACTTTTGTATGTATTCTTCCTTAATTTCTGTGTTTTCGCCGGCGTAAAAAATAGTATATACACCTCAAGACAGAATGCTATTTTTCCCTCGGTGCTTTGTATTGTCAAGAAGTACCAATGCCTATGAATTAACATCACTCAAACATCGTTCATTTCAAGATCTTTTATCAATAATTGACTTTTCCAAGTTAAAACATTCAGTACATTGTAGTTTCGATCAGATCAGCGGAGTTCATAGACGTCATTTCCTTTATAATTTGCAAAGAAACCGCTTACCCCGCGATAATACCTAGGTAAGCAGTATCGAAAGGTAATGACCATTCCCATTGCGGACTTTGATGCTGCTGCCTATAACATAATGTAAGTACCAAAAACCGTCATCTTGTTTCTGTTGTTTGCTCGTTTCATGTTTGTTCTTTGCTGTTCCGCCCTTTTGGTATATTTTTATGTTTTCATGATTGAATAAATTGCTTGTTGTACGTTTGAAAAACAATTCTCTTTATTTGGGGATGAATATGGTGGGGTGGTAAAATACTGAAAATCTTCTCGTCAAAAAGCCAAGCGAGTAGCTAAGTCGCGACCTATAGGATAGTCACCATCTGAGTACATATTTCACCTTGGAAAAAATCTTGCAGTTCTGTCCCTTGATGTATAACGTCTAATTTTAAATGACATATTGTTGACATACATAGATAATGCAGAAATCAGTTGAACTTACTCCATTGGCAGGATTTCCGTCGATGATATCGATGTCCCAGTAAGTCAACGTGACACTGTCACTGTTTTCCAGGCCGACGCAAGCTTGAGGGCAGTTTTTGAGGTGGATATTATTGAACACAGATCCGCCTGTAGCCTCTATTTTCATAAGAAGGGGCTTTTGTTTGCCGCTACCGCCCAAACCGTCCCACCAGTATGCTCCCCTACCGTCGATCAGGTGATCTGAATAAGGAAACAAACAATCAACAAATTCCCAGATCATATAAAACAAATCTTTCAAGCTGTAATTAGAACTTTTGCAGCATTTTGAAATAACTTACAGACGTTTAAATTGTTTTAAATTGAGCAAGTGATAAACTGCAGTCTCTCTTGTTCTGCAACTTATATCATTCAACTTGTAGTAATTTGAAATTTTGCTAGTTAAAGTCCGCAGTTTCGAAATTGCAATTTGAAACACAACTTGCAGCAATTTGAAATTTCGCAAGTCATAATATCGTGGTGAATTATTCTGGTTATAATTCACAGTAATTAGGGATTTTGCATCTCATAACTTGCAGCAATTTGAAATTTTGCTAGTTAAAGTCCGCAGTTTCGAAATTGTAATTTGAAACACAACTTGCAGCAATTTGAAATTTCGCATGTCATAATATCGTGGTGAATTATTCTGGTTATAATTCACAGTAATTAGGGATTTTGCATCTCATAACTTGCAGCAATTTGAAATTTTGCTAGTTAAAGTCCGCAGTTTCGAAATTGCAATTTGAAACACAACTTGCAGCAATTTGAAATTTCGCAAGTCATAATATCGTGGTGAATTATTCTGGTTATAATTCACAGTAATTAGGGATTTTGCATCTCATAACTTGCAGCAATTTGAAATTTTGCTAGTTAAAGTCCGCAGTTTCGAAATTGCAATTTGAAACACAACTTGCAGCAATTTGAAATTTCGCAAGTCATAATATCGTGGTGAATTATTCTGGTTATAATTCACAGTAATTAGGGATTTTGCATCTCATAACTTGCAGCAATTTGAAATTTTGCTAGTTAAAGTCCGCAGTTTCGAAATTGCAATTTGAAACACAACTTGTAGCAATTTGAAATTTCGCATGTCATAATATCGTGGTGAATTATTCTGGTTATAATTCACAGTAATTAGGGATTTTGCATCTCATAACTTGCAGCAATTTCAAATGTTGCTAGTTAGTTACCACTAGTGGTTTTTCTGAACTTGCTACTTTCAATATGACTCACAGCATACTTACATTTTGTAAGTTAAGACCTGTAGTTTTTCAAAATTCTGCTGCATTTTATTTACAGTTATGAGAAATAATGCAACTTATAACTTGCAGTTCTTCAAAATTGGCTCTATAGTTTTAATATAACGTACAGCAATTCCTAGTATATACAACCTACAGTTTTTCTAAATTTACAACTTCCAACTCGCAGAAATTTGAAACATCCATGTTTTCAACCTGGTTAATCTGGTAACTACCTAGTTTTGTTGAATAGGCTTCGAAACTACTGGCTCGATTTGGCTGAAAATTGGTGGGAAGGTAGCTTAGAACCAGGAGAAGGTGATAGACTACTTTTTATCCCGGTACCATTAGGAAATTCAAGATGGCGGATCTAATATATCATACGACTTTTGTAATTATGGTCCGATTCTATTCAAAATTGGTACATGGGGGTTTTCGGGGTCGGAGATTATGATTCTTTCGTCAGAATTTGAAAATTTAGGCGGAATTTTGAAATTCAAGATGGCGGAAACAATATGGCGGACGAGTATTGTAATTAAAATCCGATTCTTCTAAAAATTGGTACCTAGGAGTTTTCGTGATCGGGGATTATGATTCCTGAGGAAATTCAAGATGGTGGATCCAAAATGGCGGATTTTGTGATTAGGATCCGATTTTATTCAAATTTGATATCTGGTGGTTCTCGGGGTCGGAGATTATGATTCTTTCGTCAAAATTAGGAAATTCAAGATGGCGGACCCAGTATGGCTGACGAGTATTGTAATTATGATCCGACTCTCTTCAAAATTGTTATCTGGGTGTTTTCGGGGTCGGAGATTATGATTCTTTTGTAAAAATTTGAAAAGGGCGGGATTTGGAAATTCAAGATAGTGAAACCAATATACCGGACGAGCTTTGTAAATTATATACCGATTGAATTCAAAATTTGTAAGTGGGCGTTTTCGGGATTAAAAATTATGATTCCTTCGTTAAAATTAGGGAATTCAAGATGGTAGATCTAATATTGCGGACGAGCCTTGTAATTATGTTCCGATTCAGGGGAACGGAAAAAATATATTAATAGAAATATGTATATAGCGAAACAACTTTTGCGAGGTCTACTAGTAACTTATATTTAAATAGGTGGCAGATTGAAATTCAACCGAATTAAGAAGATTATAGCAGATATTTCAATTAGTATGGGCAACACAATTTTCAGTTACCGTAAGATATAAAGTGCAGATTTTTTCAGTTGGATTATATCAAAAACTTCCGAATTACTGCAAGTTGTTGAAAATGTATATCGCCAACAAAAAACACAAGAAGCGAGATAGATGTAGGTATATAAAGTGTTGCTGCTGCTGCCATATCGTTGATAACTATGATCAATTAATAATTATATGAAAATATGTAGACATACCAAACTTCGCTCCTTGGACTTTCAAAGCGTTCCCTTTGATCCAAATAGCCGGTCCAAGCCATTCTGCGTAGTCAAAAGTGATGGTTCCTTGAAATGTCAAGGTAGCTGCGTCTTTCAGAAACAGCTGAAGAGTTTGACCGGCATCGATCTGGATATCTTTCACCTAAAAAACACAATATAATTTAATGTTAAAACTTCACAAATGAAAAGATTTCCACAAAAGACAGCGTTACTTCGGGAACCTTATATAAGAATGTACAGGGTTTCCACGTATATATTTTATTCTTCCTTCCCTTAACTTTCTTATGTATTGTTAAATTTTTCTCAAACGGTCTTCAATCATCTCAAAAAGAAGTTATAAATTTTTAAACGGAACACTACACACTAAATGCAGTATACTTGTTATTTCAAATATATTGTATGTTAGCTATCACATATTTCGAGATATTTGACGTTGGACTTCACGTGTTTACTAGATATATCCTCAGATGATATCATGACGAAAATTATAGAGTAGATCATGAAAATGATTGATTTTGGAGAGCCTTCCCGTGATTGATTATCTTAAAATGATTTGGCATCACGATGGAGCACCATGGCACAACATATTGTTGCTATTCAGAAGCTTTTGAATAACAAATATAACGAGTGGATAGGTAAATTTGGAACTATCAGATAGGCCCCAAATAGTCCAGATTTTTCATTTGTAAGATAACTTTCTTTGGAGGCACCTGAAAATGTTGGTTTCAAGGTCCGCACTGAGAATATTTACCAGCTCCAAGAAAGGTCAATCGATTGACCGAGAACCCAAATATAATAGGTATTAAAGTAGTATTCAAAACTCGAAGAAAAAGAAACGTAATTGTTTGTGCTTTGAAAATAACTGATATTCTACCAAAGGAACTAACAGAACTTGAAAATTTATATCAGTTCATGAAAAAATTGTTATGTATAACGTCTTATATAACAAGTTATGTAACATCTCAACATCAGTGTCGTTATAAAAACGTAATACTCACCACGATGTTGTCGCAGTTGGCTGTGACATCAGCTGCGTCAGATAGCTTGTAAATTGTGCAGTTGTCTCCAAAGGCAGATTTGGCGAAAATAGTGGCTGTTGAAGCCAAAAAGGCTACGAGTAAGGTAAATGAAGCCATCTCAAGCAATGAGACTGCGATTGTTTCGCCGGTCTTTTTATACGGTTTTATTGGTAGGTACTATCGAACTATCGAGGACCACTTGAAAAATTATCAGTGAAATCCTCTTCAACCTCGATCTGTTCAAACAGTTAGATAGCTCTTATACTTTGAAATGTAGAGTAAATGATTTCATAGGAAAAATATTTGAAAATTTCAAATTCAAACAATATGCACACGCACGGGTGCCATGGCAGAGTTTGTCTATGCGCTGGAATTCGCTAGATAGCCGATCACGATGCGAAGGTACTGTTGGTTCGAATCCGGCTATCGGCTGAGCATTTTTCTTTAAAATGTGTGATTCATGGTTGGAATCCTGGCAGCACCTCGATGATCTAGAAGTGGTTCGAATTCCACTATATGCTGTAGCTCCCGCTCTTCCTAACCCCGCACGAGTTTCGACTTCGAATTTTACAAAACTGAACTGAAAGATGGTCAATACTATCCCAGCAAACAATGAACTGCCGGGAGAAGTCCGGCCTAGTGCAGGCAACTTTGAGAAATTGACGATGCCGGGGTATTGGTAATGGGCCGATGATTTCCCTATACTAAGTAAATATCAGTGAAAAATACTGTGATGGCCTTATGATGGTAAGATATCTGGAACCAGGTTGAACACTAACGAGTTGTGGCCCTTTGCTGGCCAATATCCTGTTCACTACTCGTCCCCTGGTGGATGATCTGGGAACTTCTACATCATCAACAATCAGCTGATCATTTGGATCGTTATTATAATATGTGACTCAAGTGATAGCGTATGGTTCGTTTTTCTGTTTTTTTGTCGATTCATCAGGCTCCTCACACTCCCTGGTCGTTATTTATGATGGCAGGCAATGGCAAATTGTTTCCTTGAAATCTGGTATGTGTCTGTTTGATATAATATGATGAGAGTGTTACATTAAAATATATAGTTACTAGAACGACTGTCCCTCCCCCTACCTCGAGAGTATGTAACCAATATCGATAATTGGCCGTTACAGTGCCATCATTCATGTATGTGCTGGGATTGCTATGGGAAACTCAATAATGTGTCGATTATATTGTACTGGCCTTTTGCCGGGGAATTGATTATAATTTCTGGGTACCCAGCACTGGGACCAGCTGTCGGCCGCAGTGTACTCATATACAGAGTCCCACATATGGGATCATTTACTGGGCCGCTAGGTATATAAAAATGCAGAAATGTTCTAATTACTTATAGATACCTATAGATGATTATCAGAATGATCTTTGTAACAACAAATATATAAATTGCGTTCATTAAAATGGAGTTATTTAGTTGAATGGTCCTCAAAAAAGTAATTGAGATGAAATTATCTCTTAAACATGAAGATTAAGATAACTCATATCTAGTGCATTAATTGTATGCTAAATAGGAGCTGCAGATCTGTCACGAGTTTATAGTTTGGCTTCAAACAAAAGATAGAGATCTCAACTTATTAATTATTGGAAATGAATATGCTCAGATATATTATGAACATGAAAAAAAATTATACATATTATAAAGACATACATTGAATACTCGCATTATCCATCTGCTAAACATATTAATTCTTTATCGATATATTAAACTTATGTTTTTTCATTGTCTTTTTGAAGAATCTTTAGGAGCTCCCGAGTAAACTGACCTCAAGATTTTCTAGATGAAACTTCTGGAAATACATTGAATTCTGAAACCTGTTGGTGTTAATAATGCAGCTATTCTTTTATTTTCATATTCTAGGCTAATTTCGATTAATTCATCCATACTTTTTGGAGGTAAAATATTGAAACACAACCTCACTTTTCTGTAAAACATTGAAACACATCCTCACTTTTTTCATTTGTTTACAGAGGAATCACAATATTTTGGCATACGAATCGTGTTTTTTGCGCTATTCATTAATTCAAGCATGCCTTATTCTCATTGTGCTGTTGTACAATGCACAAAAAATGCAGGGAGAGACGAAGGAATATGATTTCTTTAGGTAAATTAGTAATCTCACATAGTTTTCTCCATGAAATTTTGTCATTTTCTAATTAAAATTCCTTCTGGCACGTCTGCAATAGAAGCTAATACTGCTAATAGATTGAAAACGCGATGTCTACAACACATACGATCATATTTCGTCAGCATGTCAGACCAGTCCTTCCGTTTGATTGCATCAATCCAATCTTCTTGCATTATTTCAGAAATTTCAATAGTAATTCTATTAGCTCCTATTAGAAAAGGAATTCGGATGAGAAATCAGAGAAACTACGAAATTTCAAAATAAGAACTATATGTGAATGACTATAGTAGGTACTTACTTTTAAATCATAATGTACCAACTGGATTCCTTCGTCTCCCGCTGCACAGCACAATGTAAAGACATGCGCGAATCAATAAATAGCCGAAAAATACGATTCATATCCCATACTAATTGTGAAAATTTCAATCATTTGTAAACAAATAAGAAAAGTGAGGTTGTGTTTCAATGTTTCATCTCCAGGGTCGGTTATCTGACAGTTCTTGCACGCAACCCAGATTTTGTTATTAGTTTTTTGAGGTTATGCTGTCGCTGTTATTTTGAAAACCACCAAAATCCGTCCACCATCTATGTTCATCAGTGGAATGGATTGCAATTTTGGTTGATACAACAGTAATAAATGAACGCGTGGTTACGTCAAACTGGAATACACCAAAGAATATCTGAACGCAGTTGATGGATTAATGGGGCCACCGGTAAATGAAAGAAAGTCCCTTTCATGTCGGCACCATTGATTTCCGTTACGTCAATACTGAATCACATAGATTCAGTTCTATTGAAATGTAATGATCTTTAGTATACAGTGTGTCCCACTTACCATGCTCACCATGGGTATCTTTTTAACGGTGAGAGATACGAGGTCGGTTAAATGACACCAAATGTGGAGTTTGTCAAGGCCAACTATAATGTGAAAAAATATTTCGATAAAATCTATTCGTTTTTGTTTTATACGCAAAAAACAGATATTGATCATTTTCATGTCTCCTCCGTAACTTCTTTATTTATGGAAATATTCAAATAGGAATTTCACAATCTCATGGCAGTTTTTCAAAGTGATTTCGAAAAAAATATGAAATTTATACCAACTCTTCTAGAATTTGAGATATCAGCACCAACTTCATTTTTTCAAATGAAGGTCATAGCTCACTATGCCTAAGTTTTAAATACCTTTTTTTTTCTTACAGATGATATGTCGCAGTAATAGTTTTGTGATGATAACAACGGAGTTATCGTCATTTATACAAAAACAAAAATTATTTGGAAGCCATCTTGAATTTATAAATTTTACCAAGAAAATCATGATCTCAGACCTCGAAAACCCCCACTTACCAATTTTGAATGGAATCGGACCAAATCTTGTCCACCATCTTGAAGCAGCCATTATTTTTTAATTTCAACAAAAATTCCATAATGTATGGTCACCAAAATTATAAACACCTGCCAAATTTCAAGTTAATCAAAGTTATGGAATTTTTGTTGAAATTAAAAAAAATGGCTGCTCCAAGATGGCGGATAAGATTTGGTCCGATTCCATTCGAAATTGGTAAGTGGGGGTTTCTGAGGTCTGAGATCATGATTTTCTTGGTAAAATTTATAAACTCAAGATGGCGGCTTCCAAATAATTTTTTGTTTTTGTATAAATGACGATAACTCCGTTGTTATCAACACAAAACTATTACTGCGACATATCATCTGTAAGAGAAAAAGAAGTTATTTGTAACTAAGTCATAGTGAGCTATGACCAACATTTGAAAAACTAAAGTTGGTGCTGATATCTCAAATTCTAGAAGAGTTGGTATAAATTTCATATTTTTTGGTGTCATTTAACCGACCTCGTATCTCTCACCGTTAAAAAGATACCCATGGTGAGCATGGTAAGTGGGACACACTGTATGTAACGGCTTTAACACGAGCGAAGCGGTCGGTAAAATCTAGTATAGAATTATTTCTTCCGTCGAAATTTCGTTTTAGCTATTAGGTAGTAACATTCACCTGTGAAACATAAAAACGTTGCGTTGGTAAACTAGGAAATGGAGATGGGTATAAAAGGACCACCTGACAAAATACGAGGCAAAACGAAATGCTAAAATATTCAACCGCTGTTTATCTTTATTCCGCTCAGATTACGCGAATAATATAATTAGAAAAAAATCTAAAAACAAGAACGCAACAGCTCGCCACCTCAATCCTCCAGAAAGAAATACTGCCCGGCCCTTTTTTGCTCCACGTCCTTCACCGACTCCAACTTATTGATCCTGGGCCGGAAGTTGTTCGGGTCTCTCCGGAAAGTGATGCCCAACAGCTCCAAGAATCTGTTCATGCCCGCCAGAAGCGTTTGGGGCGCATGTGCGATCGTGTTGACGGAGGGGGAGCCCTCGAAAACGATCACCCTGTCAGCCAGATAGGTGGCCATGATGAAGTCGTGCTCCACCACGAAACCGGTTTTTTTCGCGTGCAAGATGAACCTGAAAAAATAACGGATTTGTTCTGGAAAATCGGGTCACCCTGTATGTTGATTTTGTTTTTTCGACGCTTCTGTAATTTTCTGATTTTTTTCATTTTTGAACCCTCAGAAAAAATATAGGTACGCCCCTGATATAACATTAAAATGTGTCTTAACTGTCAAATATTCAACTCTATGTATTTGTCTTTTTTTATTTTTGAACCTTCAAAAAATAATTGGGAACGCCCCTGGTGAAGCAATTTAGCTTGTTTTTCATTCTCAAAACAGTATCCAAGAATTATTGGAATTCGGACATTTCTCATTATTTGGAAAGTATCGAAGATGTTCAAGAAAATCGGGCCAATGTGTATTTTGACTCTGATTTTCTGATATTTTTTTCATTTTTGAACCTTCAGCGAAAAAATTGGGTACGCCTCTGATGAAGCAAATTTTTTTCGGAAAATATTATCGAGAACATTGAAACCATGGCATTCTTCTTCTCTGGAAAGGATCTAAGTTGGTCAACATCAACTTTTTTGACTGTAATTTTCTGTTTTTTTCATTTTTAAAACTTCAAAAAAATATGTACGCCCCTGAATAACGTTGTTGAAGGAAATCCGCACACCTTGTATTTCAACTTTCAGTTATTTAACTCCCTGTTATTTTCTGATATTTTCTTCATACCTAAACCTTCGGCAAATGATTGTTTTTGTATCTCAAAATAGTATGGAAGACTTTGGAATTCCGATATTTTTATTTTTGCAAAGCATCAAATTTTCTGAAGAAAATCCTGTCACCCTGTATCTCAACTTTTAGTTTTTTTTATGTATTCATGCCCGCCAGAAGAGTTGGAGCGCGTGCGCAATCGTGTTGACGGAGGTGGAAGAAAATCGGGTCACCCTGTATGTTGATTTTCTGTTTTTTCGACTCTTCTGTGATTTTCAGATTTTATTTCATTTTTTAACCCTCAGAAAAAAAAATTGGGCACGCCCCTGATGTAATATTTTTTTCTTAGAATGTGTCTCAACTTTCAGATATTCAACTCTCTGTATTTGTCATATTTGTTTTATGTTCGAACCTTCAAAAATAATTGAGTACGCCCCTGATGAAGCAATTAAGCTTGTTTTTTCATTCTCAAAACAGTATCCAAGAATTATTGAAATTCGGACATGTTTCATTTTTGAAAAGTATCGACGTTGTTCAAGAAAATAGGGTCAAAGTGTATCTTGACTCAATTTTTTGACTGTGATTTTCTGATATTTTTTACATTTTTGAACCTTCAGAAAAAAATTGGGTACGCCTCCGATGTAGGAATTTTTTTGGAAAATATTATCGAGAACATTGAAACCATAACACTCTTCTTCTCTAGAAAGTACCTAGTTGGTCAAGATTAAGTTTTTTTGCCTGTAATTTTCTATTTTCTCATTTTTGAACCTTCAGAGAAAAAATTGAGTACGCCCCTGATGTAGCAACTTTGTTTGTTTTTGTATCTCAAAATGGTATCGAAAACTTTTAAATTACGATATTTTTATTTTTGCAAAGCATCAAATTTGTTCAAGAAAATCGGGTCACCCTGTATCTCAACTTTCAGTTTTTTTTATCTGTTCATGCCCGCCAGAAGCGTTTGGGGCGCATGCGCGATCGTGTTGACGGAGGGGGAGCCCTCGAAAACGATCACCCTGTCAGCCAGATAGGTGGCCATGATGAAGTCGTGCTCCACCACGAAACCGGTTTTTTTCGCGTGCAAGATGAACCTAAAAATTACGGATTTGTTCAAATCGGGTCACCCTGTATGTTGATTTTATGTTTTTTCTGATTTTTTTCATTTTTGAACCCTCCGAAAAAAAAATGGGTACGCCCCTGATGTGACATTTTTTTCTTAGAATGTGTCTTTACTTGCAGATATTTGACTCTCTGTATTTGTCATAGTTTTGTTCATTTTTGAACCTTCAAAAAATAATTGGGTACGCCCTGATGAGACAATTTAGCTTGTATACTACTATCTATATCTATCTATCCAAGAATTATTGAAATTCGGACGTTGCTCAAGAAAATCGGGTCACTTTGTATCTTGACTCAGTTTTTTGACTGTGATTTTCTGATATTTTTTTCATTTTTGAACCTTCAGAAAAAAAATTGGGTACGCCTCTGATGCAATTTTTTTCGTAATCATTTCGAACATTGAAACCATGACATTCTTTTTCTCTGGGAAGGATCTAAATTGCTCAACATTGAGTTTTGTTACTGTAATTTTCTATTTTTCCATTTTTCAACCTTCAGAAAAAAATTGGGCACGACCCTGATGTAGCTCGAAATAGTGTCAGACATCGAAATTAAGACATTTGTTTATTTATGGAAAGTATCAACGTTGTTCAAGAAAATCGGGTCACCCTATATTTCATCTTTCAATTATTCGACTCCCAGAAATTATCTAATATTATCTTCATATCCAAACCTATGGAAAATGATTGGGTCCGCCCCTAACGTAGCAATTTTGTTTGTATTTGGATATCTCAAAATAGTATCGAAGACTTTTAAATTCCGATATTTTTATTTTTGCATAGCATCAAATTTGAAAATCAGGTCACCCTGTATCTCAACTTTCTGTTTATTTATCTGTTCATGCCCGCCAGAAGCGTTTGGGGCGCGTGCGCGATCGTATTGACGGAGGGGGAGCCCTCGAAAACGATCACCCTGTCAGCCAGATAGGTGGCCATGATGAAGTCGTGCTCCACCACGAAACCGGTTTTTTTTCGCATGCAAGATGAACCTAAAAATTACGGATTTGTTCAAATCGGGTCACCCTGTATGTTGATTTTGTTTTTTCTGACTTTTTTCATTTTTGAACCCTTCGAAAAAAAAATGGGTACGCCCCTGATGTGACATTTTTTTTCTTAAAATGTGTCTCAACTTTCAGATATTCAACTCTCTGTATTTCTCATAGTTTTGTTCATATTTGAACCTTCAAAAAATAATTGGGTACGCCCCTGATGAGACAATTTAGCTTGTATTTTCTTTCTGAAAATACTATCCAAGAATTATTGAAATTCGGACGTTGCTCAAGAAAATCGGGTCACTTTGTATCTTGACTCAGTTTTTTGACTGTGATTTTCTGATATTTTTTTCATTTTTGAACCTCCAGAAAAAAATTGGTTACGCCTCTGATGTAGCAATTTTTTTCGGAAAATATTATTGAGAACATTGAAACCATGACATTCTATTTCTCTGGAAAGGATCTAAGTTGGTGAATATTAAGTTTTTTGACTGTAATTTTCTATTTTTTCGTTTTTCAACCTTCACAAAAAAATTGGGCACGACCCTGATGTAGCTCGAAATAGTGTCAAAGACATCGAAATTAAGACATTTGTTTATTCATGGAAAGTATCAACGTTGTTCAAGAAAATCGGGTCACCCTATATTTTAACTTTCAATTATTTATCTAATATTATCTTCATATCCAAACCTTTGGAAAATGTAGCAATTTTGTTTGTTTTGTATCTCAAAATAGTATGGAAGACTTTTCAAGTTCCGATTTTTTTTTTTTTTCAAGAAAATCGGGTCACCCTGTATCTCAACTTTCAGTTTTTTTATCTGTTCATGCCCGCCAGAAGCGTTTGGGGCGCATGTGCGATCGTGTTGACGGAGGGGGAGCCCTCGAAAACGATCACCCTGTCAGCCAGATAGGTGGCCATGATGAAGTCGTGCTCCACCACGAAACCGGTTTTTTTCGCGTGCAAGATGAACCTAAAAAATAACGAAGAAAATAGGGTCACCCTGTATGTTGATTTTCTGTTTTTTCGACTCTTCCGTAATTTACAGATTTTTTTCATTTTTGAACCCTTAGAAAAAAAATGGGTACGCCCCTGAAGTAACATTTCTTTCTTAGAATGTGTCTCAACTTTCAGATATTCAACTCTCTGTCATTGTCATAATTTTTCATTTTTGAACCTTCCAAAAATAATTGGGTACGCCCCTGATGAAGCAATTTAGCTAATTTTTTTTCTCAAAACAGTACCCAAGAATTATTGAAATTCAGACATTTTTCACATTTTTGGAAAGTATCGACGTTGTTCAAGAAAATCGGGTCACTGTGTATATTGACTCAGTTTTTTGACTCTGTGATTTTCTGATATTTTTTCATTTTTGAACCTTCAGAAAAAAAATTGGGTACGCCTCTGATGTAGCAATTTTTTTCGGAAAATATTATCGAGAACATTGAAACCATGAAATTCTTCTTCTCTGGAAAGGATCTAAGTTAATCAACAACACGTTTTTTTACTGTAATTTTCAATTTCTTCATTTTTGAACCTTCAGAAAAAAATTTGGTACGCCCCTGATGTAACAATTTTTTTCGGAAAATATTATCGAGAACATTAAAACCATGACATTCTTCTTCTCTGGAAAGGATCTAAGTTGGTCAACAAAAAGTTTTTTGACTAAATTTCAATTTCCTCATTTTTGAACCTCCAGAAAAAATATTGGTATGATCCTGATGTAGCAAGTTGTTTCTAGAAATAGTGTGGAAGACTTATCGCAATTAAGACATTTGTTTATTTTTGGAAAGTATCAACGTTGTTCAAAGAAATCGAATCACCTAGTATTTTAACGTTCAGTTATTTGACTCCCTGTTATTTTCTGATATTTTGTTCATATCTAAACCTTCGGAAAATGATTGGGTCTGCCCCTAATGTAGCAATTTTGTTTGTTTTTGTATCTCAAAATAGTATCAAATTTGTTCAAGAAAATCGGGTCACCCTGTATCTCAACTTTTAGTTATTTTTTGTCTGTTCATGCTAGCCAGAAGCGTTTGGTGCGATCGTGTTGACGGAGGTAGAGCCCTCGAAAACGATGGGGTCACCCTGTATGTTGATTTTATGTTTATTCGACTCTTCTGTAATTTTCAGATTTTTTCATTTTTGAACCCTCAGAAAAAAATAGGTACGCCTCTAATGTAACATTATTTTCTTAGAATGTGTCTCAACTTTCAGATATTTAACTCTGTATTTGTGGCAATTTTTTTGATTTTTGAACCTTGAAAAATAATTGGGTACGCCCCTGATGAAGCAATTTAGCTTGTTGTTTTATTCTCAAAACAGTATCCAAGAAATATTATTGAAATTCGGACATTTTTTTCATTTTTGAACCTTCAGAAAAAAAATTGGGTACGCCTCTGATGTAGCAATTTTTTTTCGGAAAATATTATCGAGAACATTGAAACCATGACATTCTTCTTCTCTGGAAAGGATCTAAGTTGGCCAAAATCAAGTTTTTTGACTGTAATGTTCTATTTTCTCATTTTTGAACCTTCAGAAAAAAAAATTGAGTACGCCCCTGATGTAGCAAATTGTTTTTCAAAATAGTGTCGACGACTTATCGCAATTAAGACATTTGTCTTTATTTTTGGAAAGTATCAACGCTGTTCAAGGAAATCGGGTTACCCTGTATTTTAACTTCCAGTTATTTGACTTCCTGTAATTTTATGATATTTTCTTCATATCCAAACCTTCATGAAATGATTGGGTCCGCCCCTAACGTAGCAATTTTGTTTGTTTTTGTATCTCAAAATAGTATCGAAGACTTTTGAGTTTATTTTTGCAAAGCATCAAAATTGTTCAGGAAAATCGGGTCACCCTGTACCTCAACTTTCAGTTTTTTATCTGTTCATGCGGGCGCGATCGTCAGGTTAGGTTAGGTAGACATGATGAAATCATGCTGCACTACAATACTGTTTTTTTTTTCGCGTGCAAGATGAACCTGGAAAGTAGAAATTCTTCAAGAAAATCTTGTCACCCTGTATCTCAAATTCAAGTTTTTTGACTCCCTGTGATTTTCGAATATTTTCTTCATTGCTAAACCTTTAGAAGAAAATTGGATACGCTCCTGATGAAGCAAATGTAGCAATTTTTTTCCAGAATAGTGTGGAAGACTTGTTGAAATTACATTTTTCATTTTTGAAAGTATAGACATTGTTCAAGGAAATTGAGTCACCCTGTATCTCAAATTTCAGTTTTTTTTCTTCAAGATTGTGTTGAAGGCTTATTGAATTTTCAATTTTTTTTTTCATTTTTGAACCCTTTGTCAATTTGCATTTCTGGCCACTTCAAAAAAACTAATGGGTACGTCCCTGGAGACTCAATTATGTTTCATGTATGGTGTCAAGAATGGCATGTCTCCGAAATCAAAGCTCGGATTCCTAAAAAAAAAAGTTCTTGTGCCCCTGAAGACGAAATTTCGCTATTTTTTTCCGGATAGTGACGGAAAAATATGAAATTTCCGAAATGTATCATTCCGTTTTTAATCAAATTCCTACCTTTTGATCACTTTAGCAGCGACCAAACGTTGTTCGGAATCGAGGTAGGCGCTAGGTTCGTCAACTAGGTACACGTCGGCGGGCTTCCCTAAGCAAAGGGTCATGGCGACCCTTTGAAGTTCACCTCCGGACAAGTTTTGGACTTCTTGGTCTATGATGTCTTCTATTTTCAGTGGTTTCATCACATCGGCGATGAACTAGAAACAAATAAATATATCTGTCTATTTCAAAATATATTTTTACTCATCTATCTCTCTTCCCCTCTTTCACTCTCCCTCTATCTGTCTGTCTCTCTGTTCCACCCACTCTCCCTCTCTCATCATCTCTTTTTATATCTCTCTCACTTTCAATTTCACCCTTTTCCTCTAGACACAATATATACCTTTGGTTAAATAAATACTTACTTTTGACCAGCACATTTGTACTTTTGTATGAAACATATACTGTAGAAATATGTACTGTTAGATTGTTAACTCATTTCTGACTAATATATGTACTTATTGATAGATTAACTCTTGGTGAATGTACATTTTGCCACAATATTGTGCGATCGTGAATCAATTTCGTATTGCATTTTATCTTGAATTTTTCTCTTCAGAAATGTACTTTTGGCTATAGAATGTACTTTAGTCTGAAATATGCACTTTTGAATATAGTATGTTCATGGACTTTTTGCTAGAATATACGTTTTTCAGTCTAAAATAATATGTTCTTTTAACTACAATAGATTGGCTGAATATCAAGTTTTAGCTGCAACTTTTGGCTGCAATGAATGAGATTATGAATGAGGGTGTTTTGATAGAAGCTTTTCAGCCAAAATGTGCTTTTGTCTGAAATATACAATTTTGACTAGAATACGTTCATTTGGCTAAATTATGTACTTTTGGGTAGAATATGGACTTTTTACTGGAATATGTTTTTTGTACAGAATAAATATTGTTCTTTTGACTACAATAAACCGATTAGGAATCAATTGTGTGTAAATGTAAGCATATATCCCAGTCACAATATGTACTTTTGGCTAAATATATAATTTTGGCAAAATTTGTACTTTTGGCTGAGGAATATACTTCTGCATTTCTTGATGAAGCTAGAATAATATGCCCTTCAGGCTATAATAATCTCTTTGGGCTGGAATATGTACTTTTGACTAAATTATGTACTTCTGGGTGGAATATGGATCTTTTGTTACAATATGTTTTTTTGTATAGAATAAAAAATGTTCTTTTGACTACAATAAAACGATTATGAATCAATTGTGTGTCAATGTAAGCATATCTCCCAGCCAAAATATGTACTGTTGGCTAAATATGTAATTTTGGCTAAAAAGGTAATTTTGTACTTTTGGTCAAATAACTACTTTTTGCAAAATTCGTACTTTTGGCTGAGAAATATACTTCTGCATTTCTATGATGAAACTAAAATAATGTGCTTTTCAGGCTATAATAATCTCTTTGGGGTGGAATATGTACTTTTCACAAAATTATGTACTTCTGGGTAGAATATGGACTTTTTGCTATAATATATTCTTTTGTATAGAATAAAAAATAATCTTTTGACTACAATAAACCAATTATGAATCAATTGTGTGTCAATGTAAGCATATCTCCCAGCCAAAATATGTACTGTTGGCTAAATATATCATTTTGGCTAAAAATGTACTTTTGGCAAAATTTGTACTTTTGGCCAAATATCTACTTTTTGCAAAATTCGCACTTTTGACAGAAATATACTTCTGCATTTCTATGATGAAGCTAGAATAATATGCTCTTCAGGCTATAATTATCTCTTTGGGCTGGAATAAGTACTTTTGACTAAATCATGTACTTCTGGGTAGAATATGGACTTTTTGCTATATGTTCTTTTGTATAGAATAAATAATGCTCTTTTGACTACAATAAACCAATTATGAATCAATTGTGTCAATGTAAGCATATCTCTCAGCCAAAATATGTACTGTTGGCTAAATATGTAATTTTGGCTAGATATGTAATGTTGGCTAAATTTGTACTTTTGGCCAAATATCGACTTTTTGCAAAATTCGTACTTCTGGCTGAGAAATATACTTCTTCATTTCTATGATAATGCTCTCTAGGCTAACATAATCTCTTTGGGCCGAAATATCTTCTTTTGGTTGAAATATGTATTTTGTCTGAAATGTACTTTTGACAAGAGCATGTACTTTTGGCAAGACCATGTACTTTTGGTGAAAATATATTTTTTTCTGTGACGGGAAAAAAGTTTGGCATTTCATCTCTGTTGGCAGGTTATAAAATGTCACTTTTCATAAATTACTTTTTTCCCGTGGGAAAAAAGTGAGTACTTCTTTCCCGGATATATATCACATATATATACTCTGTTGATGGCTTTTGTTGTGCTATAGTTCCGAAAAATGAGTCAATAATACCGTCTCCGAGAAAGAACTGCAAGTCCTTTTATCTTCCATTCGACTTCGCGGTTTCGTATATTACTGAACAACTACTGAATTCGCAATTTTTTAAAATCAAATCACAGAATTGAACTGACAGAAGTGACATCAGATATTTGATTACTTCAAAAGAATGATAAAGATGCCTATAAAACGCAGGTGTCCCTACTGTTAAAAACTTGAAATTTCACGTCGATAATTTTCAGATTTCGAAATAATGTAATATCTTCTCAATATTGATTCGTCCTTCCTTCTGTCACAGAAAAAAATAGTGTATTATACACGGGAAAAATATTAGATTTTAGCTCACGGTTTTTTGTCTCCCTCCGCTACGCGTCGGGAGACAACACAACCTGGAGCTAAAATCTACTACTTTTTTCCCTTGTATAATAAATAACTAGATTTCAGTAATTACTTGCGGGTGGATGTAGGCATCCCGAATTTTTTCGTGCAACAGTTGCCTGACCAACCCTTGGGACTTGGGGCTGATCTTCTGGGGCTTGTAACTGATGTGCAACTGGGGCAAGTCCCCGGAGCCGGTGTCCGGCTGCAGATTACCGGCCAACATACGGATGAAGGTCGTCTTTCCAGTGCCGTTCTCGCCCAACAGCACCAAAATTTCCGAGTCGGAGAATTGGCCTTGGTTCACCTGCAAATGGAAGTTGCCCATGGTTTTCATCATGGTGGGGTAGACGTAGTGGTTCATGCGTTTGACTTCTTCTTCTGTGGCGGATTCGGCCACTTTGAAGACGAGGGATTCGTCTCGAAAACGCAGGTTTTCGGTAGGGACGAAACCGTCCAGGAAAATATTTATTCCTGCGAGAAAATTACGTATAGATGTGTGCGAGTTTTTTTTTTCGAAGTTTTTTTTTACCTTCCCGGACAGAGAAAGGCATTGTTACTACTCCATAAGCACCTGGGACTCCATAAAGGCAGCAGATGAAATCAGAAAGGTAGTCAAGGACACTAAGATCATGCTCAACTACAATGATGAACCTGAAAAATTAATGCAGAGGAATGATTTTACAAAGGAGCTGGCATCAAATTTGACTTTTAAAATGTAACTCAAAGAATACACATTTGAATTAGGTAGGGAAGAGACAGGTAAAGTGATATAGTTAATGTTTGAAACATCCCCACATCCTGAAGTATGTTTCTAAAATAGTTATTTGTTTTACTAGGCAGCAAACTAGTAGATTGGTTGCCGTGGATGAGGCAAATATGGGCAAAGTGAAATACTATAATAATAATGGAGGGAATGAAAATTATTATTATCTTTATTATTCCCAAGAAACATATATGTTTATAGCAGGGAAAATTATGAAAGAGCAACTAAAAAAACAAAAATAAGATAATCAGATAATCATTTTTAAATCATATACATAATACATATAATGTTGTTTCTTCTAGAGACTGTTGAATATAATTTCTTGAATTGATTCAGGATGACATGAAGAGAATCAAAGACATAAGTATTTTTTCAGTTCTTTTTTGAATTTTTCAACACTTAATTTTTTCTTCAGTCTGGCAGGTAATTCATTATAGAGAATTGTTCCATTGTATAAAATAGATCTTTTACCCATATCTGATTTAATTTTGATGAGAGTTAACATATCTTTTTGTCTGGTTATGTGTTCGTGTTTATGACTATTGACCGGAGATTGACTTCAAAATTCAGATTTGAATGTTTATAATTATATTTGACGGAATGGATGAAATTCAATATTTTGAATTTGTAAATGGAGTTTATATCTAACAATTGCCTAGGTTTATAAAGATTTCTTGTTGGTTCCAAGTAATCTAGTTTGTATATACATTTAATAACTTTGTTTTGAAGGATTTTGATTGGCTTCATGATTGATAATCTAGCAGTACCCCAAACTGAAATCAAGTATTGTAATTTTGAATAAACCAAGGAAAAATATATACATTTGATTAAACATTTTCACAAATTTATTCAGAATGAATTGAAATATAGACACAAATACAAAATCTCAAGTGAATGTACTGGGAGAGTTCAGGAACAGCAAAGAATCCTTTCTGCATCTGCTTCAGCTCTATAATAATCATGTGTAGATCAACCTGAAATATTATCATCCTGAAATATTATTGCCCTCACAGCATTCATTTCACTCTGCCCCTGTCCCAAAAACAACAAAAAAAGAATAAATCTTCTCAAGAAAGTTTGAATAGGTTGTTTCTACACATGTATTTTCTATGAAGTGTATTCAAAGAAAGACTAATAGCAGGTCAATAAAAAAGTGATAAAGCAATGCCAGGGCCTTCTAAAATTAGGAAAATACTTACAATTTTTATGGACTAAACCTCCAACAGGTGTCAACAAACCAAACCTGTGAGATAGCACTTCCATTTCAATTTCCAGATGTGAAATCTATATAGCAAGCCCACTGATAAATTTCAAACCTGAATTGATATTTCACTTTGCCCACTTGCTCCACTTTGCCTGACCCTCCCTTACTTGACTTATAATTACATTAAAATCCATCTAATCAAACATGAAAATTTTGAGTTACCTTGAATCTTAATTTTTTATCAAACATATCTTCCAGTTAGAACAAGTTCTGGTATGAGGAAGAACATAATTATAAAATAATAAGTAATAAATATCTATGAACTACTACACAAACATGAGTAGAAGTAAACATGAATAATAAATCATAATAAATCAGGATATCACAATAACACAAAACAATCAATGAACAAAGAAAAGCATTCTAGTCAAGGACATAACTTACTGATCAATTTTAAACATTTCTCTCAGAAATTATCAGAATTTTGTACCTATATTTCTGCAGTTTTTAATTTCATCTGAAAGTTTATTGAACTCAGATAAGGCTGCATGAGTGAATCTTTTTTGTCCCACTGTATAACTAGCAGCATCAAGGTGAAATAAGTTAGTTATATTGTCTAGTTTGATGACTATGAATTTCAAAATTTCATGAAAAATGTAGAACTTATCCAACCATCATAAACATGGACTTTCTTCTTGGAAAAAAGTTATGAATTCAAATAAAAACACTACATAACTATGACTTACTTGCTTGGATGTAGCAAAGATCTTATAGTTCTGGCACAGTTCAAGCGTTGCTTGACATCCAAATAAGAAGAAGGTTCATCAAACATGAAAATATCACCATCTTGGATGCACACCATAGCACATGCAAAACGTTGCAATTCTCCTCCTGACAATGCTGATATTTCACGTTCTTTAATATGGGACAAATCTAGAAAAATAATCATTTTTCACAAAACTCATTTGGGAGTTTTTTTTTTCATTTCCTGATGTTATCTTTTTTTCAAACTAGTGTAACTTGTTGATCAGAAAGAATGTAACATGACATATATTGGGCAAACACATAAAAATATTGGCACTAGATTTAAAGAACATATATGGTCAAAATTCTCACTGTAGACATCTTAGAACATCTGAATTATGGAATAATAAGAAGAAATTAGAGCTCTGTGAAATGCTTGGATCATAGAGATACTTTGGCTCAATTTCTGCATGTGTATATTGAAATAATCCACTCACCCAACATTTTACAGATCAACTCCTGGTTGTCTAGCTCATTCTTTTTATCCAGTAATTGGCCTACTGTACCCTTGACAGCTTTAGGAATTTGATCCACATACTGTGGTTTTATTAAAGCTTTCAAATCATCTTCCAGAATTTTAGTGAAATAATTCTGCAATTCACTACCCCTGAAATGGCTCAGGATTTCAGTCCAATCTGGTGGATCCTGTAACAAATCAATCAGCAAAGAGTGTTGAAGGCAATGGCAAATGAATTATCACCATATATCTGCCCAAATTGGGTTTCTGCTTGCCAGCAAGAATCTTCAGAGCTGTAGATTTCCCTATACCATTAGTTCCTACTAAACCTAGCACTTCTCCTGGACGAGGAATAGGCAGCCTGTGTAACTTGAAGGAGTTCTTACCATACCTATGAGTAGTCTCTTTTTGCAAATTACTGGGCAAATTGATGATGTTAATTGCTTCAAATGGGCATTTCTGAAACATTTCATTACAGAAACCAGTACTGGTAGCATTTGAATTAGTTTACTTTCACGCAAATACCACAACCAATGCAAAGTTCTTCTGAAATGGAGGCTATTTTGCTATTGGGAGTCACTTCAATACACAGCTTGCCCATTCGGACAACTGGACAGGATTTCTTGCATTCCTGTCTGCATCTTTTAGGCTTACACTTGTCCGCATTTACTATAGCAATACGGGTAAGCTTCTCTGATTCCTCGAGAGCTTTTCTTTTTGACATTTTCCTAAAATTTCAAAACAATATGTTACCTTATGAACCTAACCTATAACAATATGGTGACTATTTCATTTCGATTAATGAGTAATAAGAACCGGAAAACCGAGCGGTTTTCCCATTTTCTAAAATACTGAGAAAATATTTAAAATAACAACCCGTCTTCCAAATATATTGAATTGAAGACTAGAAACGTCAGCCCTCAACAAACACCCATGAGGAAAAGGAATGCGAAAAGTGACGTAGGCGCTTCTTCTTTTCTCTTGTAAATAGTGCAAATAAATCTTGACATGGTATCATTTGAACTACTCATCATCTTCTTCTGTTTTTAAGTTTTTGATCCGTAGGGCTTGTGCATATGTGGCTTGTGGCACAATAAGGTTTTGTAAGGGAAAGACCCAATGAATAATAAAATGAAGACGAACATTCTAACCCAATCTGTCAGCCCTGTCCTGTAACTTGTTTTGTCCTTAGATCATACTTTTGTCAGTAAAGAAGGAATTCTAGGAATAGATTCAGGCATTTTTGGATTAATATTTGCGTTGAAATGGCAAAAGTAGATATGGAATTAAAAAAAGTGGGTACCTTGAGATGTGCAATTTTATTACTCATGCTATTAAAATTTTTCCAATAGGCGTTCACTGAATTGCAAGAGAAACAAATAGAAACTGCCCAAAAATTGAGGATAGCTGATATGCAAATAGAAAATTTGAAGCGAAACAAACAGCATGCCTCAATAACAGAAAGGTGAGAGAAAATACTTTGTAAATAATAAAATAACCTCTACAATTACTTCAAATTTTCCAGAGAAATTAATGCCCTGGAAGAAGGTACAAGGACCTATGAATCTGTTGGTAGAATGTTCTACCTAACACCAGTGGAAAAAGTGAAAGAAAACTTGGGTAATAAGCAGAAGACAGCAGAGGAAAAAATCAAAGTACTAGAAAGTAGTAAGAGTTACTTGGAGAACTCTTTGCAAGAAGCCACCAAGAATTTGCGGGAACTAGTCCAAACAAAAAAAGACAGGGAATGAAATAGATACAACTCCAAAATTATTTACTATATTTTAACTGTAATCGAGTAACAAAAATCACAAGTTGTAATAAACTTAACTTATTAATAAAATTTCAAGCTATTTCTTGCATAGCAGTTTCAAATAACAGTTCTTCTGAATTGGGTGTATTATCAACATATGAAGGTTTATGGAGAAGCTTGAAAATGCCTGTTCCAATAGGAGCTGGCATTCCCATGATGATATTCTCTGACACCCCATTAATTTTGTCTGTCTGTCCATAATAGGCAGCATCAAATAAATGGTCAGCAGTCTTCTCAAACTAAAAAAAAAAAAAAAACGTTCAATAAAGGCATAGGGGTGAAAAATGAAATTAAAAAATCTTACAGAGGCTAAATTGAGCACTGACTGCTTCATTTTTGACAATCCTCCCCTTGTGATTCCCAGGACTTCGCCTGTGTGGGTCATTTGGGCAGCTAACAACATAATGTGGCGATAATCAACACTCATACCATGGTTTTCCATCACCATTCTTATCTCATACATTATTGTTTCTCTTGAAATAAAAATAAAAACAATTTATCTCCACAATATTGGTGGAAATAGGTATGTTTTTACCTAGCTGCTTCTATTCCCAAAGTGTTGTACACTTCCATAATGTTGTTGGATACGGTTTTTTTTCCATCCACCCCGTATGTCCCCATAACTTCCCTCAAGTTGTTGCCTTCAACACAAAGACTATAGAACGGTTTACCCCCTTTGTCCTCTCTAGCTATAACGGCCCTATTCACAGTTGGCAATCCCTAAAAACTCAATAACAACACTGCAAAAAAAGTATTGCAGAAAAAATTCCTATTGAAAAATGTTTTTCACATTTTCCCATAAGGTTATTTCCTATCAGAAATGTTGTTGAGAGTGAATAATTTCAGACTACTGAAACTTGAAATGGCATATATTCATCATAAATGTCCCCCTCTCTAGCTCAGTCATTTTTGAACGATTTCAAAATTTGAACAATTATTTGAAATGATTTTCAATAAACTTTCTTTCCGGTATATAAAAAATATAGGGTGCTCGGAACAAACGATCTACAGGGTACTAGTTGATGAATGAATCAAACAATAGAGGTTATGTCAAACGCTTATGAAGATAGTAGCCGATTGGCCGATTCTCTGATATACAAGGTGTCCCAGAACAACATATTATAAATTCAATAGGGTGAACTAGACATCAGAATGGACTGATTGAAATCAACACCATTGTCGATCTAAATGAAACCTAGTGCGAGGAGGTATAATAGCTCTTGCCTACTATAAGTACCTTACTAAGTTGTCATCTAGAACGGCAATGGGCGTGTCCCCTTAGCAGAACTTTCAACTCAAACCATGTTCATAATGATCCTTCTATACATTCGATCGAAAAATTAACTGAAATGTTTTATTTTTAGACATAAATATAGTACCTTCTGAAAACGGACCCTCTTATGACGTAGAAACCTCATCTCGCCATAGTTAAAAGAAAATACCAAACGCCCGACGGAGACTGAGGCAACTGATATATTAATTCTTTCAACTGTGATCTCGCGCTAATTCACTCTGTCAGAAATCATGTATCATTCATCTCTGTCTGGAATAGTCTTGTTTCAGTATGAGGGTTTTGACGTCACATCATCGCCTCGTTTTCAGAGGTCCGAAAAATCGGGGATTTCAATAATTATTTTATAAAACGTAGGGAGCTCACAGCAAGAAACGGTTTGCGGTGGTGAGCTAGTTTGGATGAGTTCTATCGAATTATGAAATAAAAATTTTTTGTGATAAATTTTATTCATCTGAAAAAAAAACCTTGACTTTCTACTCTCTGTATATCCCCGTTACTGATCCAGATTGGACTCGTGATTGCAATTTTAGTGAGTACATTTCATTGCACTTTCATCGAACATAGAATGTTAGCGAAACATAGGCAAAATTAACATGTTTTAGAACGTATATGCTTATTTATCTCAAAAACGGTTCTTTTCTCGAAAAAAATGAGAAGGCAAAAAAGCCTCTAAATTGAACGATCCACACAATTTGATCACTGAAAGATGCCAGAGGCGTAATACGAAAAAGTTTGGGGGGATAAAGAAGTCTCTACCCCCAAAAATGTATCACCCTGTAGATTTTTAAAATCTTTAAAGAAAGCGACATATTTCAATTAATAGAACAAAATATTTCAACTTTGACCCCCTGTAGCTCCGCTACTAAACGAGATCGGACTAAATGTTTATATAAACTTTTTTGATTGAAATGATGAGATCTATCTCCCATTTCAGTTTGTACCTCAAAACCTGAATCACCCTGTATATGGCCCTCATAATATTGTTATAATATACCGGATTGTATTCAACAAATTGCTGCCAAGTGATCAGAAATATGAGAAAACCATGAAGTATTCGGAAATGAGATATATGTACTGAGTGTCAACTACTTCATACCATCAGTTTTCAGAATAGTACAGTTCAAATAATCTTTCAGATATTGATGACTGGCCGATAATTTATTGGCCTCCCCCGGTAGCGATTTTACTAAATATACTGTACGCTACCACAAACCACGCCCACCGTAATATCTCATCTTCGAAGTATGCTTAGGCAAAACTCAGAGACTATTTATCCTCAACGAACTAACCTATCCCTGATTTCAATATTTTTGGGGAAGAAAAACCGAATGGAGTGTAGAAACACATTGATTAATAATATATTTCAAAAGTTGAGTTCTTCAACAAAATCGAATAAAATGAGACTGTTCATCCTAAACGCACTAACCTATTTGACTTCAAATATTTTATGAAAAAGGAAAACCAGAATGAAGTAAAAAAACATTGGTGAAAAAAAAAGTTCAAGTTCACAGCGATTCGAACCATGGACCTTCAGACTGAAATTCGACAGCGCTAACCAGTAGACCATTTGGGTATATAATTTACGATTGACAACGGGACAGCTTCAGTCGAATTCGTGTCAAAATCATAAAAAGTGAATTCTTGCGTTGGAGTACAGTATATTTAGTGCGATGTGCTGACTCCGAGTATATCGGTAATGTTTGGAGATATGACGTATTATGGTGGGCGTGGTTTGTGCTAGCGTGCAGTATATTTAGTAAAATCGCCCCCCGGTACATCCTAATTCCGATATGTTCATTGTTTCTTGATGAAATAATCAATGCTTAGTTCAAAAATAATCCGATGAATATAAGCTGCTCAACAAAAAATGAATAATTCAATGACCTGTTATATAAATATATTTCATCTTGATATATTTTTTTACCTTGACAACGACTTTTGGGATTTGCTCCTTCAATTCGCTGAGGGCAAAATTAAGCCTTCCCGCATGTTTACTTCTATTCGGATGAACCGTTATAATGGTGTCACTTTCTACTCTAACATCTATTGGTCGAAGTTTCAATTTTGATGTACAAAGGCTGAAAAACATAAAAAATGTCATAAATAAATATGGAGAATTCAGATTGGGGTTGAACTACCTGTATCTGATAGTTTCTGCATTCACTTCTAATTTCAGTAGCTTGATTCTTTCATAATTCAGCTGGATCAGAAGAAACACTTCATTTTTTGTGTAAACATCATCGATGAAAGTAGAAATCTGTAAAACATCATTGGCAATAGTGAAATCCACCATAATTTCGAGGGTTAGATATTTCGTGTTGTGAGGTTGGCAACAAAGGTGTCAAATGTCAATTTTGAATAAAATCGGCATCACTGTCAAACTTAAAGTACTTATAATATTAGATTGAAAACGATCGAATTGTTAATTATTGAAAATGAAAGCAAGAACATTAGTTATAATGACTAGCAAAAAAAAACAAGTATTACAAAAATCCAAACCAAAAAGTTAAGTCGCTCATTGGAAACAACTTTTCTTATGTTTATAAATATGATAAAAGTATTCTTTCAACAGAGAAAAAATCTTCAGCATTGAAAGTTCATAGTTCAGAGCATGAAAAACATATAATCACTTCAGATTAACAATAAACTATATGAAAAAAGTTCAAAATTTGTAAATTCTACTAGTATTCAATAATTTCCCAGCAAAAGTTCAACGGTTTATCTTACCTCTCCCAAAGTAGTTCTTTCAATTCTGACCTTGATCTCTCTAGCAAACCATGGATCTGAAGAATTCATTAAGTTAGCCCTAATTATAGGAGTACTTATCGATTTACTAGCATTTATAATCTCCTTTATCCTGAAAAAAAAAATGCATTCTCACACCAGATCACATTCAACGAGTCAATGGACCGATTTTTTTAATTCAGAATCAGAGGCAAGATAATAAGAGGTCGCGGCCATGGTATACACTCATACACACTATTTTTCGTGCAATCGTCGAAATTATTGAACTAGATAACTACAAATCAGTATATTATTGCTTTAAAATCATCAGCAGTTCAATTTAATTAACAAAGTCATAATGGGTAATGGCTGCGAAATTTAACTTCGCGTACTGTGTCGGTGTTTTTTTGTTAAGGTCGACGAAAAAATAATTTCTGATTTCAACATAATATTTCTTCCCCAACGGTCCTTGTTTTCAGTGTTTCAACGTGAAATAATGAAAATTTTATGTTGGCAACATTGAAAATGAGAAACAATGGAGAAGAAGATCGTATTAACCTCAATATAACAAGAGGTTAAAATGGTCTTCTTCTCTGTTTCATCTCATTTCCAGTGTCGCCAACAAACAATTTCCAGTATTTCACGTTGGAACACTGAAAACGAAGACAGTTGGGAAAGACATTTGTTTTCTCTCTCAACGCTAACTGAACTGCTCTATATAAACAGTTATCAACAGTTTTATTTGAAATGGCACATACAAAAAGGATGAGAATCCTTTCAATGACTATTTTACCTGGGCACACCCTGTGTGATGTTCATACTGGCCACCCCGGCGAAATGGAAGGTCTTCAAGGTCATCTGGGTGCCAGGCTCCCCGATACTTTGGGCGGCCAGGGCTCCCACCGCAGTACCTGGCTCAATAATAGAGCTAGTGAACTTTTGACCGCACCTGTCAGAAATTCAACGTATTATAATAATGAAACAAAAATATAATTCATAGGTGAAATTTTCGGTTTTCCTGTAAATGAAATCAACTTTCGATTTTCAAATGGAACACGCTATATTTTTTTCCATAATCGGTTAGAGATTTTTATATCGAATTCAAAGATACCGGGTTTGATTGGGTTATTTCAAACGATTACGAAGATATTCGCGTTCGAGGTTTCCATATGACCAATGAGTGTGAGAGAGATAGAAGATTCGATATTGCGCCGTCACACCAATTGATAATATGGAAACTTCAAACACGAATATCTTCGTAACCGTTTGAAATAACCCAATTAAACCCGGTATTGTTGAATTTTTCATAATAATCTCTAACCGATAATGGAAAAAATATAGGGTGTTCCATTTGAAAATCGGTTGTTGATGTCATTTCCACGAAAACCGGAAGATGAAACCAATTTCCTAAAATGTGAGAAAGTGCCCTCTAGTGAGCATACTCGATGTTCCAAATTTCAGAAATTCAGCTAGAAAACCAGAGAAGCAAAGAAGGGTATACCAGTATGTATATTTAGATTGTAAATATTTTTATGATCGTTCATAGCTTCAATAAATACCTTTCCAGGAAAGTGACCAACTGACTGACCGTGAGCCTTTCGATTTCTTTGATCACCGGATGGCTGCCGAATTTCGCTTGGATCCTCTCCATGTGCTCGGCGACGGTGTTTATGAACGCCCTGTAACAAGTGCAGGGTCGAGAGAGCACAGCTACCTCTGATTTTAGAAGATTCGATACGTGTTTCGCGCTAGATTATTAGTATCAGAACAACAGAATAACATGAACTTATTCGCATTTTCTAGTATTCTGCAGTGTTTTTGAACGCCCTGTAAAAGGTACAGGGTCAAGAACACTGCTGCTTCACACAGCAACCTCTGATTTTGAAAGAATTGACACGTATCGTTACCTCGTCCTCTTATCAGAAGGCTATGTGGGGAGTCCTAACATTTTATTCAATTTTTGCCAATTTATTACCTACAGCATTAACACCGTTTTTGTTGTTAACACAGTGAAATATATATATTTTCTTTTATTTGAGAGAGAGAGAAAGAAGAATGATTGGTAAATATGTTGTTGGAGTGAGATATGGAGATATGACTTCAATTTTGAGGTGAATAGATTTCGGATAATGTTATTATTATATCGGTAAAAGGAATGTGGTAAAAGCTTTTCGTAAAACTTTCATGAACATTCATCCCTCGGTCAAGACACTTAGGTTATGTAACATGTTATGCAATAATCAGATATTTATTATTATGAAGTAAATGAATATAATGATCATTATGATGAAGTTATAAAATAATTATAAATATACGTATACTTGAGACTGATAAGAATTCGTCGAGGGAAGTATGGAAGAAGCCTGAAATATAGTGGCATGACCCAAAGATATGTCGAGCGGTGAATTGACATATTTCGGAAAAAAAGGATGATTAGCTCTCTGAATCATTCTTGACGTCAGCCTCCTACGTTACGATTCTCAAGCTGTCCAAAAATTATAGACTCACGTTAGCCCTTCAAAATTTTACGATTTTTCAACTGGATAGAAACAATTCGAAAACAATAACAATCCTGTTTAATTCCAAGCATACAAGAGTCAAAATTATGCAAATTATTAGGCAATCCAAAAGATAAAGCGAAAACACTTGAAAAGTCAACAATTTACGAAACTGGTGTGATGATTGTGATATGAACAGTTAGGTGGACATACCTAGTATATAAACAGCATTAAAGAATAGGATATTTAGTTTTATTCTTCTCCTGAAGAAAACCATGAAACAATTAAAAACATAAGAAATCAGATTTGAAAACGCTTTTTTGGCACACAATACTTTTTCAAAATCCCAACTTTTCGATCGCATTATTCGCATCGATACTTACACCAGTTGCTTTTTGAAATCATCACTGCACTCCTCCAGAGCTTTGGTGTCCAAAAAGGCCTGAGTGCCCTTCCTGATTTGTTCTCCGCTCAATGCAACCTCGTTTCTGTAAGGGTATCTAGCTCGAACGTCTTGCAACACTCTGTCAAAGTCCACCGGACAATCCTTACCTGAATATTATCAACAAAAGGTGATTTCAGAAAGAGTACGTCAAGGATGGTGGCAAAAAAAGGATTCAGAGAAATTTTACCTTCCATGTAAGTCGGATCTAAGCTGTCGCCACCATATATCAACTGGATGACGTCTCCTTCAGCGTTCCTAACAGAACCATCGTAATGTACCACAAGATCTTCCAAGGACTGAAATAGTCATGAAAAACTTCAGGACAAACATTCACATGCGAATTTGATATATAAATTCAATTTTTCTGATTTCAGAAGTAATCCATTTTAGAGTTTCTCACCGCAAGTTGAACTCAGAATTTACAACTTTGAAGTAGCAACTTCACTATAACCTATTTCTGACACCCACCAAACGTACCTTCACCAATCTCCTTTGCATATACCCAGTTTCAGCCGTTTTGACAGCAGTATCTACTAGCCCTTCTCTACCACCCATGGTGTGAAAGAAGAATTCTGTAGGCGTCAAACCAGTGTAGAAACTGTTTTCCACGAAACCTTTGGCTTCTGGAGTTTTTGCTGAAACGAGAAAAAAATAATGATGGAAAGATATCTGTAGGGCTTCTTCTTTGATACTTACAGTAGTGTTCGAAATGTGGTAAAGACCGGTTATCGAAACCGTCAGGTACTCTTTTACCGTTCAACGCCTGTTGTCCTACACAGGCTATCATCTGCGATATATTGATAAAAGACCCTTAAAATAATTAAGTGAGTATAATAACAAGGTGAAAAAATGTTGATACTTGATAGGATAATTCAGGATGATCTATGTTAAGGAAGATTAATGATATTATGTTCGTTTCCAATGCACTTTGTTTATTGTTAAAAACAAGAAATATTGACAGTGTCAATGAATAAAAAGATTTCAGAAATGAAGGAATATAATTACTGAGGAAAACTGACATTGGTCCTTCGAGCCGGATATAAGAATGAGAAGAATTAGTCAGTGAGTGATCTTCATCAAATTGGAACGAAATTCGAAACAATTTAGAATTAAAATACCCTTCGCCTGTCTATCTTGGCACCACATCGCTTTATCAGACTTTAGACTGACTGCCGAGCTGTTTCAGTCACATTCGAAAACGACAAAATATATTTATTGCACACTGGACTATTTGTTCGTACCCTTACATAGATAATCTTGTCCTAATGTGTCTATTAGGAGTTTTTTTTACCTTTTGATCCAGATAGGGCCATAATAAGAGGACTATTGGTGGGATGCAATTCTGCGACACAGGCCTGACCTGCGTGTTCTCTTATAACTGACAGTTCTTTCAAAATAACCGCTTCCAAGGACTCTTCTACTGTACATCCTGGCTGAGTTGGCAATTTGCCTTGCTGCATTTGCTTGATGTATTCCAAACATTTTGCATAACTATCAAAACGTAGAATGTTAGCTCCAATCGATAAAAAAAAACAAATAATATGCAAGAACACTAATTTCTAAGAAAAATACTACCATGAGAGAATTTTTATTGATTTTTTCATTTCTTCTAGATTTAACGACATGAAGTCGCAAAGAAAAGCGTCCGTCAAAACACGACGGAAAATCGTTAGAGGTGCTGACGTCACAAGTACTGTAACTTGCCGACCGTCGAGAAGAATCGATGATGAGATCAACAGCGTTGCCGTCTCAACCAATAATTTTAGCCTGTTTGGCCTATTTCATAAAGAATATCAAATCGATTTTCTGTTTTTCGTCATAATATTTTTCCATATTAATATTATCATGATACATGTCATCTCATGTTCAAATTAATGTTAGTCTAACACTCAATGAAAACTTTGAGATAAACATACAAAATGTCATCTCAGATAGTTTCTGGAAATTATTTAAAAAAACATCTCCAGGGTAGCCTATTCAAGAGCCTGTAGACCCTTTTAGGAGCCACATTTCGTCCTATGTATAGCACGATAATTATATTATATTTTGGAGTGTTTATTTCCTTCTACCTAGGTGTTGTTCGTGTCCATCTTGCAGTGGCTGGCTCATGTTCGCACCACATGGCGGTCATGAAAGCCATCTGGGGACACCCCTGCACTGATGAGAGCCAAAGCTCGAAACCGGTCTGTAGGTACTCAAGCGTTCCTGAATAATTTAAGCACAATTCAGCATTCAGGAAAGAAACACTTGCAACTGTATTACTCCATACGAATCGTTGCATTGATTTCTGGAGGATGTAATTCAATGTTCTGCCTGGCATATAGCCAGGAAAGTAGTTGTTTTCCACTCGTTATCTACCAGTTTCGTTCATTTATGAACATGTGTGGAAATGACTTTGAGCTTTGCATATTCATTCAACAGTTCAATACAATTTAGGTATTTTGGCATTTCCGTACTTGGTATTATAAAATATCCTGTAACGGTGACAAAATTTTTTTGTTTTCATATTTCACATGAAGAATACTCACCCTTCACTGAGCAGTTTATTTTTTCTCTTGACAAGATTCTCTCCTGGGGTGACATCTCCGATACCAATAGAAAACCCCGCGTTCATCAAATAGTTTGAGGCAAGCCTAGCTGAAATTAAAAACCAACTTTTGAAAAATCCCCCACTAAAAATACAATTTCCTACACAATCTCCACATGGACTTGATGGCAAACTCTTGCCCGAAATCTCTCAAGATGATGTAGAAAATATTGCCGGCTTTGCCGCCGCTGCCCAAATGGCCTTTATCCAGAGTTCCGGCTATCAGGACGGAGTTTCTGATGATGACGTAAGAGTCCTTGACGCACAGCTCCCTATTTTTGGTGTACGCTTTTCCTTTGGCTTCCAGGTTTGCCTTCACGTTACACTTCCCATTAGGTCTGAAGATCAGGCTCATGATTTGTTTGCCTGACCACAAAGGTTTTGGCTGGTAATCCAAAAAAATGAGAAATTCATAATATATGAATAATATATACAGTGTGTCCCACTTACCATGCTCACCATGGGTATCTTTTTAACGGTGAGAGATACGAGGTCGGTTAAATGACACCAAATGTGGAGTTTGTCAAGGCCAACTATAATGTGAAAAATACTTTGATAAAATCTATTCGTTTTTGTTCTATACGCAAAAAACAGATTTTGATCATTTTCATGTCTCCTCCGTGACTTCTTTATTTATGAAAATATTCAAAAAGGAATTTCACATTCTCATGGCAGTTTTTCAAAGTGATTTCGAAAAAAATATGAAATTTATACCAACTCTTCTAGAATTTGAGATATCAGCACCAACTTTAGTTTTTCAAATGTAGGTCATAGCTTACTATGACTAAGTTACAAATAACTTTTTTTTCTCTTTCAGATGATATGTCGCAGTAATAGTTTTGCGTTGATAACAACGGAGTTATCGTCATTTATACAAAAACAAAAAATTATTCTGAAGCCGCCATCTTGAATTTATAAATTTTAACAAAAAAATCTTGATCTCCGACCTCAAAAACCCCCACTTACCAATTTTGAATGGAATCGGACCAAATCTTGTCCGCCATCTTGGAGCAGCCATTTTTTTTTAATTTCAACAAAAATTCCATAATGTATTGTCACCTAAATTATGAACACCTGCCAAATTTCAAGTTAATCGGAGTTATGGAATTTTTGTTGATATTTAAAAAAATGGCTGCTTCAAGATGGCGGACAAGATTTGGTCCGATTCCATTCAAAATTGGTAAGTGGGGGTTTTTGAGGTCGGAGATCATGATTTCTTTGTTAAAATTCATAAATTCAAGATGGCGGCTTCCGAATATTTTTTTTGTATAAATGACGATAACTCCGTTGTTATCAATACAAAACTATTACTGCGACATATCATCTGTGAGAGAAAAAAAAGTTATTTGTAACTAAGTCATAGTGAGCTATGACCTACATTTGAAAAACTAAAGTTGGTGCTGAAATCTCAAATTCTAGAAGAGTTGGTATAAATTTCATATTTTTTTCGAAATCACTTTGAAAAACTGCCATGAGAATGTGAAATTCCTATTTGAATATTTTCATAAATAAAGAAGTTACGGAGGAGACATGAAAATGATCAAAATCTGTTTTTTGCGTGTGAAACAAAAACGAATAGATTTTATCAAAATATTTTTTCACATTATAGTTGGCCTTGACAAACTCCACATTTGGTGTCATTTAACCGACCTCGTATCTCTTACCGTTAAAAAGATACCCATGGTGAGCATGGTAAGTGGGACACACTGTATATTGTGTTGAGAAATATATGATTTAAGAGGAACAAATAATCATACATTTTTGATGTACTTGTTTCAGTTTAGACATTCGAGAGGATTATGTTATTTTGTAATTTATTGTTTTGCTAATTTTAGTACTTGATATTAACAGGAAATAAGACGAAATAATTCCAGAACTTTTCAGAATAGTATCATAATTGTCATAGATTCAGAATCTCTACATGAGTTTATGTTAAACTTAGATAAAATGTACCGGTTTAGTAGAATATATTTTCTATGATAAGTACAAAATAATAATATTTTTTTTGATTCCAGATCTGTCTGGAATTGAGCTAGTCAGAAGATGTGATATTGATAACAAAAAATACCACTAGAATTTTTGATTTTTCTGCAAATAGAATTGGATTCGAAAAAAAAATCAGAAGAATTATCGCAAAAGCCTAAAGCTAAGCGAGAACAGTCATTTTTAGAAAAAATACCATGACATTCAACAACCATAATGGAGAGGCACAAATAATTATTTTCATTACTAGCTTTCCAAGATGGATTCCTAACGAAATGCTGTAGTTCAAATACGACGAAAAACCGCCAGTTTTTTTCAAGCACACAAAAGAAAATTCCTATAATGTTTGAAGGACCATGCGTACCTAGGAGAAACATTATGTGTTTTCAAAATATCTCAAATCTTTACTCAGGATGGAACAAACAATTCAGAAAAAAATAATTCAATTAGATCTTTGGGAAAAATAAATGTTTCAAATTCCACCCTCCTCATAATAAATTATTGAAGAAAACATTATCTGAAAAATCATTCATGTTTACCTTGATGATGCATGGTATGGGTAAGTCTATCTTCATATGGGTATCTTTCCCAGCAAAAAGTGTAGATGCTAGTTGACAAGCATGAGTGAAATCCATGAAAGTGTCTTTTCTGGTCAACAGATAAGCCCCAGTCAAAAAATCTTGTGTAGCAGCTATCAACAGTTCCCCGTTCCTTGGTGTCACCAAATTACTTTTGTTCTAAAACAAACATTCATTATCTAGATTTAAAAGGAACAATTTTATGAAAGATAAATAAATTCAAAAATTATGAAAAATATTAAAGACATTTTTTCAGTACAACATACAACATACAGTGTGTTTGCTGTTGGATTAAAAAGTTGAAAATTGGTATGCTGCTATAATCAATCATTTCAATCTACCTGAAATATTTTTAGTCCTCCAGCTATATAGGGGGTGCCAAAAGTCAGCAACAACTTTAATATTTTAAATAGGAACCTACATTTCTTCACACTAATGTGAAAACTGTGATAGATAACCTGACATAAATTAGGTTGTCCAAACTCAAAATTAGAAGGCCAATCGAAACATATATATTGAGGTTCTTATCTCACTCTGAAGTTTGTAAAAAAATAATATAGACGTATTTTTTCTTTTTTCGTAAGATCAAATTTCAAATCAGTAAAAAATAAATAAAAGAGGAACTTGGCTCCTCCACCATTTCTAAGACGTAGTTCCTGAAAATTCACATTCACACAGAGTTAAAATAACACGATTCCCTGTGCCAGTACGACGTTGCCGACGTCATCGATATGTCTAGATTTCCGGAAATTGTTCTTTGAATGCATAATAACTATATCAAAAAAACAATGGGATACAATGTGTTCTTCAATCCTACTTTGTCAAGAATGGGGGAGACCACTGATTTTTTTAAAATGACATTATCGTGAACTCTATACTGAAAAACTACCAGCGAATTAATTTTGAATTTTTTCATTCATGCTAAGACGATGGAAAAAAATTCAAAACACACAATTCCTGCGCCATTTGAAATGTTGTCAATTCATTGGTGTGACTGGTGCGACGTCTTATTCCCAACACGCCTATTGTCCTTGAACTAACCAATCACGCTGCAACACTGCAGAATGACGATGTATCAGAGAGAGATAGCTACAGTTCGGGACTAATACGTCACGACTCTATCATCATATTTGGCTGTTTGAAATATCGAATGAAATATGCTGATTTCAAAACGATATAGATTCGATTCCCTTCAACTTTAACTCATAATATTGATTGTACATCAAACGTAAATCATGATTCGTCGATTGAAAGAGGTTTGCACGGATTTCTTCTCTCAGTAGTCTTCCCCATTATGAATAATTCCCATATATCTCACATTGGCTGAATGAAGTTGATTACTAATACAGATAAATTATGATATTTTGCGATAGTATCCATAATTTTTCACTATCGTTATGTTATTCATATTCATAACTTGTCAGTCATTTTTTTGCAAATGAATTCGTTCCTTGATAAAAAACGGATCTATTTTCTAGGAAAGTTGCAGATTATATCTTGCAACAGCGCCTAAAACTTCGAGTCCGTCCACACCACTCAAAATACTGACAGGCACAACAAGAGGAAGGAGCCATATAGGTGTCGGCTTCGTTCTGTTCTGACCGATGACACTAAATTATCATATATAAAATATCATTGAAGGTAGCCGATAGTGATTCATTGATTAAATGAAAATTAATAAAAAATTAGGGACCTTATGAGGATCCATAATCAAGAGAATTTTGAGTAAATTAGTGCAATACAAAAAAAAATAGGAACAAATTCCTGGCGAGGTCAAAATTGACCGGGAGCAGAAAGTTTGACCCATGTTCCGATATGGCCAAAAGAGTCAAGCGTGACTCAATTCACAGGGTATGATAGCAGCAGAATTCCTCTTTCACATGAACTTTGAATCATGAGAAAATATGCATTTTTAACAAAGTTATTGAATAATTTGTCCCTCCGCCGATGTGTAAATACACGGACTGTGCTCTCCGGCATACAACACAGAAGCTCATTATTCGAGGTGCGCTTCGTGCCGTTTTTCTCGAAACCGGGCAAATTTTCGAGAAAAATGATAAGGACCATTTTTGTAGAAAATTAACTGAACTTCAATTTTTATCTGAACCGAAAATCTCTAACTGCCATATTTTAGGAGATATTGTCTGAAAACCTATTTTCCTGGTCTTTTGGGGCCATTTTCTCCGCCATCGCACGCGTTTTCCAGTCAAACTTTGTCTCATGTTTAATGAGGTACCAAAATCTACTTCCAACCGGAAGATGAAAATAGTGCGTAATTAATGTTAACTTTTTCCCTTTATTTATTGGACTACCTCCCCAAAAACATAGAAGGATTCAAGAACACATTGAAAAAAAGTAATATTGAATATACTGTACCCCCATGAGGATCAATGCCTCAGCTTTGGCCTCCTCGGTCTGAGGCAGATGCAAATTCATCTCGTCCCCATCGAAATCGGCGTTGTAGGGGTTGCAAACGCACTCGTTGAACCGGAACGTCCGGTGGTCGTGGATCTTGGCGCGGTGCGCCATAATAGACAACTTGTGGAGACTCGGTTGTCTGTTGAATAGAACCACGTCATCATTGTGCAAGTGTCTCTCCACCAAATCGCCCAGATTCAGTTCTTGCGCCAACTTAGCCCTGTTACAGTACTTCAGAAACCTGTCAAACGTAAAGTAAGAGATATTGTAGTTTTAACTACGAAATAATAATAATAATAATCTTTATTATTTCCATGAAACATATATGTTTATAGCAGGGAAAATTATGAATGAGCAACTAAAAAAAAACAAAATAGTTATTTTTGTATCTAGAGCGCGAAATGCTACTTTGGTGATCGAGATCTGACTTTTTTAACGAAGCGTAGTCAAGTTGAAAAAATAGTCGAGATGACTAAAGTATTTCGCGCTCGAGTTGCAAACAACATTTTTTCTACAAACGTCAAACAATATAGTTCTGAAGTAAAAATATGCTTAGCTTTATATAAAAAATAGTGTTGTAGGTACGCACGATGTTTCACGAACAAAATAGGAATATCCTTTCGTGCGCTCCAAGAGATAAAACAAAGTTATTGTTGAACATTCAGAAATAGATGATTTCGTGGATGTTTGCTCGATTGAGGACCATAAAGTTGAAATATAAATATCTCATATATTTTACATAACAATGCGCGAAGTAGGAACTTCGCGCACTGTTTTACTTCGCGCATTGTTTTGTGCAAGGTATCATGGTAACGTAGGAAACTGAAAAAAAGTGTCACTTCGCAATTTGTTGTCAATGAGCGAACCTTGTCATTTTTTGACGTTTGTAGAAAAATGAAATTAGATAATCAGATAATCTTTTTTAAATCATATACAGGGTGATCCACGGTGGATGGCCTATTAGAAGTATCTGGAGAACGGAAAGACAGAACATTCTGAAAATTGGGACGATTTGATAATTGAACATTCTCTATCCGCCTAAAATATTTTCATCGATACAGTGTTGCTACTTCTATCAGAAACAACTAGCAACTTTCTTATTTCAAATGGAGCACCCTGTACTTTATTGCATTTTTAGATTTTTCCTGAAGAGCTGATTTCATCAATATATCACACTTGGTGTCTAGCAGGAATAATTACAGAGATATAGGGTGTTCAAATTCGAGATTTTTCAATTTTAGGATTTTTATGTGTCGAAAATATTCATTATCGATCAAAACGGCTCACATGTCCCTATCTAAACTTTTGATTCACTAACTACTGGAATTTAATTATGAAAAATACAGGATGCTTCAAGAATTCTGATCACCCTGTATCTGTTCCAATTAAATGTCAGTAAATAGTGAATCGAAAGTTGAGATTGGGACATGTAAGCCTGTAATACTAAAATTGGAAAATCTCGATTTTGAACACCCTATATCTTTGTAATCAGTAACCAGTATAAGCCTCTACTGCATCGCGTGAACCGCTGATTATGAAAATCTAGGGAAAGGGTTCTTTCTCAAATCTGACATCGAATTCGTTCTTTATGGGTCTGAATTAGTGTCTATGAATTTTTTGGGATTTTTAGATCAATCAGGAAAAAAATATTTTTCGACCAGTATAAGCCTTCTGCATCGCGTGAACCGCTGATTTTGAAAATCTAGGGGAATGGTTCTTTCTCAAATCTGACATCGAATTCGTTCTTTATGGGTCTGAATTAGTGTCTATGAATTTTTTGGGATTCTTAGGTCAATCAGGAAAAAAATATTTTTCGACCAGTATAAGCCTTCTGCATCGCGTGAACCGCTGATTTTGAAAATCTAGAGAAAGGGTTATTTCTCAAATCTGACATCGAATTCGTTCTTTTCGGGTCTGAATTAGTGTCTATAAATTTTTTAGGATTTTTAGGTCAATCAGGAAAAAAATATTTTTCGACCAGTATAAGCCTTCTGCATCGCGTGAACCGCTGATTTTGAAAATCTAGAGAAAGGGTTATTTCTCAAATCTGACATCGAATTCGTTCTTTTCGGGTCTGAATTAGTGTCTATAAATTTTTTAGGATTTTTAGGTCAATCAGGAAAAAAATATTTTTCGACCAGTATAAGCCTTCTGCATCGCGTGAACCGCTGATTTTGAAAATCTAGGGGAATGGTTCTTTCTCAAATCTGACATCGAATTCGTTCTTTATGGGTCTGAATTAGTGTCTATGAATTTTTTGGGATTCTTAGGTCAATCAGGAAAAAAATATTTTTCGACCAGTATAAGCCTTCTGCATCGCGTGAACCGCTGATTTTGAAAATCTAGAGAAAGGGTTATTTCTCAAATCTGACATCGAATTCGTTCTTTTCGGGTCTGAATTAGTGTCTATAAATTTTTTAGGATTTTTAGGTCAATCAGGAAAAAATATTTTTCGACCAGTATAAGCCTTCTGCATCGCGTGAACCGCTGATTTCGAAAATCTAGGGGAATGGTTCTTTCTCAAATCTGACATCGAATTCGTTCTTTTTGGATCTGAATTAGTGTCTATGAATTTTTTGGGATTCTTAGGTCAATCAGGAAAAAAATATTTTTCGACCAGTATAAGCCTTCTGCATCGCGTGAACCGCTGATTTTGAAAATCTAGAGAAAGGGTTATTTCTCAAATCTGACATCGAATTCGTTCTTTTCGGGTCTGAATTAGTGTCTATAAATTTTTTAGGATTTTTAGGTCAATCAGGAAAAAAATATTTTTCGACCAGTATAAGCCTTCTGCATCGCGTGAACCGCTGATTTTGAAAATCTAGAGAAAGGGTTATTTCTCAAATCTGACATCGAATTCGTTCTTTTCGGGTCTGAATTAGTGTCTATAAATTTTTTAGGATTTTTAGGTCAATCAGGAAAAAAATATTTTTCGACCAGTATAAGCCTTCTGCATCGCGTGAACCGCTGATTTTGAAAATCTAGAGAAAGGGTTATTTCTCAAATCTGACATCGAATTCGTTCTTTTCGGGTCTGAATTAGTGTCTAAAAATTTTTTTTGATTTTTAGGTCAATCAGGAAAAAATTATTTTCCGACCAGTATAAGCCTTCTGCATCGCGTGAACCTCTGATTTTGAAAATCTAGAGAAAGGGTTATTTCTCAAATCTGACATCGAATTCGTTCTTTTTGGGTCTGAATTAGTGTCTATGGATTTTTTGGGATTTTAAGGTCAATCAGGAAAAAAATATTTTTCGACCAGTATAAGCCAATTGCATCGCGTGAACCGCTGATTTTGAAAATCTAGAGAAAGGGTTATTTCTCAAATCTGACATCGAATTCGTTCTTTTTGGGTCTGAATTAGTGTCTATGAATTTTTTGGGATTTTTAGGTCAATCAGGAAAAAAATATTTTTCGACCAGTATAAGCCAACTGCATCGCGTGAACCGCTGATTTTGAAAATCTAGAGAAAGGGTTATTTCTCAAATCTGACATCGAATTCGTTCTTTATGGGTCTGAATTAGTGTTTATGAATTTTTTGGGATTTTTAGGTCAATCAGGAAAAAAATATTTTTCGACCAGTATAAGCCTTCTGCATCGCGTGAACCGCTGATTTTGAAAATCTAGAGAAAGGGTTCTTTCTCAAATCTGACATCGAATTCGTTCTTTATGGGTCTGAATTAGTGTCTAAAAATTTTTTTTGATTTTTAGGTCAATCAGGAAAAAATTATTTTCCGACCAGTATAAGCCTTCTGCATCGCGTGAACCGCTGATTTTGAAAATCTAGAGAAAGGGTTATTTCTCAAATCTGACATCGAATTCGTTCTTTTTGGGTCTGAATTAGTGTCTATAAATTTTTTGGGATTTTTAGGTCAATCAGGAAAAAAATATTTTTCGACCAGTATAAGCCTTCTGCATCGCGTGAACCGCTGATTTTGAAAATCTAGAGAAAGGGTTCTTTCTCAAATCTGACATCGAATTCGTTCTTTATGGGTCTGAATTAGTGTCTAAAAATTTTTTTTGATTTTTAGGTCAATCAGGAAAAAAATATTTTCCGACCAGTATAAGCCTTCTGCATCGCGTGAACCGCTGATTTTGAAAATCTAGAGAAAGGGTTATTTCTCAAATCTGACATCGAATTCGTTCTTTTTGGGTCTGAATTAGTGTCTATGAATTTTTTGGGATTTTTAGGTCAATCAGGAAAAAAATATTTTTCGACCAGTATAAGCCAATTGCATCGCGTGAACCGCTGATTTTGAAAATCTAGGGGAAGGATTCTTTCTCAAATCTGACATCGAATTCGTTGTTTATGGGTCTGAATTAGTGTTTATGAATTTTTTGGGATTTTTAGGTCAATCAGGAAAAAAATATTTTTCGACCAGTATAAGCCAATTGCATCGCGTGAACCGCTGATTTTGAAAATCTAGAGAAAGGGTTATTTCTCAAATCTGACATCGAATTCGTTCTTTTTGGGTCTGAATTAGTGTCTATGAATTTTTTGGGATTTTTAGGTCAATCAGGAAAAAAATATTTTTCGACCAGTATAAGCCAATTGCATCGCGTGAACCGCTGATTTTGAAAATCTAGGGGAAGGATTCTTTCTCAAATCTGACATCGAATTCGTTCTTTATGGGTCTGAATTAGTGTCTATGAATTTTTTGGGATTTTTAGGTCAATCAGGAAAAAAATATTGTTTGACCAGTATAAGCCAATTGCATCGCGTGAACCGCTGATTTTGAAAATCTAGAGAAAGGGTTATTTCTCAAATCTGACATCGAATTCGTTCTTTTTGGGTCTGAATTAGTGTCTATGAATTTTTTGGGATTTTTAGGTCAATCAGGAAAAAAATATTTTTCGACCAGTATAAGCCAATTGCATCGCGTGAACCGCTGATTTTGAAAATCTAGGGGAAGGATTCTTTCTCAAATCTGACATCGAATTCGTTGTTTATGGGTCTGAATTAGTGTTTATGAATTTTTTGGGATTTTTAGGTCAATCAGGAAAAAAATATTTTTCGACCAGTATAAGCCAATTGCATCGCGTGAACCGCTGATTTTGAAAATCTAGAGAAAGGGTTATTTCTCAAATCTGACATCGAATTCGTTCTTTTTGGGTCTGAATTAGTGTCTATGAATTTTTTGGGATTTTTAGGTCAATCAGGAAAAAAATATTTTTCGACCAGTATAAGCCAATTGCATCGCGTGAACCGCTGATTTTGAAAATCTAGGGGAAGGATTCTTTCTCAAATCTGACATCGAATTCGTTCTTTATGGGTCTGAATTAGTGTCTATGAATTTTTTGGGATTTTTAGGTCAATCAGGAAAAAAATATTGTTTGACCAGTATAAGCCAATTGCATCGCGTGAACCGCTGATTTTGAAAATCTAGAGAAAGGGTTATTTCTCAAATCTGACATCGAATTCGTTCTTTTTGGGTCTGAATTAGTGTCTATGAATTTTTTGGGATTTTTAGGTCAATCAGGAAAAAAATATTTTTCGACCAGTATAAGCCAATTGCATCGCGTGAACCGCTGATTTTGAAAATCTAGGGGAAGGATTCTTTCTCAAATCTGACATCGAATTCGTTCTTTATGGGTCTGAATTAGTGTCTATGAATTTTTTGGGATTTTTAGGTCAATCAGGAAAAAAATATTGTTTGACCAGTATAAGCCAATTGCATCGCGTGAACCGCTGATTTTGAAAATCTAGAGAAAGGGTTATTTCTCAAATCTGACATCGAATTCGTTCTTTATGGGTCTGAATTAGTGTCTATGAATTTTTTGGGATTTTTAGGTCAATCAGGAAAAAATTATTTTTCGACCAGTATAAGCCTACTGCATCGCGTGAACCGCTGATTTTGAAAATCTAGGGGAAGGGTTCTTTCTCAAATCTGACATCGAATTCGTTATTTATGGGTCTGAATTAGTGTTTATGAATTTTTTGGGATTTTTAGGTCAATCAGGAAAAAAATATTTTTCGACCAGTATAAGCCTACTGCATCGCGTGAACCGCTGATTTTGAAAATCTAGAGAAAGGGTTATTTCTCAAATCTGACATCGAATTCGTTCTTTTTGGGTCTGAATTAGTGTCTATGAATTTTTTGGGATTTTTAGGTCAATCAGGAAAAAAATATTTTTCGACCAGTATAAGCCTACTGCATCGCGTGAACCGCTGATTTTGAAAATCTAGAGAAAGGGTTCTTTCTCAAATCTGACATCGAATTCGTTCTTTATGGGTCTGAATTAGTGTCTATGATTTTTTTGGGATTTTTAGGTCAATCAGGAAAAAAATATTTTTCGACCAGTATAAGCCTCTACAGAATATTCGAACGAAGAAACGATAAGTAGCAACACTGCACTCCCCCCACCATTCTGAATTTTATGGCAAGTATACTCCCCAGACGCTACTTAGTAAGACACATTCGATGTTTCGTGAAATAATCTCGGGAAATACCTCTTGAACGCCGATCCCTTCGGCTGGACGTAGTTGGCTCCTGGCCATACGTCCGGTCCGTTGATCACCAACTTCCGCATTACGTCGATGTTCGCTTTGATGACCCTTTCTGGAAAAGTGAGGATTTTGGCGACGTGTTTGGGTACCCCCACTTGGTCTATTTCCAGGTTCGGGTCAGGGGATATCACCGTTCTGGAAGAGAAGTCTACCCGTTTGCCGGATAGATTGCCCCTGAATCGGCCCTGTTTGCCCTTGAGGCGTTGCACTAGACCTCTGCCAGGTTTTTTGGGCTGTTGAAATAATATTTTTACTGTATGATAAATTGACATTCATCATACAGGGCGTGGAAAGAAATTCTGAATTGAGACTCTATCACGAATCTGCGATTAGAAGTCCATAAAAATCACAAGTTACCATCGTTCAAGTTTGAACCCCCTGATTGGGTATGAAAGTGTTGAAAAGGAATATTCTCAGATAAATTATGAACACACAAAAATGGATATATATTTATATAAAGCAATACATTGATCAGAGTTTATGCCAGTATACTTCTCCTATACATTCCAATTTTCATTTCAATGCTGAATATATTGGTAAGTTATATTTCTATATCATTATACATCATATTATTCATCCGATTTGAAGAAGAATGTCAATTCTCAATTTCGGAGGATTTTATTCTTCATTTTTCATGTTCTTTTGAATGTTCATCAGATATAATTCAATGTTCGACGAGGCAAATAGCCAGGAAAGTAGTTGTTCTCTGTTGAATATTCAGAATGATGTGAGCATATACATATTTTTGTCTGAAGGAGAATGCAAATTCTCAATTTCAGAAGTTTTTATATTTTATTTTCAAACTCTTATCGTGTGTGTTCAATAGATATAATAAACTGAAAAAGAGTAGATATTCTCATCACATAGAGAATGCGAATTCTCAATGTATTGCTTTATATAGATATATATCCATTTTTGTGTGTTCATAATTTATCTGAGAATATTCCTTTTCAATATTTTTACTTTTGAAGGAGCTAGTTGTTTGATGAAGGACGTTCCAATTTTCACTTGTAATACCACTAGAGGTCAAATTATTTCCGGAAATTTCTTCGAGCTCGTGGATATTTTGAAAATTATTCCAAGTCGTAGATAGATCGATAGAGAGATAGATAGTTTATTTGACTATATCATATATACAGTGTCATTCATAAAGTCGGCATCATATGGGAACAACTTTTATTAATGACTTATTTTGAAATTCGATTTGGACGTTGAGTTTTGCTTCAAACAAGATGAAAAATGGCCTACTCAATCGGGGTCACGTGACTTTCGCTACATGTCAAAAGTGACATTTTTTCGAAATAATCGCTGAAAGTAGGCTTATTTGTTCGAATATCGAAAAAGTTTACTCGAAAAAGTTGTTTCTATTTCCATTTTACATATTATGTGACTCGGATTTTATCTTTCTATTACATTTTTCAGATTCCGATATTTTTTAAAAATTTTCGAAATTTCTGTAATATAAAAAGATTGTAAATTCGATAAAATTACTTATTCATACCAGTAGCTTCATCATGCTACTTACTTACTTACTATGATTTTCTTCAGAAAATGATAATCTCCGCTTATGTTTGATGCAAACATAACATCAAAATTCTGTTATGTTTGATTCAAGCATTTAGAAACGAAATTCATTTAAATTTATTTTTTCAGCACTGAAAAGATCAGTTTAAATGAATTTCGTTCCTAAATGCTTGACGATATATCAACTTTGCATCAAACATAACAGAATTTTGAAGCGGAGATTATCATTTTCTGAAGAAAATCATATTTCTGTCCATAATCAGTGATAATAAGTAATTGAAAGTAAGTAGCATGAAAAAGCTACTGGACTGAAGTAGTTTCGTGGAATTAACAATTCTTCAAATATTACAGAAATTTCGAAAAATTTAAAAAAAAATCAAAATCTAAAAGTTTTTCGATATTCGAACAAATAAGCCTACTTTCAGCGATTAATTTGAAAAAATGTCACTTTTGACATGTAGCGAAAGTCACGTGACCCTGATTGAGTAGGCAGTTTTTCATCTTTTTTGAAGCAAAACTTAACGTCCAACTCGAATTCCAAAATAAGTCATTAATAAAAGTTTTTCCCATATGATGCCGACTTTATGAATGACACTGTATATACATATGCATATTCATAGCAGGTTTGTGTCTCAGAATAAAATTTTGAACACAATAAAATGAAAGTTTGAAAATGATAAAACATCACCATTACACAAGAACAAACATACAAAGGTTAATAAATAATAAATATTTGTGAACTAATTCTAATGAACAATCGGTAAGTATGTTCTTAAAGAAAAAATGTAGCACCTGAAATATTTTCAACGTATTCATCGATAGAATAAAAACTATTATTTGACAGATACCATTTGATTGTTCGTTTGAACTCATTCATATTTAATATTTTAACTTGATGTGGCAGTGCATTAAAGATTGAAATCTAAAGAAACAGAGAGCCTATATCTAGGGATTCTGATATTATCAGAATTCCTATAGTGTTCATCAAAAAGATGTTTAAGTCGTGTTGTTGAATAAAACATAATAGGAGGAACTCAAGACATTACAGTTCATTCTTTAATTCTTTGAGCAACCAGCATGTCCAAATATTTCTTATTCTTCATAACAAAATCTCATGTGAATGTTGGAGACTTGGCAACATTGTGCTGAATGCTGAGAACTGACGAGACCACGCCCACACGTCGTGCGCGGGGTTGTCAAGTTCACCGATTCAAATGTCCTCTAGTGTGAATTGATATAATTATCATTTACACTATTATAAGCAATAAGTCACAACACATAAGGGAACATTTTGGGACAATTGAATTTTTATTGCTAATTGATCGAGGTCTTTTCTATCTTGAACGAGAGAGAGGAAAGTTCTCTTCTCTTCCATCTTTCTCTTCAGTGATACCAACGTAGCCGCATGGAGATATAGAGAGGTCCGATTAATCTGTCCTTGTCTAACATCTAGTTTGTGCCACTGAACTATTTTTGAACTCAGCAGAGAGTCAAATTCAACGACATTAACAAATGATGTCAAAATAAGTATGATATAATTCGAAATTTCATCTAAAAAATTCGAAAGGTTATCAGTCAATGATATTTATGACATCATTATAACATTGAAAATAGTTCAGTGGCGCAGAGTAGACGAGACAAGGAAAGATTCATCGGATCTCTCTATTTTTCAATGCGGTCACTGAAGAGAAAGATGGAAGAGGAGAGGACTTTCCTTTCTCTCGTTCAAGGAAGAAAAGAGCTCAATTAGGAGTATTACCAATACTCAATTGAAAATTCATGAATTATTGGATAACTAATATTTCTGAAGTTCCCAATCGTATTTCAAAACATGGCAACGAGGACAAATTAATATTGATAAGATATTATATTATATTGAAATCAGGAAATTATCGACATGAAATTTGAAGCTTTTAAAAATAATTACACCTGTGTTGCAGGCATTCTTTTGCAGGCATCTTCATCATTCTTTTGAGGTAATCAAATATCTGTCAGTCTAATTCTGTTTTGATTTTAAAATATTGGGAACTTTGTGACTGTTTAGTAATTTACATAACAGTGAAAAAATAACTTTCAGTTCTATCTTGGAGACGGTGTTATTGGCTTATTTTTTGAGACTGACCCAACAAAAGCCATCAACACTACACCTATATATCCGGGAAAAAAGTACTCACCCCCGTGAGAAAAGAATATCTCTCTTTTTTCACGTCACAGAAAAAATAAATCAAATGATGACAGCAATATTCAACAAACATCAAAATATCAACAAATGCCATGCCTACTATGAGAAGAAAAATAGAAAGATAATACTAGGAGCACTGAATGGCTTTTTAAAATCTATTTTCCATTATAATAAAATATTTTTTTCATGGAAAATAAAATCTTGTATGAATGAATGGTAACATTCACCCTAGAGCATATGGCATAACTATATCAAAATATTTTCTCAATAAGTTTTTGTGATAAATTTTCTCCTCAGCATAATAATATGGAAGATGATTGAAACACAAATTCATTTTCCTATTATGTCCATGTATATTTTCATTTGGACAAAAATTTTGAATTCCTCTTCCCAATATGTATCTGTGATGCATTTTTCTAGCTTGTGAAACATTTTTGAGAGACAACTGGATTCATCTTTATCATGTTCCTATGTTGAATTAAACAAAATGGATACATTTGCTGGACAGATCCAGCAATTCAAAATTTTCAGAAAAATTATGTGATTTTTTTTTCAAGTTCTTCTTCTTGTTTTGGAGTTTTCTGTGAATACTTGATCTATTTTATCTTACCATCAGGGCAAGGGGTACTCCAGACAATTCACTGTTTATATAAAGAGCTGATTGTAGTTGAAGAAAATCCCAACCTTCTTGATACATATTCACTGAAGCACCTGACAGCTTGTGTTTTTTAATAACATCATTTATAAAAATTATTTCAGATTGTTTCATGGTCAAATCATCTTCATTTCTACAAAAAAAAACACAATATTGCAACTGGATTTTTTGGCCATTCTTCTCTAAAATCATCATTGAAATTATGAGGATGAGCTAACAAACATATTTATAGAAATCTACTCACGTTCCAGCTTTCAAATCTGATACTACAGATGGCCTGATTGTTACAGGAGGTACAAGCATTCTAGTGAAAATCAAATCTTTAGGTTGTGACCTGTACAAACAAAAATTATTGAATCATTCTATCACTTATACTTGCAAATCTTCCTTACCTTTTAGGATCCATAGCTAGTAATAGCATATCACTCTCAGGTATTCTTTCAAATAATTTCAAAACATCTACAGGTGTCAATATTTCTCCTAGAGGAGCCCCACTTAGGGCATTATGTATATCTGGGTTAGTTTCAATAGCCATTGAAAATTGTTGGGCTTGTCTTTCTGCCATGGCATTTTTGTCCTTGCTGCTCCTGTTCTTTTCATGAACAATTTTCAACACAGAATTACCAGTACTACCTTTTGCAGCAGTCATTTTCTTCACAAAACCATTAACCTCTGAACAATGGGGACACTTGGTGATTTTTCTACATTTCTCCACAATTTTTTTACGTATGGCCTTCTTGGTCATGTAACTCAGATTAGGATTAGAGAGTCTAATTCGATAAAGGTGTTTGTCTGAATTATCTAGTAGTACATGAGCACACTTTTTGCAAATAGTTTGAAGAATATTTATAATGCTACGGAAATATCCAACATGAAACACTGGAAGTTCCAAGTCAATGTACCCAAAATGACCAACACATTCATTTATATTTTTTCCACAGGTTTGACAAGGTATTTCTTTGGAGTTGGTGCCCTAAAAATATATGTGAATGAAATAGTTAACCAAGAATCTATTTGATAACAGAACACACCAATCTCATGTCCAGAACACCATAAGGAACTGGTGTACGTTGATCATCTTGATTGTACAAATTTTTGGCAACTACTTGGATGTGAGACTGTTGTTGCATATTCTCGGAACTTTCAACTCCGAAACTGACGTGGGAGCTAGAATAGAAGAAAATTATCTGTAAAACATTTTTTGCTCATCAGAAAATTCTTGTTGTACATTTTTCTCGCCACATCGGTTTCACGATATTGTTCCTTCGGCATTTTGATTTCTTCACACCCCTCCTGCCACCTAAACTGGAAGTTAATCTATGCTGGGATCAATCGAATCATATGAGAATAGACAATATATAAAAGTTATGGAAAAAGTAGAAAATATGAAAATAAAAATGTTGTTGCTTTCAGAATCCTAGATCTTGGAGCTGGAAATGTCATTTTCGATTTTAAGGTTATATGGGTTATAGGAAATGTCTTCTCTTTTTATTTTGGTCAAGACAGCGCATTAGAACTAATAGATAAAGCCTCAAAGCTAACTTATGAACTAATCATAATATTCGTTATGTATTCGTTCCATAATAATGAGAAGAAGAAGTAGCAATGTGTGACGTACTTCCGCCATCTGACTAACGCAAACCGCAAACGCAAGCAAAATTGATTTCCGGTAAAAAAATAACACGCAGTGTTGCCGGATTAGAGGTTTCGCCGCTAAATCTGGCGTTTTAAATGCATCTAAAGGTGAACTTTAAAGACAAGTCTGGTGGTTTTGATGACAGCTCAGAGGTTTTGCTGGCGGGTTCCCGAAACAAAATAAGCATTCATTATAATTTGAAATATGAAAAGAAAAATGAAAGCCTTGGTCACATGCTCTCAGAAGTCAGAAGTGTTCAAGTTGTTGTCGTCAGTTATTGGGGCGACGTGATTGGAAAAAATAATTATTTCGAATAAAATAGTTGTCGTTCTGTCCAATATTAATATTTTAATAACATTCAGTGACTCCGACTCTAATATCCGGCCCCTATTTTGGATTACCTCTGACCAAAGTAGATAGTAGATTTTATAAGTAAGAAAGAAAGTTTATCTTTATACATATTTATTTATATATTGTTTTAATCATCGATTACGTCACATATTTTTCAGTACCTATTTTTTTTCATTGGTATTTTTTTTTCATGAATGTTGCATATCATGTCTCATTATTTTTGAACATTTATGAATGTGCTGAGCGGCCAGACTACCATCTCATTTTTTAATTTGCTTTGATATGAATTTTTAATATCATTTGACTTTAGCGGTTTTCTGGGGGTTTTTGAACTAGCAAATTCAAATTTTCACATGAACTGTTGGCAACACTGATGACACGCTACACGTTTCTGACGCATGACGCAAGGACGCGTGACGCAAGACGCAACGCAAGACAAAAAAGCTGCAAGCCGCCAAGCCGCCATTTTCTATTCCTTTTGTGCATAATCTACAAGATATTTCATTGGGAAATAATTTAGAACAATTTTTAATTTTTCAGCCCCGGATTGGCTCATTGAATCAATATCAGTTCCTATTTAGTATTAACGCATAAAGAATATTTATTATAATAGTTATATCGTTGCACCAACCCTTTGAAATATTAATTGATTAGAAAATTGTTGGCAAATTTGGTGAAGTGCTGAAGTGGCAAAAGCTGTGTGCAGTCTAGTCGTTTATTCAAATCAATAATGTGAGTATAATAAGATGTTTTTGTTTTAATTGTTTCATTTTTCTAGGTGTAGTTTCAATCTCGGTTTCAATTCTAAATAACATTTGTACAAAAAGTTTAAATGAAATTGCAGTTTCTTTTTCGATATTTCAAAATGGCAGATGAAGCAAATCTGAACCCTGAACCTGACGCCGTCAGCTGCATTCAGTATTTCATTTCAAATAATTGATTTTGGATTGAAACATTTCTGTCCATTTTATAAAATGCCATAATTATAAAATATTTCTGTTCAAGCTCTCAGGCGGAAGCCGCTAAAATTATAAAAAAATTAAAAGCTTGAGAGAGTAGTTGAGATTGTTGAGAACGAAAGAATATCACTGCCATCAGACGCCTTCAGTATTTCCATTATTCCATTTGAATTCTTTGATACGTTTCAGTTGGTTTTATAAAATTATACAGTGCCCCTCTAAAGTCCGCCCCCCCCCTATTTTTTTTTGAAGCACCTGGTATAGCAACGAAATTTGGAGGGTCTAATGTTGCTGTAACATCTTGATTTTACCCAAAACAAACTTGGAGTGGGTTGGAAATTACCATTATAATATCACATTTTAAACATTACTATTCCCAAAACCATGGAATTTACAATTATTATATTTTATTGAACTGAAAGGTTTTTGGGAAGATTTATTGAAAAAAAAATTGAGAAGGCGCTCAGCCGTCATTTTTGAATTAATCTTCATTTTTTCCATATGAAAGTACATTCTCTTCTCCTGTTTGAACTTTGAACCCTCCAAATGTACTGTAAAGGCATAAGGTATTCCTGTTCAAGCTTCAAGTTGGGCTTTAAATCTTACTAGCAGAAGTTATCAAATGATTGCATGTGCATATTTATTATAACTTAAAACTGTTATTTGTTCAAAACTCTTCAAATCCAATCACCTTGCTGATAATGTAATACAGAGTGGTTAATTTAAAACAAAACAGATGCTCTGTAGGTCTTCTTCTGAATTATTTTCAGCGCTGCAGCATTGCCGCTTCTATCGAAAAGTAGCAACAACTTTGTTGTTTCAAATGGAATACTTTATAATTTCATTGCATTCTTAGATTCCCCCTGAAGAGCTGATTGAATTTATAAATCACACTTGGGGTTTGGCGAGAATGATTACAGATATATAGGGTGTTCAAAATCAAGATTTTTCAACTAGGTTTTTTTGTGTGGAAACTAAAACGGCTTGCATGTTCCTTTCTTGATTTTTGATTTACTATCGGCTGATATTTAATTGGAATAGATACAAGGTGATCAGATTTCTGACTCTTAACCACCCTGTATTTGTTCCAATTAATTGTCAGTGGATAGTAAATAAAAAGTTGAGACAGGAACATGTGAGCCAATTTGACCAATAATGGACACAAAAATATCCTAAAGTTGAAAGATGTCAATTTTGATCACCCTATATATCTTTAATCATTCCCGCTAGACCCCAAGTGTGATACATCCATGAAACCAGCTCTTCAGGGAAAATGCAATGGCATACAGGAAATACAATAAGTTGTTGCTACTTTTCGATAGAAGCGGCAACACTGCATTGTCGAAAATATATTAAACTAGGTGAGTGTAATCTCAAATATAAACAGGCACATTTTTTCAAATTTCTTGCGGCTCATTCCCGAAATATAAATTGTGTAAGCTCGTCGTGACATACACTGTATACTACGAGAATCTGATTTTTTACAAAAACTTGGTACTTACATATTGTACATACTATTTCAGAACCAACTGAAAGGCGCAGCGTCATCCTTCTGAAAACAGGAATCATTTGATTGATTCACTTTTCACTTCACTTTTCACCTGACACCACTTTTCCTAACCTCATCATAAAATACATTACAAAAACTCAGTTGTATTATATTATATGCAGACTAAAACTGAGACAAAACCCGGTATATTAAAAGAAAAAGTAAATTCACTATCAAATCACGATAATTATCACTGCAGTCTGCACTGAAACTCACACAACACCCTGTATACAAATCGAAAAAGTATATTCACTATTGAATTAAGATAATTATTTCTGCGTCCGTACCAACCGAAAGCCGTTCGCAAACTGTTACATATTTCTTTATCACCCCGAATAAATTTCTTGTTATTCATTACACAATCTATAAGTAGTATGAGGAAGCCAATAAGAATACAGGATCGTTTTTTCATTTGGCATTTAAAAACGGCGCCTTTATTCAGATTGAACTAAACAGGGTGTATACAGTGTGACCACAAAATCATTGGCCAGGACGTCCTTCAGTTGTTTTTATGTTATAGACTTGACATTCGAATCGGAGATATACAGTTCCCCAAAACCCATATTTTCCTTGAAAAAACAATTGAAAATTACTTCCCGTTTTACTGGAAATAGGCCCAGGTCAAGAATTTCTATGACACTCACAAATGAATGTCGACTAATTATTCGACTGATGAAGAGAATAATTTAGTGAATCGATTGAAGTCGTTTTTTCATGAAAGAATTTTCGAAGACTAAGAGAGCTACGAGATGGATTTGAGTAGTGACAATTTTGAAGGTAATGGCAACTTATATCAAAAATCTCCATATTCAATTAGCTCATCTGGTATGGCATTACAAATGTAGAGTTTTGAAGTGAAGTGTCCCACAAGCGAATGAGGAGTTCTTGCAAATACAGGTTCTGAGAGTCTGAGACATCTGGGATGGTTTGCATTGTTCCTGGAATATCCTAAAAAAAACCATGAATTAGTATTATGACTTTCTAATCGCGCCATATGATTGTAATATACAGATGTGGTAGAAAACATGAGTCCACCCTTCTAAGAGCACTGCTCCATTGAAACAACGACTGTTGCTTTCCTGTAGGGCATGAATAATTTGGAAAAGAACTGGTATAAAACCACTGTTTATACCTAACTCTTGAAGGCGACACCCTCCTTTGTAGAGAGGCATTACGAACGCCAAAGTTGATACACTCCCCTCGTAAGGGTACCTGACGTGATTCCATACACTCACATCAATGAATGTCGACTAAATATTCGACTGAATAAATAAATAATTTAGTGAATCGATAAAAGTCGTTTTTTCATGAAAGAATGTTCGCAGAAGAATATAACAACTAAATGAGATTGAGGCGAGACATTTTTAAAGGTAACTTATCTCAGAAATATCCATATTTCATTAGACTATCTGGTACGGCATCACAATTGTAAAGTTTTGAAGTGAAGTGTTCCACAAACGAATAAAGAGTTCTTTCAAATACAGGTTCTGAGATTCTGAGACATCTTCGATGGTTTGCATTGTTCCTGGCATATCCTAAAAAAAAAACATGAATTAGTATTATGACTTTCTAATTGCGCCATATGACATATGAAAACATGAGTTCACCCTTCTAAGTGCACTGCTTCATTGAAACAACGACTGTTGCTTTTCTGCAGGGCATGAATAATTTGGAAAATAATTGGTATAAAACCACTGTTTATACCTAACTCTTGAAGGCGACACCCTCCTTTGTAGAGAGGCATTACGAACGCCAAAGTTGATACACTCCCCTCGTAAGGGTACCTGACGTGATTCCATACACTCACATCAATGAATGTCGACTAAATATTCGACTGAATAAATAAATAATTTAGTGAATCGATAAAAGTCGTTTTTTCATGAAAGAATGTTCGAAGAAGAATATAACTACTAAATGAGATTGAGGAGAGACTTTTTTAAAGGTAACTTATCTGAGAAATATCCATATTTCATTAGCCTATCTGGTACGGCATCACAATTGTAGAGTTTTGAAGTGAAGTGTTCCACAAGCGAATAAGGAGTTCTTTCAAATACAGGTTCTGAGATTCTGAGACATCTTCGATGGTTTGCATTGTTCCTGGAATATCCTAAAAAAAAAACATGAATTAGTATTATGACTTTCTAATTGCGCCATATGACATATGAAAACATAAGTTCACCCTTCTAAGTGCACTGCTTCATTGAAACAACGACTGTTGCTTTTCTGCAGGGCATGAATAATTTGGAAAATAACTGGTATAAAACCACTGTTTATACCTAACTCTTGAAGGCGACACCCTCCTTTGTAGAGAGGCATTACGAACGCCAAAGTTGATACACTCCCCTCGTAAGGGTACCTGACGTGATTCCATACACTCACATCAATGAATGTCGACTAAATATTCGACTGAATAAATAAATAATTTAGTGAATCGATAAAAGTCGTTTTTTCATGAAAGAATGTTCGAAGAAGAATATAACTACTAAATGAGATTGAGGAGAGACATTTTTAAAGGTAACTTATCTCAGAAATATCCATATTTCATTAGACTATCTGGTACGGCATCACAATTGTAGAGTTTTGAAGTGAAGTGTTCCACAAGCGAATAAGGAGTTCTTTCAAATACAGGTTCTGAGATTCTGAGACATCTTCGATGGTTTGCATTGTTCCTGGAATATCCTAAAAAAAACATGAATTAGTATTATGACTTTCTAATCGCGCCATATGATTGTAATATACAGATGTGGAATAAAACATGAGTTCACCCTTCTAAGAGCACTGCTTCATTGAAACAACGACTGTTGCTTTCCTGTAGGGCATGAATAATTTGGAAAAGAACTGGTATAAAACCACTGTTTATACCTAACTCTTGAAGGCGACACCCTCCTTTGTAGAGAGGCATTACGAACGCCAAAGTTGATACACTCCCCTCGTAAGGGTACCTGACGTGATTCCATACACTCACATCAATGAATGTCGACTAAATATTCGACTGAATAAATAAATAATTGAGTGAATCGATAAAAGTCGTTTTTTCATGAAAGAATGTTCGAAGAAGAATATATCTACTAAATGAGATTGAGGAGAGACATTTTTAAAGGTAACTTATCTCAGAAATATCCATATTTCATTAGCCTATCTGGTACGGCATCACAATTGTAGAGTTTTGAAGTGAAGTGTTCCACAAGCGAATAAGGAGTTCTTTCAAATACAGGTTCTAAGAT